ACTAATATCTGACAGCAGTGTTTATGCCGGCGCCGCTCAACTTGAACTGTTTGCGTTGCATCGATCTTTTTCGTTTTTTTTTGTACCTTGCACATGCTTAAACAGACCGCACTCGTGCTACTGCTGGCCAAAATCTTGAAAAATATTGAAGCGTACTCTTACAACACTTCATTAGGCCATTACGAGTCGGAGTAGGATGTAAATATGCAAAAACTGCTTCGTTGGAAGCTCACGGAAATTGGCCGCAGTTTTGAAATTATAATAATTAAAATAAACGCCGCAAACCAGAAAGCGGAACTGGTACGGAACATCATACAGCAGGTACGTTACATGGATTGCAGAAATGAAAAATTCATTTCTGATGGCCGACATTGTCGTTTATCCCCGATATTGCGCTTTCGAGGCGTTCTCCAGACTCCGGTACAGAGCACCAAAGTGAGTAAACGCAAGCAGGTGAGTAAAATCACAAAATAATCATAAAGCACGTTGTTTTAAACAAGATATTATTATAATACAGGGATGTACCTACAAGTTTCTTACCTCACCGGTATATTATATTTACTACCTCGTACTATCCCTATGGTAGGATAATAACCCAGCAGATGCATACAATACAGTATACACACCAAAATAATTAATACAGTGCGCGATTGATAAGCGATTTCTTCAGCCGATACTTAGAGATGTTTAGGTATTTGTATCACTGCATGTATAGATCACTGACACGAACAAGCGAACAACTGCAAAAACTGCAAAATTTAAAAGGTATTCAACAAACGACATAAATTTTCATGCCCCAAATTTGCTTCGTACTTAAAAAGCGCATATGGATTACAAAACATTTCTGCCGCATTGATATTGTAGCGGAATCGGTACCGCTTTTATCTGATCCATAAAACACAAAAATTTTAACGCAACTGGAATTTATTGGATACGTACTACTTAATTAAGTGGTGCGTATGTACGTAGGTTCAGTATCGCCTATGTATGGTGAAAAACAATACAGCTCGTATTATTTATGCACCACACCAGTCACGCAGTAATCAAATAATTAAAAGTATCGTCTATGGTGAAAACAATACATTTCGTATTATTTATGCACCACACCAGTCACGCAGTAATCAAATAATTAAAAGTATCGTCTATGGTGAAAACAATACATTTCGTATTATTTATGCACCACACCAGTCCCGCAATAATTAAATAATTTAAGGCATTTCTCCGTCCCAAAACGGCAGCACTTTTCCGCGATGGCGAAGTCATTTTATCAGCTGGAGATCAATTTGGCCCCAATGTTTAACGTGTTGACGCTTAGCGTCAGGCCACCGAAGTAACATGAAACATCATCGTTTTAATCTTAATAATTTTATTGTTAACTGATTTAGTGTGGATGAAATTTACCGTTTGCTACAGTAGGTTTCATTTATTAGAAAGCATTAATCGACACCTCCCATCGCGTTAGTGAATTACATTAACAATTGAAATCTCGAAAAATAAAACAGTACACTCATTGCACGGGATGTTTCAGCGTGCTCTCTGCGCTTTACCCGTACACATATAACGTAAAATGTGTCGTATAATGTACGATGGGTATGTACTGATACAGTTGCACGCTTTGCTAAAATCCTTTTGCGTGCGCATCCAAAGATATCTTTGGATAGTGCTACATATTAACCGCTGTCACTGAAAAGAGATTATCAGTATACAATTAATATTAACTGGTTTAATCCGTTAACATTTTTAGGTTTGATGAGTAGCGAAATGTGATTTTGCTTTATTTTGGCTGTTTTGCCGTTGACCGTTAGTAGTGTTCTTGACGGTGTGTCTTGCGTCTGCGCAATGGAAACTAATAATAGTAATAGCGACAGCATCTATGATTTTATGTCTGACCAAACGGCCTTCGTTTATGAATGGCAAAAACACGTTCCCGGCACCGGCGTATGGAGTGTTAATGCGTTAAAAAACGCGGACTTATTTTATCTTGTTTGTTATCCGCTCTTGTTGACATTATGCACAATTGGAAATGCACTGAATCTGACTGTTTTAATTAGCGCAGAAGAGAAGACCAGTACCAATTGCTACATGACCGCCATGGCCATTGGCGATCTGGTTTTTGTGTAAGAATGTTCGCAATGCGAACGTAGTGGAATCGGAGGTCTTGTAACCGACAGATCGCATAACTTGATTATACTTTGTAGCTAGTCACCTTATTACCTTGAAGTTTTATGTGTACTTCTAGTCACATTACATTTTTTCGTTAGGTGGGCACGCTTGATAAGATACAGCAAAATTGCTAGCTGGTATACGAAGATTTCATACAACGACATGGCGTCCGACGCGGTGTATCCGTACATCTACTATGCCATCCAGTGGAGTGGAACCTTCCGTGACTGGTACAGGGCTAGAGAGTAGAGATCTCTATTGCACCCCACCTATGATGAATAAATTCCACTTGATCTACCATGACATTGTGTTGTTCCACCGGCACAAGTCAGGGTATAACTGTAATTATCGAATTTGGAGGTCCCTCGCAATAATAGCACTGCCCATACTAAGCGTCGCCGACATCATGTTTGATTACTGTATATATAAGGGCACTCCCCCACGGAATTACAGCCCCGGGATCCTTAATAAATGGCAAGCGCAACAAAACGAACGGAATAGCGTAGCCTGTTACTGATGGCAGGGCAGTCATGTATACAGTAGGCAATTTTATCAGGTAACTGCTGCGTTAAGTTTCAATAGTGCATTCCGAAATTTCATGTCTGAAATATAATGGCACCCTTCGCCCGAAATAAGAGCCCCTGCTCCATAGCGCTACATATTTATAGAGCTACATATCTGCAGCTCAGCGCCATAAATTCGATAACTACGGTAACGGGATTTCCTTCAAAAAAGGCGGGGTGCAACAGGTATCTCGCGCCCCGTACGTTTGGCAATAATGGCGATAGTTGATTCCTTTGTCATACAGCATAACAGTGAGTCCTAAACACGGTCCACGCTGTTCACTAACGCATAGTGCTTTTTTGCAGGGTTCTGGTCGCATTTTCTATGGAACGTCTGGCTGCCGTTTTCCGTCCGCTGCAGTCTAGGTGGCTGCTGCGACCGCTCACTGCGCGTTGCATAATAGCCGGTCTTTTCTTTTTGGCGGGAGTTCTGCATGCTGGGGGCTTTGCTGAAGAGTATATTAGCAACGTCTATAATCATAATGACATTCCGGATGCCATCCTGAACTGGCTACGCCCTTGGACGAACATTATAGACATTATTGACGTAGGTCGTGTCGGCTTTTTGGTTGTACATTAATTCGCGTAGAGATACCTGCTTCATAGAAATGTCATTCATTACATACCAGTTCATTTGTACTGTAAAACTGCAATTTGCTGTAAACTTATTACAACAGCCGTTTTTTTCTGCGCAGATAAGGAGCTGCCGAATAACTAGCGTTTTAGAATAACTTCTATAGACCGTAGAGGCGTAGACCGTAAGAAACGTGGAGGCAACGTCGAAGCTGCTTCTTGTTCGGGCTCGAGCTGGCTTACTTCTAGAATCGCCGGCTTTCCTATAGAACAACCGGTGTGCCGGTTGATGCTGTGGCCCCGCTTTGCAGTATCGGATTGTTTTTTAAGTTCTAACAATATCTGTAACAGCAATATCTTTTAAATAAAGGTATGCTGTATTCCAGACCATTGTTAATCTGGGAAATTACTTCGGTCTGCTGCTGATGGACAGCCTTCTAATAGTCCGGATCAAACGCCAGGAAAACTTGGCGATCGGTAAAATGCGCTCGACGCAGACCAGCAAGTCAACACAAAGCAGCCACAGCAGTATCATCTTGCTGGCCGATCTTGGACTGTACTTGTTCTCGAAGCTTCCCAGTACCGTTTATGACTGCTTAATGCTGGCGAACAGTCATGAGATGTTTCACTTTCACATCACAGCACAACTTGTCGGCAATCGATACTGCACAGTTTTCATGCAGTGTAATTATTCCCTGACCTTTTACCTCTACCTAATGGCCAGCAAAAAGTATAGGAGAGATTTCATGAGGGTATTTCGCCCGGTCTGCTGTCGTACTGGGATTAAACAACGCTGGAATATTCTGTTAGAATCACTCCCCAGCTGCTCTATATGCAGACCCAGCCGAATGGAGTCTTCGCAATTTGCTAACGTGCCTGCCAATCCCCACGGCATTCCCAGCATATGGACGCCTCTTACTAAACTTACTGGTAAAATAGTAAGTACGTCCACCGTTACAACCCAAACTGAAGAAAACAACGGAAACGCCGTTCCCACTGCGGCTGCGCCAGTGACCCGGAAACAAACCGCTGGGCAAGTCCAGGACGATCAACGAAAGCGCAGCAACAGTGTGTAACCACTGGATACCTAACCTTTCAATTTCACAGTCAGTGATATCTTCGTTTTTTCTTCTGTTATATTTTCCAATCCGGTTAAATAGTATTGCTTGTGGTTTAGAATAGCTGGAGTGTTGCTCAGTATACCCCGTAATAAGCCATAGCTGGATGTACCATATCATATTTAAATAAAATTTAGGGCAGGAAATTGCACCAGGAAAGCCTGCAAGCGGCAGACCACGGTACTGCATCGTAAAATTATGGTTTAAACGGAACGAACTGACAACGGCATATGAATAATTGACTTATAAGAAAATATTAATAATGAGTGAGTAGACACACGCTGGTGAGTAAAATCATAAAAAATCATAAAACACGTTGTTTTGAACAAGATATTGTTCTAATACAGGGATGTATAAGTTTGCTACCTCCCCGGTACATATCATATTTACTACCTGCATAGGATAGGCAGTAGGCACGTTGCAGATGCATACAATACGTACAAGGTTCTTACAGTATACACACCAAAATAATTAATACAGTGCGCGATTGATAAGTGGTTCCTTCAGCCGATACTTAGAAATTTTTAGGTATTTGTATCACTGCATGTATTGATCACTGACACGGCGGTCAAACAAAAAACTGCAAACATTCCAGTTTTAAAATGTGTTCAACAAACGACATAAATTTTCATGCCCCAAATCTGTTTCGTACTTAAAAGAACGTACATGGGTTATAATAAATTTTTGCCGCAAATGATATTGTAGCGGGATCGGTAGCGCTTCTAACAGCTCCAAAAAACACAAAAAATACAACAAATTTAAAATTTGGTGATTGGTTTGGGTGGTTTATCACCGTTATTTTGTAGCAAGACATTAATATTGGCTGGAGGTTTCAGTCCGGAAAAAGGTTTCGTTCCGGAAGTTGGCTTCGCTGTGGAAGCCGATTTCGTTGAAGCACCGGGTTTCATTACGGAAGGCGGTGAAACCAGATCTTTAGCCCAATCCGGTAGTCCACCAGTAAAATTGGGGTTATCCAGACTGCCCTGCGCCGTCCAGATATTCCGCGCACTGGCTAAAGCTCCCTGGTCGGCGGTGGAATCCACGCCCAGCGTTACCCATCCTAGTAACCCGTCCTCGACGGTACTGCCCAGCAGAGCGTAATTCATCACGGGGTCACTGGCACTGGCCGATTCAGCGGCGAACGTCAGATCCTGTGAATTAAGGGTGATGGGGACGTTGTTCTGTTGGTACGCCTTCGTGGCGTGCACGGTGGTGAGGAGGGCTTGGTCGAAGAGGATGTTCCCGATGTGCGGGATCCTTCCGCCGGCGTATGTGTTATTAGGTAGAACGGTGCCGTTGAGGTGGACGATCGTGTGGATGTGGTTGGTGCGGCCGGGATAATGACCTGGAACGATGGTGATGAACTGGGTAATACCTTCGTTGTTGGTGGGCTGCAGTCCACGCAGGAACGTTGTGTTCTAAGAAAGCAACCACAATTTTTACCAAAGAGAATTGAAAAATAAACTGATAATTTATTTAAATTTCATTTGGTTTATTTTATTATATATGTATTATATATTGGGACCTGATTCCTTATTCCCGGGACAGGTTGCTCATTTCCGTGGCTAGTGTCCCATTTTGTTATGGTAACTACTAAATAGAGTATTGCTCAGTGCTCACTATGTTTTTAAGGTCGGCAGCATTCCCATTGTCTTTTGCTACAACCCCGCCATAAACGCCGGTAGCGTTGGCGTGCCAAATATCAACAAACACGTTGGGCAATGGCTTGCATGTCTTCGTGTCGATGACTTGTATGTCGAGGTACACCGTGACACCCTTCTGGGTTTCCCGGATATCCTTCCGGATAAGCTCGCCGTCGACCCAGTATGGTCCCACTTCGATAATCGGGGTCATGGAACAGGATACCTTACCGCCGAAGGGATTACTGTTCTCGTTTAATCGATGGTTGGTGGCCAGCACTTTGGCGGTATCCCGTGCCGAACGAACTTTAAAGATAAATAGGCCACATTCACAAATCGTAACATAAGCAAAGTGATTAAATTAACACCGATACTTGAACTCTTGAAGTATTCAGATTATAATATACTACTGTACGAAGCTATACTATTATACGAAAATACGAGAACATGATTGGGATTCTTGAATGCAGTACTGCTGTATTTAAAAATTATATTACACAATGAATAAATTTAGGCAGTGATAGCCGAATTATACTATACCCCTTATGACTATTACAAGCTTTGTTTGCCCTTTTGGTCGTTATGAATTATTTGCACTTTTATTATCCAGATGGTTTTGCAAGAGCCATGGCTTTGGCTGTTTGAGAATCGTTTTTCTGTCTAGTTGGATTATTATTAATTAAAAAACCTAATAATTCTGTATTTCCGCTCGAGCGCTAATTGTGCAAAAAATTCGCGATAAAGCTTATGTTGCAAATTACAATGCCGAAAAGTTTTATCGTGTAGTCCATGCGGGAAACGCATTTTTCGGGTTATCAAACTTTTGGATAATAGATTATGAGGGGTCAAAATGCAAAAAAAAATGTCGTGGTAGCAGTTTCCATTATCATAAAAGAAAATAACGCATGAGTCTTAACTGTATTACAGCTGTTAACACTTACCATGTTCCTCACGCAGCGATTCAAATAAATCCTGCCGGCGTTCAACGGCGCGCTTCTGGAGATGCCGCGATTCGGTATTGTCCAGACAATCCATCACGGATCGTTTTGACAGCAGCCGAAAAGCGTGCTGGTCAAGGAGCTGCGACACATCCGGTTCAGGGCCGAAATGGGCATGGGCCAGACGTTCTATTCCGGACAAAACAAGAACGAGCGCCGGTATCAGCGCCACCTTAGAGTACGCCATGATCGCCGCACAAAGAGAGCCGTCGAACGGGTTCAAAGTTAGCGCCGTTTACTGCAGCATAAAACGACATTAGATTTAAAAAAATAAATAAGCGATGTTTAGTGCAAATATAAAAGGGAATTACCTACAAACTGTAAATCGCTTCCTCTTTCTGAACCAGCTTGAGTTTTGCGCACCGGTTGAAAGAAACACTTGTTACGCCGCCGTTAGAGCTGTATTTTATTAGCAGTTATTGTTTCAGATGTAGTGCTATAATGCTATTATTATGTATGTTCGTATTGGTGCTATAATGTACAGCTGCCTGTGCTACTTATAGGCTGGCAATCTACAGAGTGCGTCTATAAATTTTCTGCCACCGTCATACCCGGTACAGCTACCGTGTCAGTAATTTATCAATTCTCCTTCCGCTTATAATAATCTAAGCACAAGCGCGCTTTGCAAGAATTAAACGAAATTAATCATATTAATTGTGCCTAGGCACGTTAAAATGTCCATACAACAGCTGTTTGATGAAGAAACTGCTGCTGTAACTACGTACGTAGTTTGCAGTAACTACGTGAAAGAGCAAGCGGGGTTTCTGCTTACCGCGCTGAAGGTTTCGTCCTATATACCGCATACTATGAGGATCCTTGACCGTTGAGCTGATGTGTCCATTTTGCCGCGGGTCGGGTAGCTCAAGTTCATAGGCTTGTCAAATAAATAATTTATAATTTATTCCATAGGCTTTGACAATAGACGCATAATATTTACTTTGATACATCACGACTTAGTTATGGAAAGGAGTGTATCGTTTTTACCCAACCACTAGTACATCTTCCCGGTACTGCGCCAGCCGTATATGGAGTTTTCCGTTAATGCTGATCAAAAGTATTGTTAGCGACAAAAAATATTGCTTTATGTGCCTGTTTTTTTGCCGGATGCCGCAAAACTGCGTTCTGCGTTGCTACCCGCAACACGCCGTGCAGTGCATACAATAATGCTTGCCCTGCATCTACAAAATATGGGCCGGCTTAAATGTGGTTTTCGAGGCTTACAGAAGAAAATTGGGACAACGAAACATTAATTTATAGAATACGCAATTGCTAGTTACCCTTCTACAAAGTTATGAAGCTGCAGTTTGTATAACACAGTATTGTATGAAATGTCAGAAGTACAGATCCGTACCACAACTGTTTTACGCGTAATGCAGCATATATAAATACAGTTCTCTCCTGTGGAAATGTGTATAACAACGGTTTTCAACACATTTACACTACTACAGCAATAACCAAGTAGTGTTAATTCAACGCCGTACTGCGTAACATTTATGTACATTAATACACTAGCCCATCATTCCGCGCTAAACACCATATACTCGGAAATTTCCTCAAACTTATATGTGGTCGAATTGTAGTGCACGGCCGTCAAAACAACAGACTCCGCGCCGAAGGCGGTCACGCTTGCTTTGACTATGACGTTCACGTGTGATACAGCAACGCTTATTCTTTACAATTATTCTTATATGCTGAAAATTATCAATTATCCGATTCCATACCCTTTAGAGTAGAGATTTGGAGTGCAACCCTCCGGAACGCTTCGGAACGGTGTAATGCAAAAAATCGGACAGCGTGATATGAGCGGTAATGTGATTTAGATGAAGCGCGGATCGTTTTATGGTCACATGTCTCATCGAAAGCGGGAGGTCCACGACCTATCATCTAAACAACCCGGAATACCCTTGAGCTATTCACGACTAACATCGTCTGCGTCTAGGCACTTGTTTTAATGTATCCAAACTTTGACTGTCTGTTAATTATGTCACTTTTTATATGCCATGAAAAACAACATGCCGTCTACTTTTTATAGTAAATTTAAGCCTTGTAATAAAGTGCCAGTGACGAACTGGGTAACGAAAGCTAAGGGATGGACACTTTGCATAATAGATTTCAAAATTCTGGCTATCCTGTCATACGAAATTATTATGTAGCGCAGTTTTGGCATAACAATTTTGGTACAATGGTCCGCAACAAAATGTCAGGCAAATTAATTATGTTTATTATAGCATAATTGCAAATGTAAAACTTGCAAAACAGCTTTACACTTTGAGGTCAGTACTTGTAGTAACTCTGTCATAATATTTTTGGGAGACGATAATGTAATAATGCAGCAGTTGCAACAGCCAGAATCATGACGTACAACGGTCAACGTGTAATTTGTACAATGTAATTTGTACAATGATGATTTTAGAGTACCGCAGATTAGCTGCGCCAGGCATTAGAGTAGAAATCTTTATTTTGTTCATGTTGTTACTGCATATTGTACTCGTACTACAATATCACTGCATACTGATCGCTGTAGCATACCGTAATAGCATTAATAGAGTTAAATATTTTGACGTCACCTACAGTACTAAACAAATCTGAATATCTTTCTAGTTTCTTTTAACTTGTTTGCATACACTCTCAAAAAATATGGTATTAATTGCTTGATAGGTGATACATGGGAAAATAGTTCCGGTAAACATGCTGCACGTGACCATCCGGTAGCAATGGTTCCATGCCGCATATTATTACAACTCCCTGGCAGTGCTGTATGCACTCTCTGAGTATCTTTCCGATATTTGTTTCCTGTACGGAGTGACCCGTAAATCAGCATTCTTATGTAAATTCTCGATGTTACCATTCCTGCCCAAGGTGCTAACAATAAGTTGGCGATGGTGGTAGACGTGGACTTCCTGCCAAGGTCGCCAACGCGGTCACCCACTATCGCACAGAAAAACTACAAATGCACATCTTCCACTTGATACCCGCGGTACACTCGCAACGTTATGATTGATCTATTTATAGCCAACGGAAAGCTTTACAACGCCGAAAAGACATAAAACCCATGCAGGTTTTCCCGACGAGGAATTGCAGGGATGGAATGAGGCCGGCGACACCGACATTATTCAGCCGCGATAGCACCATCGCCACCGCATTTTAATTTGTGCAGTGGCGATCGGGATCTCAGATTAGTCTCATGGGTTATCGTTGTCATCATCTTCTTTGCAATGACGACGATATTGTACCAAGTGGACACGGGTACGCTAAAGAAATTCTTAATTGTCAGTAAGCGTACACAAAGACGCAGTAATGTGCAATCGCACTATTCTATCACAACATTTTAACAACATTTAACTCGTAAGTACCTGTACGAAGTTACGAACTCGAAACACCGTGCTACCAATTCAAAACTGGGTTAGAATCCCAACTTTCTGCAAAAGATCACAAGCCACACAGAGTCGATAACCTAAGCTTTCCTTTTATGAGCTTATTATGCCGTGCAAGAGACATGCCGACGTTATATCAAGGATCTGCCTCATTTTCATCCATTAAAAGTTTTTCCAACCACCAGAAAGGCAGAATATGTGATGCAACAGGGACTCGGGGAGTGTTCTAACGGTAAGAGTTTCATTTTCAGAACTCGACGGTTCTATCCCGGCCGCGAAGAAACGAAGATAAGGCAACGTCTGTGTGTATCCAGCTTTGCCCCGGCATACAAGTACAGTGAATATAAAGTATCTGTATAGCTTCAATACCGAAAAGCCAAACACTGGTGGGTTTAAAACCCTTGACCGTAATGCAAGAACCTAAATGATAGTAAATAATCGGAAACGCTTATGGTTTCCCATATGAGAAACGAGCCGTGCAGGGAGAATGCATGCGGTGCAGGGCAGCGGTCATGTACATCCGGCAAGAACGCCCCCCATTGTATCTCGGGATATTAAATTTGCTTTGTAGAAGAAATGGTTTTGCCCTATTTGTCGGAGGAGAGGAAGAGGCTTGTTAGTAAACGAATGATCAGCAAACAAAGCAAAGTTTGCAGATTTCAAAATTTCGAAAGTTCCCATCGAAAGAGTGCCATCAAATTCCGGTGCCCCAAATCCGCGATTTCATACTCAAAAGCGGTCTGCGGATCATACAGTACAAACGGCTGCCGCAAAAACGCTCATACTATAATGAATAAAGTCTTTGATTCCAGCTTTATTACACACTGTAATCCAGAACAAGAAAAAACTTTTATTAATAATATTCTTAAACCCATTAATTTGTTAGCTATCAAGAGCACTTTGGGGGAGGAGATGTAGTCGCGGCGGGGGGTCCCATTCCCCCATTAGGAGGTCCCATTCCACCATTCGGAGGACCCATCCCTCCAAAAGGCGGGCCCATCCCTCCCGTGGCACCATATCCTCCCATTCCGGGCGGTAGTCCACCGCTCCCAAGCCCTGGCAATCCTCCATTAAAATTCGGATTATCCACACCTCCACTCGCCGTCCAGATGGAGTGCGCACTAGCTAAACTCCCTTGATCCGCCGTGGACTCTACCCCCAGCGTTACCCATCCGAATATCCCGTCTTGGACGCCGCTTCCTAACAGGACGTAATTGACCACGGGATCATTGGCACTGGCCGTCTCCTGGACGAACACCCGGTCCTGGGCGTTGGTGGTAACCTGGGCGGTGTTCTGGCTGTACGGGGTCACGGCTTCCACGGCGCTGATCAGGGTCTGGTCGAAGAGGATGTTCCCAATGTGCGGAATCGTTCCACCGCCGTATGTATTATTCGGCAGAACCGTGCCGTTGAGATGCACGATGGTGTGGATGTGGTTGGTGCGACCGGGATAATGACCCGGGAAGTTGGTGACAAACTGCACGACACCGTCAGTGTTGGTCGATTGTAAACCGCGCAAGTATGTTGTATTCTGGAATACGAACTTAGTTATTAAGAACTGCAAGTCACGAACTGGAAAAGCTTTATTAGCGGTGCTATTACTAGGTTGCTAAGATCGGCAGCGTTTCCATTGCCGGATGCCACAATCCCGCCGTACACGCCGCTGGCATTGCAGTTCCACACATCCACATACACACTGGACATCGGCTTGCACGATTTCGTATCGATGACTTGGATGTCGAGAAACAGCGTAACACCTTGCTGGGTTTCCCGGAGATCCTTCCGGATGAACTCGCCGCTGACCCAGTACGGTCCCACTTCCACTTCTGGCGTCAGTGTACAGGAAACACTGCTGCCGAAAGGATTGCTGTTCTGGTTCAATCCGGTCTGGTTGGAGCGGTGGCTGGTGATCAAGGCTGTGGCGGTGTCCCGTACTGTGCGACCTTTAATGCATATTTAGGTAAAATCAAAGCACACAAGCTAAGCGAACAGATCAGAAAAAGCTTGCACACCGACATAGAATTACAATTTAAATACGATAGAATTATATATCTAAATAATATTTACAAAACATGTCCCCTGATCATGCAGTCTTGTCTGCTTGCTTGCCTCGTTTTAACAGATGCTCAGCACGCAGCGTTTCGAACAGCGCCTGTCGGCGATCGGCAGCACGCTTCTGGAGGTTTCTCGATTCGGGATTATCCAGACAATCCAGCACGGATCGTTTTGATAACTGCCGGAAAGCCTGCTGGGCGATGGACTGCGACGCATCCGGTTCAGGATGTTCATTAGGATGAGCATGCACTAGACGCTCTATTCCGGACAACAGAAGAACAAGCACTGGCAGCAGCACCATCTTTAAGTACGAAATGATCGCCACACGGAACGGGCGCAGTCAGCGAGGACTGCGACGAGTACTGCATCATTAAACAGCAATATTACCACAGGAAAATAAAAAATTAGAATATGTACAGAGGGCGGATTACCTGGCGCTTGTGTGCGCTTCCGGATTGTGCTCACTATCTAGCCGGAAACTGTTGTAACGAAATTACTTCAAATTAGTGGTTATAAAAAAGCCTACACCGTGATAAAATTAAGATTAGCCGGTGTGAAATTAACAAGGATTAATGCACACGTAGTAGTAGTCTTTGTATAATACACTTTATGTTTTTTCTAAGCGTGAATTAACTGTCGGTCTTTGCATCTGGCTTATTGCATTTTTGTAAACAGTACCGTCAGGTAATTTTTCTTTTCACGAACGGAATTAGCAAATGTGGAGTATGTCTATGCACAAAACACCTCTAACAATGAGCTTATCTGATGGAGAATTGAGAAATTGTTGTTGTGGCCACGCACTGCAAAGTAATCATGCGTAATAATAGTCTGGGTTTTTACTTGTCAAGCCGATATGGCTGCGCTCCGGTGCACTTGCGAACCCTTGACCTGTCCGTTGTGCCACCGGTCGGTCGCCGGTTTTTACCGGGCTTTTATGCTGGGCAGATTTTTTTTCGATTGAAAAGTACTCGTACTTACCGTGTATTATGATTTACCTAAGTTGAAGTTCCTAATAAAATGCGAAATTTACACATACGTATGCCAACAAAAATTTTTATTTCGCTCGTTACATGTTATGACAATAGTTTTAAGAAAAGTTAAGCAACAACAACATACATAATAATGTCTCTCCTAACAAAAAGCGCTTAGCGTCGGTCAGAATAAACGCAGAAGCACAATGATGGAAGTTTGACAAGTGCCACCAAACATTATGAGCAGAGCACGGGTACGTTTTTGACCGGTAACACACATATCACGGAATACTCCTTAAAAGCGCTCACAATCCATTTTACAGCCGTCAAAACAGCAGGTTTCTCGCCGGCGGCAGTCGAAATCACGGTCGCAGCGATTCCGACGATCACGTACAGTACAGAAACGCTCCACTTTCTACAAATATTTACCAGTAAATATTACGCTAATAGCATACAGCTGAGTATTACGGTGAACGCGGCGGTTGCACCGGAAAGGAGTACATACCCGACAGGATCGGAGCGGTTGTCCGCCGATATCCCGTCCGACAGGATCACCACGCAACACTACTGCAATATGATACAGGTTACAGTCATGTGAATACTGTACACACTGTGCTGCATATAATCGTTTAGTATTAGTGCTTACCAACATTACGTCCTTGCGGTCCAACTACGCCAGGTCCCACTACGCCAGGGTACTGCTGTGGATAGAAGACTGCCAAGGGAAACATACAATTAATTACTTTTTCGCAAACTTTTGTGTTGCACTTCGGTTAATTATTTAAGTACTTAGTTACTACTTGTAAAAAATGTACCCGGAAAAAGTTAGAAAACCGTGTCACGATCGAGTTGTTTCAACTATCAAATGTACACAGCTTCTTCCGCCGCGTCATGTGACTTACAGTCTTAAACTAAGAAGCAAAATGCAAAATTTGTATCGCATATGACGTTGCTTCCACATGCTTGCGCTATAATCCTATTCTAACGCGGTTTTCGGACTGTACCAGTATAACGAACGTCTAAATATGTAAGAACGCTTTCCTAATATTTTTGTAAAAATATTCATGTAAATACGTAAAACTTCAACCACAACATTAAGGAAACAGTTGCGACCGATGTGTACATCGGTCGCAACTATTCCTCTCCTCACACTTTCTCAAATATATTTTATCTCTTCCAAAAATTTTGTTCGATTTTTTATAACTTATTGAAAAGATTGTACTCGTATCTTTATCAAATACTTTTATCGTTAAAAGTTAATATAGTATAATATTGTTACCGTTATAATGTTATGTTTATTATTATTGGGCTTACCCTGGCCGTTGACAATCTGCAGCAGCATTATTAGGAGCAGCAGGCATGGTGTATATAGAGCGGGACTAATATGCATTGTCAAAGTCGTGTTTCCAGAACTACCAGTAAGTTAAAATACGAAATAGCAGCAGTACGGTGCGCAATGGAGTATTGCTTATAACATTAGGAACATTTTCATAAATCGTCCCATTCCCGGCCTTATAAACCATTTTCACCATAGTATAGAAACCGGTTGACATTCTGTATCCGGGTCATTTCAGTGCGTTAATTGTAACATATGCTTTATTATTTTAATAATTGTAACATGTTAACATGACCGCATGATTGATCCTGATTAATTCCGATGCTGGGAACACTCGCCGGTTGGTCCTGTCAATCTGGAATATCCGCTTCACCTACTTAATTATTACAAAGCATTTTCGGCAGTACTACTTGTAGCCCACGGCGATGTTCTTTCATTCAGCGAGAAAATAATCGTTTGAAAGGAAAAGAACTGAACGACAGATTGATATGTGTATAAAAACGGATACAATGATAAGGCATAACTGTTGATTGACACTTCCGCAACATCACAATTAGAATGCAATACAATGTGGAATTAATTACGCGAACTTTATTCTTATAAGAACGAGTCGATAATGCAGGAACATGGGGTTTTCAGGTGCAAATATACTGTTTCTTTTTAATTTACATATTTTAAAAGCAATAATTAGGCAATCGTTAAAAAAAGTGTTGATGCAACGAAACATTCCCTGGGTAAAAGCATGCTGTTAACGAGCTTCGCAGCGCAGATTGCATCCATCAAAGCAACACTTTTCATGGCGTCCGCAGTTGGCGTCGTTTTCGCACTTGTTGCGGCGATCTTTGCCGGTACAGTGGTGATCCATGTGCTAAAAACGCATTTTATTAAAGAGATGCCCGCCCAGTTTTTGTAATTTTCTTAATGTACTTCTATAGCATCGGACCAACGTATAAAATGGAAATACAAAAATTATTAACTAATAATACTTTATACAGCCATACGTACAACTTAATAAAATATAAATAGTAACATTTAACCAAAAAAATACACAGATTTCTTGAAAGATGAAATTGTTTAAAGGCTAACGATCTTTAGCAAATACATAAGTTTATGAAGGCATTACTGGAAATTATAAATGTAAAAGAATATGACATAAAAGATTGCTATAATCTATAACAACTGTAATTTAGAGGACATTTTAAGCCATGTACGCAGTTGTATAATATGTATCTAAAAGAAGACGTGTTCTGTACTCACGCGGCAATCGCGGCCAACTTCACGCTTCGCGATAAGACGCTCCAGGTCGACGCTCGCTGGAAAACAATACAAAAATTAATATCACAGTCTACTTGTTTAAGCTTTAAAATGTGCGGTTTTGTAGCGCAATTTAATGGACAAGTGATATAAAATAAATACTAAAATACTAACCGGCAGAAGTTGTCGTGGCCAGCATAAACAGACCAACAACGAGCATGGATGCCAACAAAATGCGGTTCATTTTTGTAAGTGGGTGGTAAAGGTCACGAATTATGGAAACAGATTTGAGCGGTTAAATATCCAAAAAGTGGAAAGCTACAGGAATTAAATCTGCCGTTTAGGCAGTTTTATACTAACTTCGCATTTTGTAAAAACTGCAAATCATCATCGTACCAAGAGTACACGAGCGCAAAACTATGTTTTATAACAATCAAGGTTTCTTATTAACGTCTTGTGCAATTAGACTCTAAAACAGAAGGGCGTCTGTTAGGATGATTTATGTGTTACACTTCCGTGTTTGTGTCGTATCCATGAAGGGTACACGGTCTTTACGAAAACATGTTATATGAAGATGATTAGCCATAATTTTTTAAGGGCATGACGATGCAAGTTGCCGCTATGCATCTCGAAAGGTGCATGCTCCATCATCCATGCTGCTCGTATCCGGGACTTTTAGATGATAGATTCTTACCTACAGAAGTTTACCTATCTGCATTTTTACAAGAAAGAAGTCTTAAAATGATAAATATTTGAAGTTTTACCGAAAAACTGCTTGATACTTAAAAGCTGTCGGAAGCCTGCCTGCCCTACTTGCTTGTCGAAGTGCTTCACCATTATTATCGGTACAACGACATTATACGAGTATAAAGTATAAAAACTTGTTTTTATTGGAATTTTACAGCGTTTACAAAATTATGTAATAATTATTAAATAGTAAATTAATTAGCGAATGCTTGGCCTGATTAACACAGAATAGATATAATATGTATAGGTACAGTCTACAGTAACATAAGCCGTATTGATTGCGAAATACGGAAAAATTTTTATCTGGCATGCTTATGGAGCAACATAGCATGCTTTTGTCGTATAAAGATTTGAAATATTAACAGCACAATACTGCACTTAAATTTTCTGGTACTGCAGTGTACAAAACTCTACAGATAGTTGGCCAGAAGCTGGCCAAACCGCATTCACTGTAATTGTGCCACTGTGAAAAATGGAAACAGTGTCCCTTAGTGTCGATTTATTGCCGGCTTTTCTAGCGCGTTATGTGGTATCCAGAAGGTCATGGGTCATAAAGATCGTGTTGCTGATAAACCGAGTTCCACAAACAGCCGTAAACACATGTTGGAGCTCCTGTAGAATTATCGTATGTGGAACAAAATAAGCTGGTTGCAGTTAATACCAACCATAATACACGTCCGGTAATCGTAATATCTTTAGCGTATTATATAATATTGGCGCCTTGTGCCGCCCGTATTTAAGAGTTTTGTCGTTTCATCATGAATATAAAATTTTCCATATTTTATATAATTTTTATATATGGCCTCAGCAGTGTCTACGGCCAGTTAAATGCTACCACAAACTCCAGCAGTGATGAAACTTTGGCCTGGATCAACACGAAGGAACACTGGATATTGTACGTGGACCCGGCAAATGCAACCACCGCGAACCATACCGACACCGAACCGGTAAAAACCGCGACCGAAGCCACGCGCTTCTTCGGTACAAGTCCCCGTGTCACCCCTGCCCCGGATGACGAGGATTACCCGGATGAACCGTACGCCGGGAGCGGCGATGGTTCCGACGCTCGTTCGACATTCGGACGGAAGCGTAAGCAGAAGATTGTGCCGGCTACCGCTGTCGACACAGCACCACGGGTGATTGTGTTCCGTACACAACGAAAATCTACTCGCACCCCGCTGCGAACTCGTAAATCCAAGGGAAGGAAGGCTGCTTCGGGATAATGTATCCTCAGCTGTTTCTTTTTAATTTAACGTATGGTTTATTTGTTAATGTTTCGTACTAAGCAGCCAAAGTATACATTTGCTAGATTGAGTGATAATTCAGCCGTTCTCATGGCGGTTTACGATGAGTGCCTAATCATCGAGTTCAATCAATCAGGATAATCAGCGAAACGGCTATGATAAGTGAGTAGAAGTTTACCGCGTGTGGGAATAAATTGTGCGGTTGCCGTTTCTCTCGAAACTGTTCAGTTTTATGCACCTTAGCAAATATATTATTTGTTCGGGTACAGCGAAATAATTCCGTTTTTAGATGGCCATACAAAAGGTTTCATTGAAAAACGTAAGCCCAACATAACCGTAGCAATGAGGTGTTTTTAAACATGGTAACCATCCGAAATGGCCATGCCATAAATAATTTCATGGCGCACTATAACATTTCGTGACCTAACAGCAAGTTTAAGCAGCGCGAGCCACAATGGAAGGAAAACACGACATACATGCACTACACAGTATGTAACAGTTAAAAAAAGACGGAAACAATTAAACATCACAAGATTTCTCGACTAGATAAAAAGACGGCATGATGCTCAGAGCAGTGAATTTCTGGATTTATGGTGATCCTGTTTGGCGGTTATTGTCTCCGCAAGACATCTCCAAGTGGCACTCCGGATCGCCGCTGCAGGTCGCCCACTGCTTCAAACCAGATGACACGCCCAGTTTCTGGGTGTAGCACCAGGCATCGCCCGGCTGCATCTTGTCCCAATCGGCGTACGCCCAGCACCAGCCTTTGTAACAGCCACACGTACTCAGCCCGGCACAGGAAGTAGCGCTGCTTTCTGACGCTGCAAATAATAAAAAATTTATTGAGAAGCTGTTATGCAAAAGCACTACGCTGTAGGTACATTCAGCTAAAGCTAAAGCGAAAAAAACGTAAGCAAAAGCACAGAATACGTATAGGTATCTGCAGGCTGTATAATGGTGGACTTTAAGGAAAAACCCTCGATGATATTAACTTACGCAGATGGATTAGCATGCCCATCGCTACGACCATGGATACAGCAAAGAGCCGGTTCATTTTCGCAGGAAAGAGATATGAACTTTAAAAAGTATGACAAGTGGAAGACACAGATAAAGTACGAGATACGAACTCGGATGACAAGTTGAGGACACAGATTTTTTCGGAACAGAAGTGTCTTAATTGGTTTTTATGTGAGAAATTCCACTTATAAACCGGATCTGTTTTAATAGCGTTGAATCTGAGCGCGGTATCTACTCATAGTCGCAAGATCAAGATGTTTTTGAAAACTGGTACCTATTTGTCATGAAAACATTATGAATTAAAACATGCACTCTATCAATAACAACGTTTTTTCCACACACGAGAACTGCAATATGCCATGTATCTAGCTAATATTTCTGACAAGTGAGTGCAGGTTGTTCGCGTCACATTGAGCTTTATTTCGAACATCGGTATCACTCACCGCATTCCTTCTCCGATCGTTTCCGCTGTTGTTATATATTGTCCCGGGAAAACTCATTCATTTTTGAACAAACCAAACATTTTCGGGCAATGACTGTTTAGTCGCAAACTACAGTACACAACAGCCGCAAGCTACAATGACATAACACTTAATGATCCCAGTCAACAATTATCAACACCGCAGCTTGCATGTTACAGAAATGCCCAGATGACTCATTCGAAGTAAAAGTACTGCCGGTGTCGGTTTAACGTAACACTAAGCGTGACTGAACAACTAGACAAAACAATTCGAAGGAAACCGCAAATGTTAGTCCCCAACGTTGCTGCGTTACCTTCACGAGTCCAACAACAAAGCGAATACGGTTACTCATCCGGCCCTTTTTTTAAAACTGTTATTATTAATTTTATACCCGACAAACATTTCTCGCAGCCGACTGCAAAACATTTTTTGGTCTCTCATAACAAAAGTACTTATATAAAAGTAACGCTCGTGCGGCGAATATTCAACAGTCCCTCTATGAATGTTCAACAGTTTCTCTAGCTATCCATTGCGTTTTTGATAACTCAATTGTTCTCTACCACTTTGATTTCGAAGATTTGTTACTCGCTAAAATGACCCAAATTCTCGTTGTGTCTATGTTTATGGCGCTGGCCATGCTGCTGACCTTTCGTAAGTGGACTTGCCTTGCCTCTGGCTAACATTGCTGTTTTATCGGCCCATGAGAACATTATAACATGATCACCGGGGTTGCAAGAGTGCTTTAACATATATATTTAAATATTAAGTTGTAACTTAGCTGTATTTTACTTTACGAAAACTTTGGTTGTAGCATCGGAAGGCAGCGCTACATCTTGTGCGGGACTGAGTACGTGTGGCTGTTACAAAGGCTGGTGCTGGGCGTACGCCGATTGGGATAAGATGCAGCCGGGCGATGCCTGGTGCTACACCCAGAAACTGGGCGTGTCATCTGGTTTGAAGCAGTGGGCGACCTGCAGCGGCGATCCGGAGTGCCACTTGGAGATGTCGTGTGGAGACAATAACCGCCAAACCGGATCACCATAAATGCTGTAATGGAGAGGTTGCCCGGGCTGTCGTCTAGTCGCATACTATTGTGATGCTTGGCTTTTTGCTGTTTTCATCGCTTTTGCGATCTAGTATATATATGTAGTAAATACTTTAAAAGCACCATATCTGTGCTCGTACATTAATAATTTATCTTTCTCTCCATTGCACTGTGCTCAGTAATTAACATTGTTATTTTTTTGTATACGACTCGTACATCCCTAGTGAACGATTAAAGTACAGCTTTAATTATTAAGCTGACGGAACGAGCTGCAGCTGTAACCTGTCCAAGGGTATGGGAACATAAAGAAATCAACAAAAATATTTTTAATGCAACAGTAAGCGCTGATATTTTATTAACTGAACTGGTCAAACTGTACTGTGAGTGTGCACAGATTCTGCCTGCCGCCAAAGTCGATACCCCTTATTACACTCATACCATTTACTTTGTATTTATAATCAGCTTCAGTAGCGCGTAAAGTTAAATAACCAGGTGATCATAGTTTAGAAAGATCACACTAACGATAAAATAAGTTTCCACAAGCACGGTAAACGGTACCGGAGCTCCTGTCATTTTACAGCGAAGCAAAACAAGCTGGTTTTTATAACGGCTAACCATGAAGCACAGAAAGTATCCGTACATCAATTATAACATAAAACTATCGTCGCACTTTAGCGTTTGAATTTAAGATTTCGCACCATCATGTGTATAAAACGGTCCTTATATTTCATAATTTTTTTAAACGGTCTCACAATGAGCTGTGTCTACGGCCAGTACAGTGCGCCTAACATATCGCGCACTTTTCGTGACGACGCTCTAGCCTGGATCAACACGAAAGACTTCTGGCTACTGAATGTGGACTCGAATGTTACCGTAACCAATACAACCGAAACCACACCGCTTAAGAGCGTTTTCAACGAGACGCTTTTCCTCGACACTTCCGTCACCACTACTGGAGAAACACCGTTAAGCTCTACAACGGCCCGCATCATTGCCGTGGACGATGAGGACTTCACCGACGCACCGTACTCCGGGAGTGGCGAGGGACCCGTAGCAACATCCCTTCGTAAACGCAAGCAGAAGATTGTGGTGCCGGCTGTAGATTTCGAGACACCACGCTCCATGTTGATGTCGCGTAGCGGGCGAAAACGGACCACCCGTTTACGCACTTCACGACCGGCGCTGATGTCCCGTAGCGGACGGAAGAAGACTACGCGTATTCGTACTTCACGGCGCACTCGTAAAATCAAGGCAAAGAAGGCAAATACCACGGATTCAGGATGATACTTAAAGCGAACTGCCTATGAGGACTTTAAGGGGACGATTTATCTTCCCATTTTTCATACTAATCAGCCACAGAATCCATTGCTCGTGTTGCGATCGAACAGCTATTCAGCTACCTTCCGGTGGGTGCACGAGGATTGGCCTATTCGCCAAGTTTATTAAGCAAACTTAGGAATAACGAAGCGTTTATGCAACGTTTTATTAGATGTTTGCCTTAGTTTTGTGAATACAGTAAATTGTTTCCTTGTACTAGTGCAGTTTTGCAGTTGCCGTTTATTGAGAATGCATAGGGCACACTTTTTGTGTCGTTGAATCCGCTGTTTTACAAGCATTATGGGAGAGCTTCTTCGCGTACCTGATGCACAAATAACGCTGACATACAATTTCCACATATCCAACTACAAAGTGTTCTAAATGTGTGTCATCAGAAAGGTCATACTATAAAAACGCGTTCATACCATCTATGCTGACAAGCAAGTGTTGGGCCGACAGTTTAAACAGCTAACTTCAACAGCAATTATTAGGTTAGGCACCTGTTAATAATTGATGCTGTTGCAACGTATGTCTGTTTTTTCTCCGCATGATTTCTTGCCATATACAGTGCTCAATGCTCATTAACTAATATTATTATTTCTTACTAGACATTTTTTAAGCTCTATTTGTCAGATCCGATCATCCAGTGCATATTATTTAATTACACGCCATTCAGCTATGAAAGCCTATCAAACAGCAAGTACAGTCAGCAATCACGTACAGAGTCTGAGTATCTGTACATTATTGCTCGCAACAATAGAGGACCACTTATTTTGTCAAAGTATTTTCAATGTAGAATCCCAGTTTACTTGCTACATGATAACTGCTCACACGCCCAGCTGATATGCATTATAAGTATGCTTACTTCCGGTATCAGCAACTTAACGTTTTGTTTTACCGTTTTCACTGATAACGCAATTATTGAGTACTGGAAACGGAAGAAGTCGATGTGGAAACGGAAAAAGGCTTTATAACGATTTCTTGTCGATTAAGTAAGAAAAACATTGTGTGTTCATTTTGTAAGGCTTGTGTGATCATTTTGAAGCACAACAACGGAATTAATGAATTCCCCTGAAGCCCTGATGGTCAACAAAACCTCAGCAACAAACATCATCAACACCTCAATCGTCCAGTACAAGTTAACGTTCGCATCGTAGTCCACACCCATCGAAGCAGCACTGGCCACGGTCGCGTTCCCGGCCGCGTCCACGCTCGCAATCCCGGTCTCGCTCACATTCATTGAAGCGGTCCTTGCGGTCACAATGACGATCCCTATGCTATAAAAGACGAAATTACCGTGGTTGGCCTGCTGCAGTCACTTCCGCTTGCATATATATCAAACGGGTTATTTCAAGTTTAAGTTACTCACTCTGCAGTCCCTCGATGCGCGCTTCTCTAGGAAATGTGGGATATCCATTTCTTCAACTTTCTCTGCCACAGAAATTTATTTTTTCATCAAAATTTTCCGGCTCTTAATTACTATTTTTCTATGACTTATTTTATGAATTAATTATTAAAAAGCATTATTGTACTACTGCTTTATTTGGTGCTGCGCTTCCCACCCAGTCAAATTTTTCCATTAATAAAGCAGTAAAATTATTTTGGAAGCATATTTTTGACTGTTACAAAAAAATTGCATAAAACTTACCGGCAGAAACTGTTCCGGCCAAAACGACCAATCCCATCAAGAGAAAGGATATTACTATAATTTGCTTCATGTTGCACACTGCTCTGTACAAAATGGCAACGCCAACCTGCATGCAATTATCGCACTAAAAACAATGAAATTTTGGCTGATAGCAGGTTAACTTTCGCTTTTTTATCGCTTAGCCGAAGCCACTGATCAGGTATCTTTATAGCGGCGACACTAACTGCAAAAATCTGCAAATCATTGTTTTGGCAACACCTGCAGGAAACGCAAGGTGTTTAGTATGCTGTTGCGCGAGTATATAGCGCAAGCGTGTTCTGTGGGTCATGAGCAGCATGCATCATGAATCACATACATATTCATCATCATAACGGGCGTGCTTAAAATGGATACAGTTGCGGATGCGGTTGAATGCGGTTGGTTGTTGTGGTTGAGTGCAGGATAGTTTGTTGTTGTGAGCAAGTCAAATGTTGTGGTTTGACGATAACAAGCAAATGATTGAGCGTGAAGAAAGGAATGAATCATTGTGTGAACCAATAGTGTGTCTTTGTTGTCTGCAATGTTTTATCTCTCGTAACATGTATTAAGTGCCTGGCTAAAAAAGTAGTGTGCGATGAAGTTGTCAAATGATTTAGTACATCACCATCCAGCCTCGGAACAACTTCTCTTGGAATATCTGCCTTTATCTTTGGATGCCATTTTGTTAGCATTCGAGTGTTGTCTGCTAATCTGCATTAAAGGTCATCGGGTCGGATCAGCCGCTGTTGTTTATCGTTGTAGTTAGTGGTAGAGAAAGGTCATATCCACCGAGTCGATCAGCACCTTTAGTTACGCGACATGGAGGGCATGTGTGCGTAGCGAGTAAAGGCAGCTGAAGGTGTGGAGCTGCGAGGAAAGGTTAGCATATTTTAGTAGTGGTGAGTTTATGACCACTGCAAGATTTTTTAGAGAAGCAGTTTTGCTAGCAGCAGTGAGTGTGTCCTGTTGCAAGTGAGAGTTTATTAGTAGTGGTGAGCGCAATACCACTATGAGTGCTAATTGTGCGGCAACAGTGAGAGTTATTCTGGTGCTATATTTGCTGATTGATATTGTGTCATTGTGGACGCTGTGAGACGAGCGACGAGTGCGGATTGTGAAAGGTCACAAGTGTCGCTTACAGCAAGCCACGCGTTGTATGAGCGAGTGGGAGAGCGATATCAAGTAAGAATACTTTGCACTGCTTACAAACGACGTCGGTGAATGTTTTAAGGCTCGTTAGTGCATAAGTTGGTGCCGGCGTTCTGCGGTTCTTTTGTCGGAGCGTACAACGATAGGTGTGTTGGAGCGGAAGCGGGTGCAGGTGGTCGACAACTAACGGGAGCAACATAACGGCATTCCTCTGTAAGTCGTATGGCAACTTATCATTTTTGCTTTCTCTTCGTGGGTCCTTTTGTTCATGACATATTTTAAACAGGATAAGTTAATAACGATGTGCAGTTGCTTTCAGTTTGTTTTTTTAAAATAAAGTTTGTGTCAAAAATAGTCATTTAGTTGACTTCGGACGAATGTTTGTTATTAACTGGTTAATGATAAAAATTGATCTTATGATTAAGTTGACCTTAGAAGATAGTCCTAATATTACTAGAATCGTAAATCATCAGCTTACTATAAGGGATTTCGATCATTTTAACAGTGTGTGCTCTAGATTGTTTGCGGATTTTCCCTGTATTCTTTCGATTTCTTTTGCATGTAAAAAATACAGCGTATATGGTGAGACCCGCTTGGAAGGAAATATTTATAAGCAGGACCAGCAGAGTAGAAACAGTAATACTTAAGTACGTATTTAGGTATATTTCGATGCCGTCTTTTCATGCCATTAATTTTCGAAAAAAATCGAATTAACTCTTAAATATCTCGATTTGTAGAATAATTAAGTTTTTTATCTGCGCAAGTCAAAAGTCCTGCTGACGTACCAGAAAGAGCGAATCTGTAAATCGTCGTAACCGATCGTTTTGACATGCCCCTTTAAAATGCGATTCTTTAATTTTTTGTTGCTGATGATTAAAAAATCTCTGATTGCATAAATCTAAGTTTAAAAAAAGTGCTTGTACGTGAGATGGCAGGAATTCGCCTTAGAGATTTACCAGTATTTGGTGGACAGTCCACCGAATCTGCAGAAGACTTTATGGACAGGTTTAACAGAATTAAGAACTATTTTTCGTGGAGCGATGAACAGTCTTTGGTGCATTTCGGTTTGTGCTTGACAAATGCTGCCTTAAAATGGTTCAAGAACAGCGAATCCAAACTGAAAAAATTTTGCGACGCAGAGCAGGAATTTTTAAAAATCTTCGGTAGAAATCTGTTAGACTTAGATATCAGTAAATTCATGTCAAAAAATTCCGCAGTTGACGAACCCTTGACGTACGTATACGGTGTGTTGGATTACATTGCTGCAACCCATGTCAGCGCTGGAGAAGAAGAAAAGGTCAGAATTCTTTTCGAAAATTTGCCGATGCAGCTCAAAGCAGATATGATACAAAATCGTCCCAAAACAGTCGAGTTATTTACTGAAAGGCTGCAGGAAGTTCGTAAGAAGTGTCAATATCTAAAAGCTGATGGGGAGGTGCCCGATGATTGTAAAATTTTCCCGCTTTCTAAGATGTTTTGACGTGCTACTGGAATTTCCAACTAGTTGTTCGCTTAAAAAAAATAATTCAAAAAAACAGAAATAATTCTTAGCTCAGTTAGCTAATAATTCATAAACACTAGTCTAAGTATGAATCAATTAAATTGTAATTATGCAAGTAATGTTCTTTTGGAGGTGGCGCAATTATCGGTACACCAATAATGCAAGAGAGTAAAACCTTTATGTACTTTAGCGCTGTGAATGATTCAGTCGCTTTGCTTAATTCTAACAGTTTTGCTGATTTGTGCCAAAGTGTTTTCTTTGTAGACGTTTAAGGGGTGCATTTTCATAAATATCTAGTCGTGGTTTATCAACAGCGTTTGTCAAAATTAAATAAAAAAAAACTAATTTTCTTAATAAAAAATTTTGAAATTCGGGTCTAATAATTGATTTGCACCGTACAATCGCCGTAGGTAAAATCTTTGACAGCGTATAAGCCGTTAGTGATGACTTTTTTTTACAATTTTGTTTTTGGAATCGCTGACTTCTGTTTGGAATTTAGTTGAATGTTTTAAAGTTGTGCAACAAAGCTGAAAAGAGAAATAAATGAGGATGTTGTGAGAGAAAGATGAGTAAATGAAATGGGTCAATATTTTGAGCACACTTTTATTGTTGTTCCAGCTTGCGCAAGCACTGTCGCTTGAATAACAACATATCAGAAAATTCGAGAACATTTTCGCATCGTTTTTTTAAGATAGCATTATGTTTTGGTACCTTTTGTCTGCTCAGGTAAAATATCCACCATGCGTTATGTTTTACACTAGAACGCTTTAATAACATGAATCGCAATTACTTATGCACTGGGACGCCTCTGCATATGTTCGGGTTATTCATGAAAAAATCGGCAGACAATTTTCAACAACAAATATTCTTGTGTGCAAGCTTGCCGGCAGCCCACTCAAGAAAATTGTTTCATAGCGGCAGTAGAAACATTAAAAAAAAGAAGAGAAGAATTTGGTGCTCAGGGTTCAGATTACAGTACATTAGTATATAAATTCCAAAACATTGTCGCTCATTCGGCTAAAAGATCCTGTCTTATTACGCAGTAAAAAAAAGCGATTCAAAATCAGCGTATGGGTTAATTCTAAATTCTGTATGAAAACACCAGTTCGCAAATTCGGTGCACTGCAATCAAAAAAGCGCAGGGTAATTAGCGGAAAATGGAAATTGAAAAAATCATGTTCATTAAATTGCACGAAGTCGGGACCACGATTTGTTTTTTTCTAATCGGAAAATTATCTGATAAAATGCGGCATTTCTTTGTACGTTTACATTGGTTGCGTTGTGCTCGTTTATTTAGGCTTTAGCTATTGAAGGTAAAATATTGTTGCATAATTTTCTGACCATCGAAACTTTTAAAACAGAGAAGCTAAAGATATTAATAGCTACCTTTCATTGTTGCCATCACCCATTAAAGCTCAATGCACGAGTTGCATATGATTCCTCATATATGCTTGATTTCTATTGTCGCACCCGAACCACACCCCATTGTTAAGTACGCTCTAAATCATATCATATTGCTCTGCGCTTATTAACGTAAAATATTGGCCTCAATATTCAGTACATCGGCAGCACTTAACTTTCCTTTTTCACTTTCTTCATGTTACTTGCTGGTCAAGATGCAATAAAAAGGCAAAATAAAGTTTACTTTCGGCCGTAATACTATGCTTTCATAAGCTTTACACTGCATTAAATATATTATATTTTTATATAATCAGTGTTTGAGTAATTGTCTACCTCAGCTGTACAGTTGTTGGTATTGGGAATTATCGGGATCTGTATTATTACTGAATTTTGTAGAGTACAACGTGCCATATTCACTACGTCAACTCGTATCTTTATATTCATACAATCCTACCGTCCAAAACGTAGTCAATTTTTTTTTATGGATTCGTCAAAGTGTGGTCAGTTTAAGTCAAACTTGGTCTTAAAAAAATCAATATTTTCCTGACCAACTTATTCTGAATTTTGATTTTTTTTTAAAACGTTCTGGTCAGAAAATTGTAGGAGTTGGTTTTAAGCGAGCAAAACGCAAGTGCAGTACTAAGAATACTTTACTATTGTGAAGCACAGTATGTAAAAAGTACAAACGGTACTGTAACCATGGATATGGATCTGTAAGTACACTTTGGTCAGTACAGCAGTTAGGGTAATGTGGATTTTTACGTAGTTCAAATTCTAAACAGCCCCCGACGACTGCCGGAACAGTCTATAAATTCAAACCTGACCTTTCCAATACAAACGTGCCGAGCGTGAAAGCGCGAGGCTTATCTTGTACTAACAATCATTATGCTTATGATACTCGTAAAGATTGCGCAATGTGCAAATGATATTCGTACCAATAATAAGTCTTGGAGATGTTAGTTCTCAGTGTGAGGGTCTAGTAATGGTGTAATTATTATGTGAGTAGGTGAATGTTATGCTTGCGTGTGAGGTACTTTGTAGAAGAACTTGTCAGCGGACAGCCTACGACAACGGGAAAGCCGGCTAACAAGATTCTGCATAGTCTGCGGTTTAAACGTTTCATTCAGCAGCGCCCTAGCCGGAAGAAGCTGCACAGCTGTTTTGTCGCACCAGCGCACAGCCAACTAGCGTGGCCAGACGGAAGGAGTATCTACCGGCGGTGCCAGCGGAAGTAGTGCTGCTGCGGTGTCCACGTCTAGTGCGAGTTGCAGCACTAAAGAGACGTGAGCCAGTGCAAGTAACAGCACGCGCGGGATATTGAGTGCCGTGATTGGTTCGAGTACGAGCGCTGAAACTTGACTTGTGCGAGTGCTGGTGCTGGCGCGGTATCCTTTAAAATTGTGTGAGTGGTGACGTTGGAGCATGCAATGCAGGTGACAGCATTGCGAGTGCTTGTGCGAGTGCTTGTGCGAGTGTTGGCATGAGCGAGCGTGAATTTAGTGCAAGTGTTAGCACTGAGAGTGTCCGTGCGAGTTGTGGTATGGGCAAGGTGAAGTCCTGTGCGAGTCAGTGCACAGTAGCGTGTGTGTCCGGCGTGAGTCATGGCGCGGGCAAGTTGGTTAATGGTGGCAGTTGTGACACTGGGAAGTCGATATCCAGTGCGAGCGATGGCTTTGCAGAGATGGTGCCGGTCAGTACGAGTGCCAACACTAGCGAGTGCAATGTTAGTGTGAGTGGCAATACTGGCGAGGATGGCATCGGAGTGAACGGCGCGAGTGGTCAGTGTGGTGTCAGTGTGAGTGGTGACAGTGGTCAGTGTGGTGTCAGTGTGAGTGGTGACATTGGCGAGTGTGGTGTCAATGTGAGTGGTGACATTGGCGAGTGTGGTGTCAATGCGAGTGGTGGTATTGGCAGCAGAGTGGTCAGTGCGAGTAGTGGCATTGGCGAGTGTGTGTGCGTGGGGAATACAGATTCAGAGAACATCAACAAACATGACGATATGTTGCGGACGTGTCAGGAGTTGTTAACCGGATACGTAGACCGGATGGGAGACTCATTACCATTTCCGGCTGAGTTTACATGGATGGCGGAGGAGTTGGCCCGGATTTGCGTGCAGTTAAGAGCATTAGTCCCACATGGAGCGCGGTTTACCCTGGAGTCACCAACCGATATCTGCTACGGACGCCACGTAGTGTACGATTTGGATAAGTTCATCTATGGACAGTTTCTTTACTACCGTGGAGACGACGGAGCGATGCGTTATGAGAGCAAATACGGCTTTGTGTACAAGGAGTGTGGCGCCCAGAAGGAGCTAGTGTTAGTGGGAGAACATCCACGATTCTTTAATCCATTTAAATGGTTCGTGGAAGAGGCAATTCGCAATACGTACGGACCGCGCTTGTATCACATTACACTCCCGGAGATGCGCCTTCAACACATCATGCGGGAGGTGACGGAGCGGAGAGCGCAAGTTGCAGCGGATGCGGCGCCAGACTATAGTGGCATAATGGAAACGCTGGACTTTGCGGATCTGCTAGTGCGAGGGGGGAGCGCGCCGGAAGTTGTGAGCGAACTAGACGATGATGCCGGTTATCACCAAACGCCGGCTGAGTCAAGTGCAAAGGCGGTAACAATGCAGCCTGCACCGGTAGAGAAAATGGATACGGATTCGGTGGATACCGGACCGGAAGGGGGCAAGTGCCATCCGAGTTAAGGGATGGCAGTCACCCTCTGGGACGGTCGAACTCGAGTGTCTGGACGGATTGCGGAGCGCGATGGTGTATTAAAGCGACCCATGACGAGGACGTCATGATTTATAGGAGAGGTGTGTTGCGCGAGTATATAGCGCAAGCGTGTTCTGTGGGTCATGAGCAGCATGCATCATGAATCACATACATATTCATCATCATAACGGGCGTGCTTAAAATGGATACAGTTGCGGATGCGGTTGAATGCGGTTGGTTGTTGTGGTTGAGTGCAGGATAGTTTGTTGTTGTGAGCAAGTCAAATGTTGTGGTTTGACGATAACAAGCAAATGATTGAGCGTGAAGAAAGGAATGAATCATTGTGTGAACCAATAGTGTGTCTTTGTTGTCTGCAATGTTTTATCTCTCGTAACATGTATTAAGTGCCTGGCTAAAAAAGTAGTGTGCGATGAAGTTGTCAAATGATTTAGTACATCACCATCCAGCCTCGGAACAACTTCTCTTGGAATATCTGCCTTTATCTTTGGATGCCATTTTGTTAGCATTCGAGTGTTGTCTGCTAATCTGCATTAAAGGTCATCGGGTCGGATCAGCCGCTGTTGTTTATCGTTGTAGTTAGTGGTAGAGAAAGGTCATATCCACCGAGTCGATCAGCACCTTTAGTTACGCGACAATGCATTTTAAGCAGGTCAAAACCCAAGATGCCGGATGATGAGTAATGGAATTTGATTTATATATTTCACCGGCAGCTCATGGCAAAACACACCAACACATCGGCTTGTTGCTATATAAATTTCGTTATTGCATTGATTAATAAGCACGGCTTACCGGTAAATTACTTTGAAAATACATAAAACTTATACGTAGCCGACTTACGAGCATAATACCGGTGTACTGTATTTTGAGTTTTGACGCTAACGACAATCAAAACAGCATCTACAAATACATAGCTGTATGATCAGCTTTCATAATAATTATTTACTGTACGTACACGGTACATATCTGTACAATACCTATCGGCTGCTGACACATTCTTGTTTAGATCTTTAATTTTCACAGTCCAGAAGAACAAATAACATACAACTGTAAGTTTGTAACTGAAAATTGTACAAGAGAACTTTGTTGCATATTTAAGTAGTGAAATACAGATATTATAACAGTTTGCAAATAAAATATTTTTATAATCTCTTCTGAGATGGAAAATGTTAGGGAAATCACTAGTCGAATCCATGCTGCGCGGCCTGTGCCATGAAAATACCACAATCCAGGTTAAGGAAAACAGTTATGGCTGATATCGATAACGGTGAAGTGACGCTTGAGATTACCGCAACCAAAGAAATCATTCCCGGCGCGACTTTATACGGAAAGCGTCGGAAATGATGAAATCGAAATGAACGCTAATCCCTAATGGCATGTGTGTCCACAACTGGTTGAGCAGCATTTTTTCCCGCTCGGGCAGTCTTTGCTGCTTTGGCATCCCTTCGCCGCGCGTTTACACACGCCAATAATACCTTCATTCTGAAAATAAAAATGTAGGTTCTATATTGTAAACACGTCACAGCATTTGTAATACAAAACACATACCGGATTACACGGTGGCACTGAGCGTTTTGCGATAAAATGGCTGATATCGTATTCTGCAAAAGAATCTGTCAAGCCAATTTTTAGTAACGGTATATGGCCATAGCGATCCCGCTAATCAGTAGGAACACTATGCTTTTTTTAAATAAATGGAATCGTGGAATGTGGCACCATATATACCGGCAGAGGCAGTTCCTGTTAGTAAAAGGAGTCCACAGAGAAAACCGATTGCAACGAGATTACGGGTCATTTTTTTGCGCAAAAATTGACCTGGAATTTGGAAAATATTCCAAACTTGTAATGTGCAGTATTACGAACAATACACAGAAATTAACTGCAGCTGACTTTTATACGGGAAAATATCTGCACCAGCTGAGATATGTATTTCTATTATGAGAATGGACAGTGTTCTATGCTCATGCAGTATAATATCAAAAATTTATTTCCCGCCACAGGGCTAGAAAAGGAAATCACCCAAGGGTATTTTTTACGTTGTTTTTTCGTTCCATCTAAACATTCAGGGGAAAAATAAATAAAAGCGGAAAAAGACTTATAAAATTCTGAAAACAGAATTCGTCTTGTGCATATATGTGCAGATTGTGCAAATATGGTTGGAACCAAATAGGCGAAATTGAATAGGAATACTGCAAGTTGCTGTAGAAATTGTATTTCTTATTTGATTTTGCAAATTTGCCTGACGCAAACAAGTTTCAGAAACATCATGTTCCGGCTCTTCTGGGTACAATCACTATAAACACATTTTTATGTAATTGTTACGAGTATAAATGTGGCTATATAATTATCCGGGATGGTGGGGAATAGTGGAAGATGGCAGTAAGACTAACCAACTATACTCGCAACAAAACAGCAGCTAGTGGCAACTCTTTACTGATAAAAAGTCCAAATGAACAGAGAGCATTTTCTGGCAGCATCGCAGGGCTGCTTATATACTCTAAGCATCACGGATAGAAAATCTAAATCAGCATAAAAACAATTAAGAAAGATCTAGAACGTTATTTAACAATCGGGTGTGGCTCGGGTGTGACAACAGAAAATAAGCATACAATGATGAATCTTATGCAACTAGTGCATTGATCGTTATTGTGTGATGGCAACAACTTAAGGGTCAGCTTTAGCTGCTCTATTTTAAACGCTTCGATGGTCATATAATTACGCAGCAATATTTTACCTATAACATAATCCAATAGAAGATTTTGCGCAGTGACCGTTTAGACGATTATTTCGTAATTAATCCTTTAGCTAAATTATTAAACCATGGAATTATAATTTGATTTTTGTAGCCATACTATTCAGATTTACCGGCTTACTTTTCAGATTGTAGAATTTGCAGATTTAGAACAGAAAATTTGCAGCGCACGGAATAAGTTATAAGGGCAACCTTGTTCTTTCGTCTATCGTATAATAAAGAAGAATAAACATGGCAAAATTAACGAAATTTTCAAGTTCCAGATAAACATCATTATGGCGTGAGTGGAACAATAAACTGTCCAGTCGTATGTTCTCAAAACTTCCAGACAAAAGCAAAACAGGACGTAAATGTTCGCAGTTCCTATTAAAATTTCACCACTCCCGGATTTATTTGCCGTGGCCTCTTGCCGCTAGAGCAGCGCAACTAGATTAGCCAATAGTGGACAATCGCTTATGTCGAATGGTTGGAAAATCTGGCATCCGCATTGACGCCGATTGTTGCTGTAGCATATATAAAAGCTTTTAAAGACTGGAGAAATCTGCATTCTGTTTGATTAAACTGTACTAGAAACTTTTTCGTTGCCAACTTGCCATAGCCTTTCGGTTATTATTTTGTAACGATTCGTAGACGTGACCTTTCATTAAGATGCATCGCAGTGTTATCGTGTGCGCCTTGCTGATGAGCCTGCTGCTTATGGCCGGAACGATTTCTGCAGGTAAGGTTATTCCATAGAGTAAACTTTCAGCGCATAACGTTCTTGATACTTTTGCTTAAAGTTTTATTTCATGTTTTTTTATGACTGATGGAAACGATAATAGTTAATCGATAAAGGTCATTAGGCTGAACATTTATATTACTGTGATGTCGCTAAATAACGACGCCTTTTGTGGTGTAGGAGCCATCGATCTCGAAAAGGTCCTGGAAAAACGGGAAACGCGCCGGGATTGCAGGGTAACCCATTAATTGATACTCGCTACTACGATTAATTTTTTTGTTTTGTTTTGGATAACATTTTTGAATTCATAAGAAACCAAATTTTGAAGTGACATTAGATTACGGCTGATTTAATTTTGGTTACTAAACATGCATTGAGATCGTTTCCATTACATTGGTTAATCACATTGCGCTGTTGTTTATCTAACTATTACGCTAAAATGCAATGTCACGATGAAATTTGAAGTAACTTCAGAGTTTTTTAAATTTTGGTCATTGGCTACCTAATATGCATCAAGGTTGCTTTTACTGGATCGGTTAATTATTGCGCTACTGTTAGTTAACGATTACGCTAAAATGCAGCATCATGATGATACTAACGTTTTTACCTTTTGTTTGCAGAAGCGGGACCATCACTGCGACCGCAAGGACCGTAAGAATTTCTGCGAGCATGATCGTGAGTGCGGACGCGGAAAATGCTGCTTCGATGGCTGTAATCTGCATTGTGAGAATTAAACCCATTTCTACCGTGTACTGAGTACCAGTTGCATGTATAAACCGTCCCTGAGTACCGTGCAGTTTTAAATTCATGAGCGAGCTTTTCTCTGATTTTCCCAATAATGGAATGTCTTTAACATTTCGGTGTGATTAGATGTTATTAGAATTGTCGGATATGATGGAGTTTCAGTAATGATAATATCTCAGTATGAATTGTATTTTGCTTCCGCGTTAAATCACCCTAAAAACTACCGGCTAAGAAATCGTAACGTGCGCCAAATAAAACACATGCATTAAGGATTGAAAAACGTTGATTTTCTTAGTTGACGAAATCCGCATCCGGTGATTCGGTAGAATAACAAGATTTGTCAAAAATCGGGCCGTAGTACCGGTGGAATATCTATGAATTTCGTTTGTAGTAAAATCGAAAATTTTCTGCACATCTTACGTTAGATAATTACATTTTTACTGCTGCCGTACTTCTGGGACAAATGATTTGTTTATCAAGGCACTGCATAACAGTTGTGCTTAACGCATAAGGTTTCATCGCCTAATTTTATTTGCACTTGGGAGAAAAGTTTTCACAGCGCGCGTGCCAAAAATGGGTCATCGCTCTCGTTGGGTGTTGCACAAGACCTTAAATTACATCGGCACGAAAATCCCCAAAATTTTTTCTGGACTGTGGTCACGTCGAACGTTGAATCAACATGACAAGTCCACTGCGTATAAAGTACTGTAAACTTTTCCAGCATTACGTTAGTCAGTTTTAAAGTCCTGTGACTATTTGATTTCCGTTAAAAATATTTTGTTTTTTGGAAAACAAAAACACCTGGAGGCGTTTGAAAATGTATATATTGTAATGAAGTACTGTTGTGTTGCACAAATAAACGTTAACATGCATAATGCATAATCGTCATTTGTCAACAAATAGCTTCGCCATACCAGCAGCATTTCGCGAGAATTGATTTTATTGCATATTACATTCAGTATAGATAATATTCCATTTCTGCTTGGGATAACATAGTGCCGCAGTCATATTTAAACGATACGCGCAAAAGTTCCGAATACGCGTAAACCACAAATAAAATATGTACAATTATGCCAGGATCATTTTTAAGAGTTACAGAGCTTCGCGGTCCGTAGCACTAGCCACTACTTGCACTGGTTGCCGCAACCCGTACTGCAGCACTTCTTCCCGCCCTTGCAGTCCTTGTTGCTCTTGCATCCCTTTCCGCCGGTGCACTGAGTATCGAAGATACCTTCATTCTGCAAGAATAATATGAAATGATTAAGTTTTATTAATGCGCACCCACGATACAATACTTGCAAAAACTAAAAAGCCGAGTTTTGCAAAAAGCCGTCAGATTGTGCACTTGAGAGCTTTCAACAATTCAACTCACCACATTGCACTTGGGCAGCGAGCGCTTCTCAATGTCATGGCTGACGTCGTCTGCAATCAAAGATTAATAACTAACTGCAAAACAAAATCCGTGTATGTAGCCAACCTAGCCAACCCCAATAAAAAAGGTTAAAAAATAGTAGCGTGTAAGGTGAATGAAATTAATTATGCCTGGGAATGCCGAGGATAGTAAAAATTTCTTACAAGTCGTTACTGTTCCTGCCAAAAGGAAGAGTAGCCCCACAATCAGGCTGACAATAAGGATATTTCGTTGCATGATGAGAGAGCAGGATCAAGCGCCACGTTAAGCAAAGATCGTCTGTTTCGAAATAAACGAGGCAAGCATTACAATACTGCAGTATAAATTGTCGGCGGTTTGTGTGCATTGCTGTGTTTACCGGAACTTTCCACTTGGATAACCTGATATGCCCGAAGCGCAAATACCGGATCTGTGTTCTGTATATGCCGGTGTGGTCAGGGTCTCTTGAATGTTAGTGTATATTTTGCAAGTGAACTGCTAAACCAACCTTTCCAGTACGTCGCTATGTGACATCCACAAAAAAAGCAACCGGCAAGGAAGTTTGGACTTCTGAACTTTTTTGCCACAGAACATTTCGCAGATTAAACTGATTTTAATTAAAAATATTTTCGAATAGTTTAAAGGTGAAGCCGGTGTCTTTTTCGAACATCATTACAGGTTTTAATTTACAGAGTACCAATGCATCAGAATAAGAACGGGGTTTACATAGTAGTTATATGTATTATTCAGCAAAAGCGGCACACATAGCAAAAAACTAAAAAGCTAAGCATCACAATATATTAGACTAGACGACACCAATGAAATCCTTCCAAAAAACTTCCATGACAGCATTTATGGTGATCCGGTTTGGCGGTTATTGTCTCCGCAAGACATCTCCAAGTGGCACTCCGGATCGCCGCTGCAGGTCGCCCACTGCTTCAAACCAGACGACACGCCCAGTTTCTGGGTGTAACACCAGGCATCGCCCGGCTGCATCTTGTCCCAATCGGCGTACGCCCAACACCAGCCTTTGTAACAGCCACACGTACTCAGTCCCGCACAAGATGTAGCGCTGCCTTCCGATGCTACAACCAAAAATTTCGTCATGCTAAGTGACAACTACGTTGTAATCTATTTATTACACTTTATGGGCATTTATTCGTTATTTAATAAAAATCAAAGACTCCAGGAGAGCATTTACGAAAGGTCATCAGCATGGCCACCGCCACAAGCATAGACACAACCAGAATTTGGTTCATTTTTGCGAGTAACTGACTTCCAAATAGAATAAAAAACGAATGAGTTATCGAAGAACGCAACAGACTGTTAAAGAACTTGTTAAGTGTTCAAGGATGAACTGTTGGATATTCGTCGCATGAGTGTCACTTTTTGTACGGTTTTGTTATAATCGACAGAATAATGTTTTGCAGTCGGCTGCAAGAAATGCTTGTCGGGTATAAAATTAATAGTAATAGTTTTAAAAAAAGGCTGGATGAGTAACCGTATCCGCTTTGTTGTTGGACTCGTGAAGGTGACACAGCAATGTTGGGTCCTAACATCTGCGGTTTCCTTCGAAAGGCTTGAATTGTTTTGTCTACCTAGTTGTTCAGTCACGCTTGTTATTGCGGTACACCGTCACCGGCTGTAGTTTCACTATAAATGAGTGAGTCATCCGTGCGTTCTTGCAGTATGTATGCTGTTTTAACATTCGCATAGTATCCACAGCTGTTGAAAGTGCGATAATTAAGTTGTTGTTGCTGCTCACGGCTGTTGTGTACGTAGACTTCCAATTTCGCAGTCATTGTCCGAAAATGTCTGGTTCATACACAGATGAATGCACTATTCCCGGTACGGCGTAACAATAACGGAGATGAATAGCGAAGGAATGCGGTGAATGATAACTATGGTCAGAATAAAGCTGAATGTGACGACAAACTTCACGATACAACTATATTAGTAATACGGCATGTTTCGTTTTCCTGAATGTAGAATACATTTGTCGGTAAATCACGATATCTTAAGAACAATATTTTCATCATGACAGATACTCGTACACGTTTTTAAAAACATTTCTCAAACTGCTTTTAATTAATGCTTTCCAACTCAACGCTAATAAACCCGATGCCGTATATAAGCGCCGCAGCTACTGGCCCAAAAACCAACATTTCTTTTCCAAAATCTTTTCTCTCTTTCACTTTTCATACGTTTCTAAGTTCGTATACTTACAATCTCGTTGCAGTAAAAATGAACCAACTCTTGGCTGTTTCCATGATCGTAGCGATGGCCCTGCTGTTCGATATGCGTAAGTTAATAAAGGTTGTTGAGAGTTGTTCTTTGATATATAATTATAGATAATCAGTGTTTTTGCATAACGGTTTCTTTCGCTTTAGTTAATAATATATGTACTGTATATACTGCTTTTGCATGAGAGCTTTTTAAATATTGTTTCATTTGCAGCGTCCGAAACCAGCGCCACATCCTGTGCCGGGCTCAGTACGTGTGGCTGTTACAAAGGCTGGTGCTGGGCGTACGCCGATTGGGATAAGATGCAGCCGGGCGATGCCTGGTGCTACACCCAGAAACTGGGCGTGTCATCTGGTTTAAAGCAGTGGGCGACCTGCAGCGGCGATCCGGAATGCCATCTGGAGATGTCGTGTGGAGACAACAACCGCCAGACCGGATCACCTTGAATCCTTAAATTCACTGCTGGGAACGTCCTGTCGTTCTTTGCCTAGTCGAGAAATCTTGTGATGTTTAGTTGTTTAGTCTCTGTTTTTTTTGCTGTTTGCTCAAATACTGTGCATGTACTTATACCGTGTTTTCCCTCCATAGCGTCTTATACAATGCTTTTTACGTTAGGTTACGATATTAAGTGTAGGGCGAAATGTAAATCTGTAACAAATACTCTTTAAACCTTGATATTTTACAAATCTACGCAAAGATTAATTATAAATAGCAGTATCGCAAAGTTGAAAACATTCTTTTCCTTTGCCAACAATTTGCATTACGGCGTATCGTTGCAAACTACTTCATTAATTGACGTGAATTGTCTAATTTCTATTCTTTGCGAGATTATGCAGGTATTAGCATCTTATTTGTAAGAAAAGGATGAGAATTTCATAAATTTTTCCCCGTTAATACGAGCACTTTCGGTTTCATAAGGAGAAGGTCGGTTTCATAAGGAGAAGGAGAACGTAACCGAAAACCATCTTACATCAACGTGCACCGGCAAACCGGGGTTTCTTATTGCTAATTAAAAAGCCGGCCCGTTTATTGTTACCGTAACCTTTGCGTGAAAAGTCTCGGATAACACTCGCCGAAGCTGGCATGGATGTACGGCCTACGAAAATATCGATCTGATCTGCAAAAATATTGATCCGATACCGGTTCGGTCATATGGTCTCTCCTCGCAGGGAGATCTATTATTGCAGTCACCACAGACTTTATTACTCGAAGAGCAAGGTTAACAAACCTGCGTTACTCTGTCGCATGGGAATTACAGATAGGCTGAGCAGATTTTCCGGGATAACATTTAAATTTTTACAGCATTATTACTAACTCATATAGACATTTACAGCTTTGTTAGTTAGCTACGCCTGGCATTTAGCTGCGCATACGTCACGGTGAATATTTTAATCTAGCAGTACAGTAATATTAAATAATTATATAAGGAGCTGACGGCAGCAAGTGCTCAGCTTAGCCTTTGCCAGCCCCTTTTTACAGTCATAGCAAAATTTAAAAGGTTTTAACGGTAACACAACGTACAGTGCGCTGCAATTTTGCGAACGTCCGCTTTCAACTGTTGACGCCAGCAAAATCAGCATGGTACGGTCCACAAAGTCAGAGGTGAAAAATCTGACCTTACTAACGTCAAAAAATTATGGTACCATTATGAACTAATTATGTGTTGCATCTGTGTGGCAGTCCAAGCTGGATTACTATGTGAAGTTTGTTGATTAAAATGATGGTGATTCCGAAGTGCGTATGCTAGAACCTGCTTGACGGTCACAGGGCCGGCACAAAGAAGGGAGCGAGCGAGAGGGGCGTAGACCACGGTGGGCTGTTCAGCGCTTCAAACTGGCGGAGGGCCATAAATTTTGAGCCATCCGCCGAGGAAGGTGGTCATTGTATTAAAAAATTAAAAATGTTAAAAACTTCTTAAAAGAACCCCAGAAAAGGTTGCAAAATTCAATAAAGTTAATAAAAGCTCCGCAAAAATTAAAGAATTCTGTTAAAACGGGCGAAAACGTTTATTAAAAACTTTTGAAAAATTCCGAAAAGAGTGCCAAAGAAGTGTGATTTATTCCTCCGCTGGATACCACCCACCCGGTTTTTGAGACCGCCCTCTGGCGGTAAAAAATCGAAAGCAGGGGAGCGGATAATCCCCGCCCCATTTCCTTTATGCCAGGCCCTTGGTCACAGTTGCCTTACGTAACTAAAGGGTAACTATGTAGGTGCTGTTCTGTGAAAAACAATACCCCTACTTGTACAGGAATACTGTTTTTAATATTGATATTGCTATTTGTTCCTTACCATCCCATTCGCAATAGTTACTCAAGAATTCCAAATCGTGCGAAGAAAAAATTTCAGCAAGAATTCTTAAATCTGAATTTACTTTTCAGTTATGTATCTCTACCTACTTACTATACGCATAGTTAAACGCATAAGCTTTGTAAAAAAATTTGTAGACCTGGCGCTCGAAGCTGCCGCCACGGCATCGAAGCGCTTACGTAATTAGTAATCTAGCGGCTTAAATTATCGAGAATCCTCTATTAATTTTCGATCGATATTTTAAACGTGTACATGTATGTTCCTTGGACGTGCATTACGCTCCAGTGATTTGGAAAAATCTACCAAGTACACAGCGCCTCGATCAACAGTTGCTGACGTGCACCGTTCTACCATTGAATGCCAGGACCATTCTCCACCTGCTCACACGTGCTCTGGCCAATCCTACCGGTTCGGGAAGGTCGCAGGCAGGTCGTATGGCCAAGTATTTCACTGCTACTTTGAGACAGTGGCGAACAGATTCCTTTTCCGTTAAATCGTTGTACGGTTTCCATTAGGCTCCGATCTCGCTAGTGTCGGTTTGGATTTGATTACTATAGGCTCCAACACGTATATTCTCAACTGCAGCGGTTCTATATGTTTTATCTACGTAGCCGACGTTTTGCGGGCGGTTGCATTGTGTGGCTGGTAGTGGTGTTGTGGATGGCAGCGCGCATCTACCGAAAGGTCAAGGTTCGAAATACCGGAATGGGTTTGGATGCCAATCTCTGTCGCATCTGCAGTGTCCCTCGATCCACGCATGGATTGCTGCTGGGAGCGAAAGCATGCAATGGCTGCGCGGTAAATACGGTAATTAACGGGGTTATTATTCAGAGTGGTTACGAAGACGGGGACAGGCACTGGCTTCTTAGAGTGGAGTGCCGTTAACCCCCGCCACTGCCCACTGTATGCGCGGCAGTTGAGCGGGTGGTAACGGTACTCGCCTCTTAAACCGGGGCTGCAACGTGTGTCCACCTTCTCGTAACCAATTTTTCCGTTATACCTAACTAGTTACCTACTCTCCCTTGGAGAAACAGGTATGGGACAGATTAGTAAAATTTTAATAACAAGACCGACGTTCACATTAATCGCAAGACAAACCCGCTTCTCCCATCTTCAGTCAAAAAACCGGTTTTTGCAAAAAAAACTTCGCACGCAAATGCTGCACCTGTGGGTAAAATCATAACGATATATTTTTAATAATATCGAAATCATTTTAAGTTTTGATAAACACTCTGTGCATCGCTTCCTTTCACTCTGCAAAAGGTAGCGAAAGGGAGTGTCCACCACCTTAAATTTTTTGTAATGTTAGATAAAGTGAATTTTCGGTCACGTTCTACGTAGATGATAAAACGAAAAAAACCTTCTATCATCGACTAAACTGCAGTCACTAGCAAAAGCCGGTATGAACGGTTGTGTTATACTTTTCAAAATTTAATGACTTTCACTTGTGTATGCTTCGCATAAACACAGAGGCATTTGGTTGCGCTTCAAACAAAATTCAATATTGTTACTACATGTGCCAGCACCAATTAATGGTGGAAAGAAAACTGTTATTGCTCTTAACTGTTTGTACGGGAAGCGGTGAACAATACGTGTACTTGAACATATCGCTTTTGGGACAGGCATTTTTTTCACGGGCGATAAAAATTCCACCCGAGCGTTCATTGAAATGCCCACTGTCCAATACCTGCTCGACCGCATTCAACATAAAACGCGTCTGTAAAGCGTGCCGGTTGAGACGCTGTATTGAAGAAGGAATGAAGAAGAAGCCACAGTGTGTAACAGGTATGGTGATGTGTTTTTTTTCCGTTACCTTTATTCGCTGGTTGTTTTGCACAGTTCTCTTTTTGATCCGATACACCGTTTGTTCTTAACGACTTCTTTAAACTAGAAGCCATTTGTGATACTACGGTGCGGTCCGCCACTGGGATAGGGTAACGACGAGTCTGTGAAATCGAGGCAGTTATAAGCGGCAAAGGTGCTCTCACCGGCAGCATTCGCTACAACATTTTCCTACAATCGATTTCACATTATCGTACGGGGAATGTGTGCTGCTCACTTAAACCTAGCTATGAAACGGGTACGGTTCGATGAGACAGAGAAGTACCACAGTCCCGTTCTGTTTAAAGTGTTTTACGTCATGAGCAGGCAGATCCCTACAGAGCTTTCTGATTCATATGCTCCATTGGCGAGTAATACTGTACTCGTATTTTCAAGAAGTGAACTTGCAGCTTTCTGTTGAGCTACAATCTACACGTTGGTTTTGGTTCCCCAAATAAGACACCCCACTGTCCTTGACGCCGCATAATTTACCTGACGCAAGCGGTAGCGTCAAAGCAAAGTAGGTCATTGTTGCAACTTGCAGGCATGTGAAATGCATCAGTGACGCGACAAAAAACGAGATGCTCATTTTAACGCATCTTCCGCATTCAATCACTCTTCTGCTCGAATGCTGTGTTGAGTTTCTGCAGCACACTGTTTTTGATTTAGCTTTTAAGTTTTGAAACCGAGGGCCGACTGGCGAATTCCGCTTTTTGGCCATATGTTATGCAAAACTAAAAGGAAACGGTGCTCAGAATTTGAAGGCAGCCAGTGCGAAAGGACTAACACGCAAGTAAAAAAAAAAGAAACTTACAGAATTTTTCAAATTAATAAAATCTGCAGTACGCCGGCACACCAGGCGCGTGGGACCTCTACCGGCGCCGGATGCCCTCAAAGGCTCAACCTCTTTCATTCAAAATTTACAGCTTGCAGATTTCGCGTAGTACAAATGCAGGGAAACGGAAAATTGATTTTGACAGGAATACAGGTTGACCATGAGAAGATCGTCCATGTGCGTCATAGGCTATGCTTTTTGCAGCTGACGCGCGAGTGTTACAGATGTTCACATATACAGGTGGAGAAAAAGCCCAGCCCAGCGACCTCCTCTCCCTGTCAGCCAGTTCCAGTACGGACATCGTTCCCGCTTGCAATCCAGCTACCGGCAACGCGTATTCCAACCTGCCAGCCGGGCATTTCAGCGAAGCTGCCGCCCGCACACATCGCAATAATTTTATGGATGTTTTGGAACTGCGGAAATCTGTCGGTAATCTGGTGTTATTTAATTCCTGTAGCGACGGGACAACGCTTTCTCTCTAACGCCGGCCGTAATACGTCGATATAAATGTTACTATTGATGCCGGCAGGTGATGTTATGACTTTAACCATGATGTACTGCGTAGGCTATCAAAATCTTCCCAATCTGCTCATCTGCTCCGGTTATACGGCACCGTATGCGGGTCGGTATTGGTATCTATCCAGAGAACGCAGCGAGATGCTGCAGACAGCCGCATTAAACATAACAGCTGCCTACCAGGAAGCGTACGGGGATTTACTCCACTCCTTCGATGTGCTGCAAGCATCGGCAGCACAGGGATTCCTGCCGGTAAGGAAAATGTTGAAGTATGATATAGTGGAATGTTGTACAGCCTTTTACATAGATTAAAATAGTTAATTTATTTAATAACAGAAGATTGCTTATTTGCGGTATAAAAGACCTCGAACGACAGCTTCCCTTCATGAATGCCACATAAGCTGCAAGCCACACCTTCAAAAGCTTGTTTAAATGCAAGCTTATACAATGCACACTCTTATGTGATTACCTTCTATTTAATAACAGAAGATTGCTGGTATACGATGTTAGAGACAAACGTTTGCCTTTGCAACTGCAGCACCAACCGCAAGCCACACCTGCACAAGCAGTTTGGGCAGCTAAAAGAACGCTAGAAGATCGCATGTTCCGATTATGCCGCTTCACTGCTATGCTGCCGTCATTTCAGAACTTGGGTAACGAGGATAGAAGAACGTTACTGGCGGAAAAGTATCTGATCTCGATCATGGTCATTGCAATGTTTCCGAATGACACTGAACCTCGCTGGTGCGTTTTAGAACACTGACTGGTCTAATATTACTTGCAGATAACCAATGCCCGATATTATTACCGAAGCGGCTATTACATTTATCTCACCGGCTCCGATCCGGCCGATTGTATCCACTACTGCCGCGACGTCAGGGAACAACTGCAGTTAGACCCTGATTTTGTGCAGTTTATTGACAAGTTCAATGTCATGTTCAATGATCTGGGATTGACGGTGACAGAGACATACATGCTGCTAACCGTCGCGCTCTTCGCAGCAGGTTGTATAAACGATCGATATTTTTGTTGGGGAATCGTATCGAGTACAAGCAGCCAGGTCTACCACTACGATTAGAAACACTGCACGTAAGATGAAATCAAAAATTTCCCTACATAGCGAAAAATTTATTAATTTTTGGGACCGGCATTAAAAGAGCTGTTGCCCGTTGGCTAATTTCGGTGTTGGTTGATTCCTCTTCGTCGAATTTTGTATAAGCTGGAAATTTACCGGCTGAGAACGGGTTTCCCATACTTGCTGCCGCCACCCGGCTGAAGCGTAACATTGCGACTAATCGATGAAAACAAATATATTTACCTAGTTTTTGCTTACCTGAACGATTTGTCGCAACGCCACGCCCCAATGGGTTAACGGCAGCGAGGGCTGCGGTTAGTAGTATTTATTTACGATCTGACTGCAGTATATTACAGGAATTTCAAAATGGCAAAACTGTGTTTCAGATGTGACCGAAATCGTTGACAAACCGACCATGCGCTATCTGCACGCTATTTACTTGGACGCTCTGTTCTATTTGGTGGGACACCGGCTAAATCCCGCGGAGCGACTGCCGGTGTATGCCAAAGTGGAGACGTTGATGACCATGTTCCCACTGGTGGATCGCATCACCGCTAACTACCTAAGCCATGTGAAGATTCCCAGTATTCCAATGAGACCCGAATCAGTTGTATTTCGCGATTGCGTAGGACAGTGAACTCATACACTTCCTCGTATGCAATTTGTTTTTCTAGACTTATATGGTGAAAATGAATTTACATAAATGATAAAGCCTGGTTTGATGCTTTGTGAGCTGGCGAGTTAACAAATTGTAATTTTGGTGCCCTGCTTGGTCATGTACGTTCATTAGTGACACTGTTCTTTTACATTTCTTTAGCGCGAAATTACTGGTGTATTTTGTTCTGAAATATCTCAGCTTTTTGTTAACATCAGCGGCATGCTATTTCATACGCACAAAACGAAAACGAAGGTTGCATGCATAATACGAGAGCGCAGTCGGACATTCATTGCTATGAGGAGGTTAAAACGCAAATTTAAAATCGGCGTTCACATTGCAAATTACACCCGTCAAAGCAGCAGTTTTCACGGCGACCGCAATCACGATCGCGCTGGCATCGGTTGACGCGATCCCGGCGTCCGCAATGGCGATCCCGACGCTGCAGATACACGGTCATTAAAACCAATCCTCGTTGCAACAAGAAACTTATTTATTCACTTACTCATGAAAGAGAAATCGAATGTTTATGTACGAACATAAAACTGCCGTAATGTACGTACCCGACAGTCCTGGCGACCGACCCGTGCCTCACGCAGCAGAGGATGATCGAGATCAGTGTTTTCTGTCAAAGAAAAACTATTTAGCTTAAGCGAGATTAACAGAAGGTTTAGCATAAAATCGCCGGTAATTGGCTACACGCTTCATGCTTGTAAATCCATTTGCGAGTATGTGCATAATCATGCACAGTTACCAGCCACCAATACTCTCAGAATTAAATGTACAAGTACAGCAATGCACTGAAAGAAGCACGTGAAAAATCTTTCCAATAGGTAAATTTCAGAAATTATTTTAATCAAGGGTTAATACAACAGAAATACATTTAAAATTTTTATTGTCGGTTGTTCTACAAATTTACCGGCAGGCATCGCAGCAGCCACAAGGATCAGTCCCAGTAATAACGCCGATATGACGATGGAACGGTCCATTTTGCAACTAAGCCGGGAAGGTCGTCAAAACAAAACTAAACGTGCCCAAATGAAATTATGCTGATGGAAATTATAGTGAATCTCGAAGTGTATTGGGAAAAACTCTGACATCAAATGGAATTAAATTAAAGTGCTAGAAGAACCCATAAACGACGCCCTCCTTTATATCATAGCACAATTCAAATTGCGGATGTCCGCTCAGTTACTCTTTGGAAAACATTTCCCTCCGCCTTATCTCATTGCGAAACATCTGTGCACATTGCCCTGTTCAAATAATGGGTTATATTCCGAAAGAAACCAATAACACCGGTATCTGCTGCTATTCCTTGCATCGGTCAGTATTGCGCAGTTCGACCGAAATGTCCGGTTAGAAAAACCTTTTGAGTGTAAGCTTTCAATATTTCTTTATTTCGTTTTCTTCAACGATCTCTTCCTGATTTTTGCGAGTATTTCTTGTACGCATTGATCTCGTGATTTCTTACCCGTCTTTCGCCCTCGTGCCTTTTGTGCTATGCACTAAAACGCGAACTCCACTGGCAATAAAGTTGTTTTTGGTTATTTTTTGTTCCTTTTCGGAAGCTCTGACTGGTTAGAGCGGCGCTTGTCAGTAATGCCTTTCCGGGAAATTCTTACAATTCATTGTACTGGTTTAAATAACAACCTTGAAAAACTTAATTGCCGTAGCTTATCATGGATGACCTTTTCAGCTTGCTGTAAAATTAATTTCAAACATCAGTATTTCAACTATCTGACGAGAATGCGTAACAGCGCCTAGGGGACATTTACGAAGCGTTAATTTTTGAAGATTAATCTTAGTACTTTATTTTTCTTCGTACCAGTTCTCATTCACAATTTTGCTTTACAACAGTAGGAAAATTACAATCATACTGTACTTGCGATAAAGAGTCATGATTATAGGACAGATTCTGCAATTCGGTGAACACAAACAGTTAGTCACAATGAAATACAATCGTTATAAAATAACTTTCCAATGTTGAAACAGTAGAATCGACGTGCTGTGCTTCATGACTTGTTGCTCGAAGACTTGGGAAAACATTCCAGGCCGCAATCTCGCAAACAGCATTTCCCTCCCGGGCAACTGTCACTGCTGGCGGTGCATTGGTTCTTTCTGGGACCTTTGCATTTCGATGGATTAGGGTGATCGTTCTATAGTTTAACACACAAACAAGTCAACATGTATCTCTGTGGCGGGTATATCATAGCTGTATAATTGTATTACATGGGTTATACTGTAAATTAATATAAGCGACAAACCAAACGTAATTAGTCGTTATTCCCTATCCTCGTATTATCTGCTGCCTGTTAGTGATATACCAAGCTCGCTAATACGACCGTGCTTTTCCTTACCGGACTGCACAAGGGAAGTGTCCGCTTGACAAGATGATGGCTGATGTCGTATTCTGCAAAGAAGACAACAGCCGGTTAATATACGTTCAAAATAAGAGCAAAATAATTACGGTTTTTTAAAATTATTCGTATCTTCATGTATATTCAGAAAAAGGGGAATTTTGCAGTTACCAGCAGATATCTGTGCGGCTAGCAGGACAAGCGCCGCTCCCAAGATCAATACGAGTGTGCTGCGATCCATACTAATCAAAGAGGCCGGTTAATAATTTTTAGTTCCGAATGTACGCTGTGCAAAAAACGCGATAAAGTTACCAGCAAACAACCAATTTAATAGTAAGTTGTTACACTGAAACGTTGACGGCCTCGATGCGGTTTTTTACCAGCGAGGTTGATCGCTACCGGCATTTTAACACCATGTTTTTTTTAATGGAATTACCTAGAAAAATGTTGCAAACGGTTTTGTCAACAGCATTTCTGAAAAAAACAAGCGACTGATTGTGAATCCTCTCGTAACTCACAGCTTCACAGAAAAAATATTTTCTTTTTTGCACTTGCGCTGAACTTAAGGTTTCCCCACCCGGGACTTTGGTTTTTCGTGACCAGGCATGCACTTCCCAAGTCCTTAACTCCCTAAACTCAATATTGTGATGCGCACTGAAACATCAAACAATGTATGTAGACAGGGCACATTTCAATAAACAATTTCCAAAACAACCCAATTAATTTCCAATGGCTTTCATTTAAAACACGAGTAAGCAAAAAACAACTTTTGGAAGCGCACCTTAGCGCAGCGTATAATATATATCGTAACCAGATGTTGCATCACACGCACATGTGAACATCGTCTAACGAGTCGGTGCTCGAGACGTGTGACCGTTTGGCACGCATAGATTTGGAATTTAAATTTTTATTATTTTTGGTAATGCTCTGAATTGGGATACAAAACAGCGTGTACATTGTACAGTCGAAAAAAATTCAAGAGAGTGAAGTTGCGAACTCAGGATGTTCCCTTCCGGTTTTGTGTATTGCTTAGGTTTATGGAGCAGTGCGAGTAAAGTTAGAGATAGCAGACAGGAAAACGGAAGACCGCGAGAATCCTGGTGGAAGCCTTATTGTCCAGGCTGGAGTTGACAATGGGTGTTTATCGATGGGATTAAAGGCTGTCCGTATGGGCGCAGCTGATGTTGATGCGAACATGATTAAACCGCAGTGCATAAATGCACAAAAACTGTGAAATCCTCTTCAAGTTGTCATTATCTCTTTTACTGCTCTGTCGCTACTTCTGTATAGAAAGAAAACTTTTATCTGACAGGAAAACGTTTCTCAGACATGACCTTTTAAGTCGTCCTATGACGCTAGGCCGTACTCGCAAAGCGTAGGTTGCATTTACATACAGCAATTAATTTTTACACTTCTTTACTCAGCTGTTTTCGTAACTGGCAAACAGTGCTTTTTATCAGAGAAATGTAGGGTGGAATTACAGTGAAGCGCCACTCCGATTCACAAAAACTAGAGCAGACTTGATGCATTTCATGACTTGCTGCTGGAAGATATTGGAACGCATTCCAGGCCACAGTCCCGCGTACAGCATTTGCCCTTGCCTTTGATTGTGTTACAGTGATCGCTGCTGGCGTCGCATGAGTGTTTTCTTGGACCGTTGCATTTTGACGGGTCAGGATGGGCGTTCTGCAGTGCAAGAAATAAACAGATTAAGACTCGTTTTTGGAGCGAGTATGGCAGAACTTGCTGTAAAGTATAGTTAGATATAGTTTAGGACGATCAGATGTGTTAGTTACGTATTTGATACTTATGTGTTAGTTACGTTTTTGATACTTTTTATGTCGTGGTGTACAGTAATAAAGATGTAGCCAGTGTACAGTAATAAAGATGTAGCCAGATAGAAGTTTACCGGGCTGCATAATGGAAGTGTCCGCTTGACGAGATGATGGCTAATATCGTAATCTGTAAATAATATGGGTCAGGTCCAAGCGTAACTGCGGTTTTGAAATTTAACAACCATTTCGCTCGATGCGCTAGAAGCAGAAACGTTATCGCGGCGGAAGTAAAAATTACCGGCAGATATCTTTCCGGCTAGCAGGATAAACGTCAACCCCAAAAACAACAGGATAACACTGCGTTCCATTTTATAGGAAAGTGTTTTAATAATGTGGTATTGGTAATGTACTTTGCCTTAGTTCCGCTTTTAACTTATCAACAGACAACAAAGTTGGCTTTCAATATGAAACTTTGACTGCCTCAGCTCTCTTACAGTATTGTTATTATGAATGAACAAGGCAGATTGCTAACGGCACTCGCACCGCATGTTGTTCTGTATAACTGGAAATCACCAAAAAAAATGCAATGAACGGTTTTGTCAACAGCATTTCTAACCCAGCCTGATTATTAAATTGTTTTTTATACATAAAAAGAGGAAACATGATATTAGCTCGAAGCATTTCTTCGTTACCGTAATTGAAAACAGTGTTGAAAACAAGCTGGTCAAATGTAAACAAACCAAACTACTCGTAATACACCAGCTTTATAAATTCCATAAATTACCAGCCTGCATAAATTGTATACCCCGTTTTATATCAAACATATTCTGCACTGTGCATTATGTGAGCAATTCTATAACCTGTGAGGTCGAAACAATGAGCAATTTCAAAACGAACTAAGTAATGCCAGCAGACTACAAAGCGCAACCTTATTAAAATGTTAAACTCGAAAATTTTAAATCATAAAAGCTCGAACATGTACAGAAAAAAGTTATTTCAATTTTCTAAAGTGTCCTTATACAGTTATACTGCAGTGCTGCACTTGCGCTTTCCACACCGGCCATTTCTTCGTGACCACGCATGCACTTTTCAAGTGCTAAAATATGTTATAATACAGTACTGACTACAAGTACTTACTGTACCATGAAACGTACTGCAACCAGCACACATTTTCATCATAATTATCAGAAAGACACTACTAACTTTCAACAGGTTTCACTAAAATTCGAGTAGGCAAAAATCATCTCTCGGAATCATAGCATATGCCATATGGCAAGTCCATGTTGAGGAAGATCTGCTTCTGTCAGAGGAATTGATTTTTTGGAGTGGCAGTCCGATTTCAGGTAATATGACCAATACAGTGCCGGCGCACAAAGCTGACAGTATATAAAGAAAAGTAGCCCCTGTAAAAACCCAATAATAAGTACCTTCAAGCGACGTTGTCATATGAAACCAGACTTTTTCTGACTTTTTCTAACTTTCCTCAATCTACTCAAGCGTCAAATCATCATGAATTACTCCTTAGCAATCATCGCGTTATTCAGCTGCACGGTAAGCCGATGAGCCGTTTCTTATCACCCTATTTTAGTGACCTTTGTAATAACTTTTAACCACTGCTTTATCACCCTATTTTAGTGACCTTTGTAATAACTTTTAACCACTGCTAATAATTTTCGAGTATCACCGTTAGCGAAACAGTTACTTACGCTCATGTTGCGATACATTTATTTATGTAGATTGCAAGTCGCATGCACTAACATTTACACTCCTTCGTAGATGCTGTTCCATGCGTGTGCTGCCATCGAAGAAAATCGCTACCGAGCCGGAGAACCACAAATTTCCGCCGAAGAAGACACTCCCTACCGAGCCGATGAACCGCAAACTGAACTCTCCCGTGCCGCTCGCTCCGTGGACAAAGGAACCACTTATGACCACCAGATCCGAGCTGCCCGCTCCATGTGGTCTTCCGAAAGTTCCGATGAATCAACCTTCAGCGACCGCCCTTACCGGCCTCGCCAAAGAGGGTAAATAAAGATACTTTTGACCGGAATAGGCCATCATCCATACTTTGCTGCCGGTTTGATGTTTATAAAGACCACAATGTTTTTCGAATCCCGATTTTTGCATATTGCTAGTTTGAACCAAGCGCATAACATTTCTGATACCATGGTGTTATGCTCTGCATCGGTTGTTTGTACGTGGCTTTCTTACTGATTTAAAAAGCTGATAAAAATGTTTGCAAATAACTAGCTTTCCGCATTCATGACACTTGTAATTCGAAATTAGCGTTAAGCGCGAGTTATCTGGAGTGCGGCTGTACTTTTTATAACATATTAATAATTTTGTAAACAGTTCAACAATAAATTACTTTCTTCACATACACTGTAATTATCGAAGCCGTGCAATCAACTTTTGATGCCATCAACTTTCTCACAATTAAACGTTTTGATATACCAGTCACGCAGATTGCTACCGGCATTTGCGTGGCGCGTAGCCTTTGTGGAAGATTTCCAAGAAAATTTCGTGAACGGTTTAACTTTGGTATTTAGCATTTCCGGATGACCGGTTGATTGATTGCCACTGCTTTAAAACCAGTGCAACAAAAACAGAGACAGTACATCAGCTCTGACATCTCTTTCATTACTGCATTTAAAAATGACATTCGCTAATCAAGCTGGTTTTATGTAAACAAACACAGTATTCCACAAAACACCGGTTTTTATAAATAATCTTACCTTGGTTTGTATCATACATTTTTTTCGTTCTATCCTGGCATTCTATTTTCTGCCCGTATTTTAGGGCAGCGTTTATGTATAGTGTACATATAGCTGTTAACTTACATTATACGAGCTGATATTGTATAAACCACTATACATATCGAACTATGAGCATCTCAAAACCGAGCTTAAGGAAGCAGATTTATGACAATGACCACGAAAGCAGCAACTTTCCTTAGATTTATAACTTTTAAACTCTAAATCATCACGAAACACCCAGATTTACATGAAAGAAATTATTTCTCTTATGTGCTGGCGCTGCACTTGCGCTTTCCCAACCATCCATTTCTTCGTGACCACGCATGCACTTTTCAAGTGCTAAATAATACTTAGTGCGTACAAGTACAATGTAGGACTAAATGGTCGCATAGCCCCATACCCAGCATTCTGTACGCAACCGGTGCAGTGCACTTGTACGAACCGGATATTTTGAACTCAGCCGTACAGTGCACTGCACTGCATTCGTACTGAATGTGGAGATGTTGGGTATGCGACCATTTTGTCCTAAGCTGTACCTGTTTTATCCTGAAACGTAATGCAACCAGAACAACCTTTCACCAACAATTTCTAGAATGGCACTACTAACATTAAGTGAGTTTCTCAAAAATCCAGTAAGCAAAACCGTTTCTAGGTAGCGCAGTATATTATACCTGTTTAGGAAGACCTGCTCTTGTCAAATATATTTACGCGTATTTTTTTGGAGTGGCACCCGATTTCCGGTAGTTCGACTGAAACAGCGACAAGCGTGTCACTGTTTAAGCGTGCAGCTGGTAGTGTTACTAGTATATAAAGAAATGTAGCCATTGTCAAAACTCCCCAGTCCCCATAATAATTTCTAAAAGCAAAAAAGCATTCCAGTGAGACTGTCTTATTAAGCAAACACCTCTAACTCTCATTAAATCCACGCAGTATCAAGTGTTGACCATGAATTACGCTTTAATGCTCGTCGCGGTATTCGGTTGCACGGTAAGTCGATTAATTAAAGTCGTATGGTACTGTTTCGGGGCTCTTTGTATTAACGTTTTGCACTTGGTCAACAACAATACTACATAACCGTTAGCAAAACGATTTCGTCCAGTTATGTCGCGATACACTCGAGTACTTTGGCAAGCCGAGTTCGATGACATTTAGTCATTTATACTCGATCGCAGATGCTGTTTTACGCGTGTGACGCCACGGAAAACGAAAATCGCTATCGAGCCGAAGAACCCCCGCTGGAGCTCTTTCACGCCCGTGCTCTTCGCTCCGTGTGGACCCCCGCGGACAAACCACGCTACAACGGCGGCCACAACATCCGTCCTCCTCGGTCCCTGTTGGCGCTTGCGGACGAATCAGTCGGTCTCCGTTTCCGCCCTCGTCGCCCATGGTAAATTGAAAGATAGTTTTAACTGGAACCAGCGAACATCAAGATTTTGCTGTCTGTCAAATATGTATAAAAAGTGTAAAGACCACCATATTTCTCGTATTCTGATTTTTGACTTCTCCTGCTTTCGTGCAACGGACATATGATTTTGGTACCATGGTGTGATGCCTGTCGGCGGTTAGTTTTTAATAGTGTCTTAATAAGTAAAGAACTTCTTTGGCCCCTAAAGTAAATACAATGGACTAACCTTCCGGGTGCATGACAATAAATTCCACACAGTTCTGTATTATATGGCATAGCCTCTAACCGGTTCGATTTCGGTAACATGCAACCTGAATTTCAAGTTGTTTCCCCTCTCTCATACGCCAATATTTACTAGCTACCTCTACGTTGGCACTGTGATCAACAAAAATGCCATCTACAATAATCAGTCCGAAACTAATACAGCTTCCATTACTGGCTTGGTAACCAGTGTTATTCGGAAAACCTCTACTTTTGAAAATGTCTGCCGCGTCTGCTGCATTTATTTTATTAGCTATGAGCCTATGACCATATTCCTATATTTACTTCCATTGAGGGCGGTAAGGACAGTCATATGTTTTGCAGGATTAAGACTGCTTTGCTTAGTTTTATATTCTGTCGTTACTGCTAGCAAAGTGATTGCATCGCATTCAGAAAGTTTTTTTTGGCATTGGTATTCGCTTAACTATCCCGCTATTTGGCGACACTCTAGAGTGTCGCCAAATAGCGGGATAAGTAGATAATAATGATGTGTCTAATATTACTATTAATGACGTCACATCCGTCTAATCAGGCGGCAGGCGAACACTTTGAACAGTAGCACTCACAGTCAAACAAACCCATTGAGAAATTGCGCGCATGCCGATAATTTCCCGAGTAGTAAATATTGTGGCGATTAGATACGTCCTTGCCGCTCATTAATGTGAGATCATCCCTATGACCCAATACTATCGTGAACGGTGTGTTGAGCTGCATCGTCACTTTCAATAATATAGAGTTCGCTTTAACAAAAATCTCACTCTTGATTTCTATATTAGTTCATTCCTTCATTCAAAATTTCTTTCCGTGGTGTATAGCATTGAAAATCTATATCGGTACGACTTATTTCCGTACAGTTTATACAAGGTAGCGGAAGAGACAATAACTGGACGAAGATTTTGGTACACGGACAAATCGCTGCTGCGGCGCTGACGATTATAATCGCGCACTTCTGATCATGTCCGGCTCGTCTCAAGATTACCAACACTTCTATACCGTGCAGCCGTTGGATTCATCGGAGGGCATCCGTTGCCATCTGCAGATTAAAGAAAGAGACTGCCCACCGAGGTTCTCCTTGAGTTTCCGCCAAGCCTGCTGGGTCATTCACGACTTATGCTGTCTCATACCGTGCTATGTATGCTTCCTTGGCTGTGGCTGGTGTTTAGATTGTCGGGCAAATTGTTCACAATGCTACAAAATACGTTCCGAAGCGTGCTCGTGCACCTGTTGCAATGCTTCTGACGCAAGTCCTGCTGGGCTAACGCGGACCCAGAAGCCGAATGGTGAAGAGGTTACCCCAGACCCAAGATAGAGATAGCATCCCGTTTACTGCAGCTTCTCAAGCGATGCAAAGTTTTTTGGAGTTTTAAACGAGTGCAATGTGCAAGTGAAGCTTCAGAGCATGTCAAATCACTTTTATTCTCAATTTTCTGAGGAATCGATGGGAAACTGTAGTATACTGTATATTTGCTCCCAAGAGTAAATAAAAATTTGCCGGTAGATGTACATTATGTAACGCGCAATTATAATGTGCTTTGTTATTACTATTTGTAAACGAAATATCGAGGTGGTGTTACGGTATTATTTAAGTCCTAGCAATAACAAAACATCCTGAGGATGCAAGAGCCGCCACCAGGCAAACTGCTAAAACATAAGCTACGGAGAACTTCCGACCAGCTTCTTAAACTCGTTATCCGAACTTCCACCTGCCGCTACCGCAGCGCGCGCCTGTTCCTTCATAATCCCGCAACATCGAGTGAACTCGCTCCCATACGGCCCATTGGACCATCCGGTCAACTCCAGCACCCGCTGCCCAATCTGCTGCGTACTAATCACCCTCTCAAACAACATGCTGGTGTTTGGGATCTTCAATGCAACGCCTGAATCCACCAGAAACTGACTGTTCTGGTGTTGGTCCGCCGCCATAGGCCAGGCTACTACTGGAACTCCGCCCCACACACTCTCCATCGTACTATTCCATCCGCAGTGCGACACGAAGATCGCCGTGGCCGGATGCGTTAAGACAAGTTTCTGTGGAGCCCAACGGACAATCAAATGATCCGTGTCGGTTTCCGGGAGATTCAGTGCCTTCAAACAGGTTTCTTCACGTTCTTTCAAAACCCAGAGAAACGGTCGATTCAACGATATCAGCGTCATCCAGATTTCGGTTAATTGTTTCGCTGGGAAGTCAATCAATAGACTGCCAAATGACACATAAACAACGTTGCGATACGCTTGTTTGTCGAGCCACTGCACTACAGTGTCGTCCGAGTCGGTGTCAACAGGAAACAGCGGTCCGACAAATAAAACATCTTTATCTTTCGTAACACGATGACCGGCAAGAAAATTGATAGCCTGTGGTTCCAGTTCACGTATGGAGTTCAGGATAATTGCTTGTGTGTTTTTCATTGCGGCTTGAATGCTCAGATTATTTTGTTTCATCGATTCGGGAATTCCGTGCGCCCCGATATCCGCGTTCCCGTTGCGAGGATGCAGAAACTGTTCATCCGGAATCGTCACCGTGGTTTCGGTAACCGCTAGTTTATTGCACAACGCTGCCGCCGACGCGGTGTGGAAGACACCGGTGGCAATGTTCCGTGCATGACACGCATCCAGAGACGCCGCAATCGGGAAATCCGCAATGACAAAGTCCGCCGCGACCGTGGCGTATAATTTCCGCAACGCTTCGTTTGAGGCATTGGCGATAACACTCAGCTGGCCAGCGCTGACATTTTTGTCGTTTTCCGGTGTTAGTCCGTCTTCCAAGGGAAGGAAGGTGATGGGGTACTCACTTAGTGGCGGCATTAAATTTCGCTCGCGGATGACGGAGAGTTTCACAGCGGATACAACAAACGTTACATCATGAAAATGAACAATTTTCTTGGCCAGTTCTAATGTAGGGATGATGTGCCCGAATGCTGGAAACGCAACCAACACGAAATGTTTTCGTGGATTTGACATTTTTTGGTGGAATGTATGGCAGTAATTCAGATCAATGAGAAATCTGCAGGCATGGCGATGTGATCATTATTGTGAGGCCTTTTTCGGCGGTGCATGTCGAGATAAACGCGCTCATCGCTATTACCTTGAGCGATAAGAGATACTACTTGCTACAGTACGAGCCGGTTCGTTTACAGATATGTACATACGGTATATTTTTATATTTGCACTAAAAACCGGTTTACGGCTAGCGGCGTTCATAAGCCACTTACACTTTGTTAAAAAAAGTGCGCTGGTGTACTGTACAATTGTACATAATTATCTAACAATATGTTTAACGTATGTACTGTACATATCGAGACAGGTGCGGTTACGAACAATCTATAGTTGTTACAGCCTAAATTTTCAATTAGTGACAAGAGTATTGCAGAGTGACGGCTTAAATTGTGAGCATTAAATACTAAAGGGCCTGCGAAACGGTACCACGTTAACGCACAAATTTATCGGCATCTTCTTCCGATACTTAGACACCGTACGTTTATACAGATTAACTGAACTGGACGGTGCTTCTTTAGGTCATCGTATATCGATTTGGTAGCTTGGTGGATGGCTCACATTCATGACAAGTTGTCAACCATTCACTTACTTAAAGAAAACTTTAAAAGGAATTATCGGAGATAATGAATGTTAATTCTGGCGAGCGGCATGATTTGCAAAGATTTTTGATGTAGTTCACGTCGAACGCAATTTTTCGCGTTCAAACTTCCATGCTGTTCTGCTGTACTCACGTATAGATAGTTACAGACAGATAAGTTCTTGATTTCACCAAGTGGTTGATTTGTAAAAATTTCTGGAAGAAATTCCATGTTGCTGTGCTTTAGTGTATTTGCTACTGCCGTATGCTCCTGCATTATGTTATGGCGTAATCTCGTCCGCGGCATATCTTGTCGACAATTATTACGTCGTGTCTCTCATGACTTGTATATAGCCGCTTGTGTTTCGTACATCAATTTTTGGAGGTCTTTATTTACGTTTTCTTTATCGAGGATTAGTAATAATTTGCATTTGCACAATATATTTGCTTTTTATTTGTGACTATCACCATATTGGCGGTTGCCCTGTTCTTTCAGCCCGGCATATTGCCGGGTGCACAAAACGCCTAACTTCATTTGCTTGCATTCTGGCTACCATTCTAGAACGTGGACGGCCATCTCGCACGTCAACATTTGTTATTTCCATTAGGTCATTCCTATATAATACGAGCTTGTGTGCTCCTGATCTATTACATAGATTTTATATTTGTACATAGATATTAGTATTATATATTAAATTATTTTTATATTGTATACATGTTGTAGGCTTACATATTTGTGATATGCATTACAACATAAATTTTATTATTGGTTATTATGATTATAAATATTATTATTATATATATCATCATTAATATTGTTATTATATATATTGTTATTATATATAATATTATCAATATCATTGTCATATTATTATTATATTGCTTGTATCATTATATCACAATCTTCAAGGGATTGGTCATGACGATAAGTTTCGTCATTTTACGGTTTTGCGATCATTAAGTTTCCCGTATAATCCTACTTTCCAAAACTGACCAGTTCTCTTATGGTTGTACAGTATATTTTAACCCTGCTAATTCGTCACTTGTACAGTTTCTGTACTTATTTATTCTATATTCCTACTATTGTGTGTCAATCGACATTTGGCGCTGATGCACATTTCTCTGCTTTATAATCAGTCACCGTGATTTCCGAATTATTTTGAGCGCAGTTTGCGTCGTCTGTAACCGGCATTGCCTTCCTTTCTACAGTTTCCGTATCAGTGCTGCAGCTGCCACGTTGGTCATTGATTGGATATTCTTATGTTCCTGTTTGGGGGTTTGTTTGGGGCGTTGGTGCTTGTTGTTAGATCATTGTGTTTTTCGTTGTTGATTCATTGTATTCATTAAAATACCCGGCAAACCCCGTCGTCGATCGGTTACAGCACACGCGAGCAACAGAATTAAAAGGAATTATCGGAGATAATGAATGTTAATTCTGGCGAGCGGCATGATTTTGTCTCGCCTTTGACATTAATGTGCTGTCGCGGTTGAGATTTATTGCTGGCCATCTGGGTGGTCAGATGGTATTCCTTGAGATTGCTCTGGCTTCATGCTGCCTTTAGCAGCTTTACATCTCAGTGTTCATTTGCAAAGATTTTGATGCACTTTGATTTTGATTGCACTTTTGATTTGCAAAATCATGCAGTTCTTATCTGTTTAATTTTATTTCATTGTGTCTCATTGTGTTTCAATGATTTTGTCGTTTGGTTCCGCTTGATGCCTCATAATCACTTAATGCTTATATCCGTTGGACACATGTGTTTAGTGGAAACCCGCATCATGATTCCTTTGTTGTCGTTTCGGTTCCCTTTGATGGCTTCTTATTCGGGTGTACAATATGCATTGCCTTCTGCTTGCATCTCAGTTCCCTTCATTCCTCAGTGATGACCATACTGTTCAGTTACGTAACTTGCCGCCTGATGACAGTCATAATGTTCTCCTAATCGCTTTATACAGTGATTCATAATTCTAAAATTGACCAGTTCTCTCGTCATTAAACAGTTTTGTTCTTTAATCCTGCTGATCGATCTGGACATTTGTTGGATATCAAGTGCGTTCTCGTCTTGTCGCGAGATATTATTTGCGTCCCATAATTCTGCTTATACAGTCCATCACCATGTATTGAGCCTATTGGCTATTCACGTCGAACGTCGAACTCGAAAAAGAACGAACGTCGAAACGAACGTCGAACGTCGAAAAAGAATAATATTGAATATGAACAGATATATAATAAATAACAGGAATACGAAAACAGGGATAATAAAATACTATTATAGCAACAGTGGAAATGAGGATACAATAAATAACAGCAGTAACAATAAATGACAATGAATAACACATATAAGACTGCAAGAGTAGCCAGAGTGTGAACAAATGAATCCATCAATACTCCAGACTGAAAGAACAGGGCAATCGCCCATGCGGTGGTAGTCACAAATTCACTCCGATTTCGAATTATAGAGACACCGTTTACTGAAACTTCAATGAAGAGAACTTAAATAGGACGCTCTAAAGTAACAACAAGAGCAGGGATGTAAGGATAACAGAAATAAGGATATACAAACAATAAGAACCGGGATGCAACAAACAATAGGAATAGAAATAACAGGGAGAAAGAATAAGAATCGCAATAATTATCACACGGATAACAAATATCAGGGACGACAAATAGAGAAATAAATAACAGGGTAACGAAGATAAAAATAATTCGGATAACAATAGGGATAACAATAACAGGACGAATAAAAATTATAACAACAAACAATAGTAAAACGGGAAGATAATACAGCAATTATAACAATAACGATCATGACCACAGCAAGAGCAACGGTACATAATAATAACAATAGTGTTTTAAATAAAAATAAGAAGGGTAAAATAATAATAACTTTAATATTACCAATAACAACAAATAATGATAAAATAATAATAATAATACATAAATAATATATATATAAATAAGGTAAAATTTTGTACACAAATATCAAATATGTACTGTATTCGCTCGCACATCCTGGACCACAGAGTGTGTGTACGGGAAAAACGCGCATTCAATATACACACTCTAACCGGGCCAAACGCGCGATTCGCGATTTGATAAATTTCTGATGTCTTACAACATCTGGACTGGAGAACTTCTTGAATAATGAAAAAAATTAGAGCTCTAACAATTTTTATCATGTTTAGGCTCGAAAGCAGCCATTAACATACAGCTTTGGCGTAAGCACGAGTTACAAACGGATTTTGTTGTGGTTTTGGGGTGCCCCTGGAGGGAGGGGTACGTTCCGCGTCAACATTCTTGATGGCGATGAACCACCGAACAATGCGAGCTTTCAGCTACAGAACCTTTTTTTCCAGAGTGAATTGCCATTTAAATGAAAAGACTTGATTTAATAAACAAAAATTCACAAGAAGAACTGTTCATCTTGAAACCAAATGAGGAATATTTCGTAGTCGTGCATTTTCGTGCATTTTGATGCACTGCAGTCGCAAATGAAAAGTGCAATTATGATATATACTATAATATAATATAATATATTGTAATCGCGTTCGACGTGAATAGCCAATAGGCCCAATACATGGTGATGGACTGTATAAGCAAAATTATGGGACGCAAATAATATCTCGCGAACAAGACGAAAACGCACTTGATATCCAACAAATGTCCAGATCGATCAGCAAGATTAAAGAACAAAACTGTTTAATGACGAGAGAACTGGTAAAATACCCTGCAACAGAATTAAAAGGAATTATCGGAGATAATGAATGTTAATTCTGGCGAGCGGCATGATTTTGTCTCGCCTTTGACATTAATGTGCTGTCGCGGTTGAGATTTATTGCTGGCCATCTGGGTGGTCAGATGGTATTCCTTGAGATTGCTCTGGTTTCATGCTGCCTTTAGCAGCTTTACATCTCAGTGTTCATTTGCAAAGATTTTTGATGTAGTTCACGTCGAACGCGATTTTCCCACCCACCCTATCCCTTTTTCCTGGGAAGGGCTGTGGAAGGGGTGTTTGCTTGTTATTGGTTCATTGTGTTTTCTTTCATCGTGTTCAATATTCCCCGTCGTCGATCGGTTACAGCACACGCGAGCAACAGAATTAAATGGCGTTTATGAGCACTGACGCCCTTAAAAACGCTTTTCAAAACGTCAGCACAACATCCATAAGATAGACTCTGTGCCACACATTTGTAATAAACTGCAAGCATTCTTAATCATTTTAGTTCTCCAGCTGTTTGATTTTGTCTTCAAGATATGGAATTGTGGGGATCTAGCTTCTGGAGAAGGGGTTGCTCCAGCGCACTGCATTCGATTGCTGCTAGATCTACAATGAAAACAATCAACTGTGTTTTAGCAACAACGATAAGTTCTACCAGGATCGGCTTCGTCAAGGACGGAGGGCGGGGTTGTGATGAGATCTTATGTACTCGTAAGAACCTTCCGGCACTGGGCTTATGAGCCGATGAATCCCATGTTAAATATTCAATTTCCTTAAAGCAACCTTTCTTCTTTTATTGCTTTAATATTGTTCATCTAAAAGCATAGAAATATTTTTTTTCTTTTGAGATATAGCGCGCCCGTATGTGATCAGAACTACAAGAAATAGTTTTTGGTCCCTTAAATTGATTAATCATTAATGTAGGGATACATAAACCGTGTCGTATCCTTCGTTACATGACTTTTTCGGGTCTCCTGCACAAGTCGCTCGTGGTTCTACTATTGCAAAGTTACGTTACCTGAAGAAAATTGCATGCTGTCTTCTGGGTTTACATTCTGGATACCACTGTGTACGGAAATGTCAGTTATTGGCTCTGCTGCGCTCCTAAAAATGTCGAGCTGGGCGGGATCACACAAGCCGACTGCTTGTGGATTAAGAAAGAACTCGAGCCCATTATGCTCCACCTCCAGCATAAGTTTGGGATTGTCCGATGCGGACGTCCACAGCGCCTGCACCGTCAGCGTGGCCCCAATCAAGCTTGCAAGGGCCGGTAACCAGCCGTAAAATTCTTCGGTTTGCACGGCCTGGAATGCAGTTTCCATGAGGATTACCCGAATTTTATCGCCAACCTGGACGAGAGAACCGTCGCCACATAACACTGTAAAAGGGAAGGATTGTTGCTTTTCATCGTTAAAGACGGCTGCTAATAGTCCTTATCTCCTCGGAATGCAGTTTAAAAGGCTGTACTGACCTTTGCCTATTTTCCTTAGTGCTTTCCGATTGACGAAGCTACTTGTCTTGTTTACTCTGACGCAGACATCGCCGTCTTCATTAAAAAATAGGATATCGCACAATTTTCCCGTCGAAACCCCATGACCATTATCCGGTCTAGAGGGCCTCGGTTGTAAAAGATCGGCAGTGTCGACTTTCCCTACGATGAGCGCAACATCTTTGGCCTTAATCACTTGGCCATCGGCATCGCGGCCCTCATAACCATCTGCATTTAAATGCGTTAACGTTACGAACCTTCGAATAATAAAGCCAGTTTCTCATTAGCTGCGTACCTCGGGACATAACAACTAGGGTTTCGGGATGACAGACTAGAAGTTTCCACGCCAGGGATGGTGCGGTGATCATCTTTAATATTGCATCACCGCTAGACGTGAACATCTCAACGGTTCCCCAACAACTACACATCCCTGCTTCGAAGTCCAGATTGTGTTCCACTTGTTTCCTCCGCACTAACGCTGGGTCTTGGCGAATAATAACATGGCTACCCACTACGGGCCGGCCCATGCGCAGTGCATACTTCAGGGTGTAATGCAGCAGAGTCCCGTTGACCATATGGGGTTTTATCCGCATGGCTGTCTTCAGTGCCTCCGGCGCTACATTAAAATATTCTAAATTTGTACCTGCATTTATATATCTGTATAACATTCGTGCATAAATTTTGTATAATTGTCGTAACAAATACGGAGCAAAAAGTCTGCCTTATATTGACATCATACGGAGCGCCGTTCAACGTCAAACATACCATTTGACGGGTCCAACCTGCTTCGCAGCACCGCATGCCGTTCCCCCCGAACAGCATCACACATGGTTTGCGCCAAACGGAGATAACCCGTACTAATGGCAAACCGCATACACCGCCACACATCATCCACCGCATACCGGTCAATGCCACCGACCGCTATCAGACAATCGACCATCTTCTGGTTGCCGAACATGGCCGCCATCCCCAGAGCGTTGACCCCGTGTTCGTCCTTCAGCGTGGGATCACACTCAGGATGAGCCAGAATGGCGTTAATCTTCTTAATCCGATCTTCTTCGTCCACACTGCCACCCGGAAAGGCACACATGGCTAACGCCGTTATCTTGTTGAAACCAGTTGAGGTCATGTTGATATCGATGAACGGAGTGTCCACGAGCATTTGGACAATCGGTATACTACGTCCAAAAATGGCCAGCATCAGCGGTGTTAAGCCGACCACTTTCTGGTTGACGTCAGTGTCTGATTGCTGCAGGATTTCTTGGACGGCGACAGTGGATTCACGTAAAATGGCGCAATGCAGTGGAGGTATATTTTGCTCAGGTTCGACTGGATGGTTAGCGGCGTCAACCGCCGGTTCGTTATCTAAAATTTCTGCAGCCACACAATTTGATTTGCCAAATCGCTTACCAGATCAATACTACAAATAACTTTATCACTTCGATCTAGATTTGAAATAGGCAAAACGAATGATTCTCAGTCGTAAAGCACCATACTGTATACGGCGTACGCGAATATTTACAATATTATGGGTGCGAAACCAAACCCCTGTAAATGCAACCAGTAAAGTAAAATTTGAAGCTGAATTTAGCGGAATATGACCTCTGCTGGTCATAAACGAGCAAAATATTTTCCTACTGAAAATAAATCGCATGACGGCATAGTAATACAGTTCATTCATTCGAAAATTTTGACTGCATATGATGAGATGGCTTTGGATTTGTGCATTCACATGCGATCCATTCAGTTTTAAAATCAGTTTGAAGCTGTATAGCACAGCATATAAAACGCGCATTATAACCTGAAGAAAAATTTCCAAAAGAGTTGTACTACATAATATACGTTACGCATACAGCGCCCTAAAACCCTTGTCGTTTCTAAACGTCGTACGGTGAGTGACCAGGACAGTGATCGTACAGTGAATGACCATCCCTAATGATCGCTGAGGCCGAATTCTTGTGCATATTACACCCGTTCCGAAAGTGAAGTAACTATTAACGTGAAGTAAGTTATTTGTGGTTGCATTTTATAAACGTACCCTTTGCAAGGTCCAGTAGCACTTTCTGAATCCCCTCCGGAACACTGTCCAAAATCGCAGCCACCAGATCCACGTTGTCGCTCTTCACAGCCCACGCACCCATCCTGATTATATCTTCCGGTGTGTACTGCGTAATTCGCTCACCGGGTAACAAACACCCAATAACGGCGAAGTTCTGTGTGAGTAGCGCCATTTCCAGCGCAGTTCGATTCTCGCGATTCCGTAACGCAAACCGGCATCGGGGGTGTGCTGCTATGAGTTCCGCTTTCTGCAGGATGCTGGTTTTGGAACTGAAGAGACTTGAGAGCAGCACGGCGGTCATCAGCGGAGTGTTTTGCAGTATTGTGGTCGGTTTGTTAACTTCCAAACGTGGACACTGTAGTAGCTCACGGAGAACGGCAATATCGACGCAATCCCGCAGTGCAAGCGTCAAGGGTGTTTCACCGTTACATTCCTGGTTGATTACACTAACTTCAGCAGTCGAGCAGAGGTGGCGTACTTGCGACACGTTCGCTTCAGCAACAGCTGCGTGCATAGGTCCAGCTAAATAGTCCATACATACCTCAATACTTCAGTGAATTAACGCTTTAATGGGCTCGTAGGTAATAACCATGCCAGGACCGGCAAAACTCAATAACAATTTCTAATTGCTCACAGTTTAACACAGAATTATTCTAAGTAGCGTGCTACAGGTTTATCGAAGGTGGAATGACTGGAATCTAAGTGAGACAGCTGAAGACGAATATGTCGCACATCCTCGACGCGTAACACAGCACGCGGAACCGGAAATCTGCACAGTGCTAGCTTACCTTCTGTGCTAGCTGACGCTCCCATGTTTCAATACAGACGTAGTACAGATCCCGTTACATGGAGATTGCTGGTACGTACCACTGCGAAACGTTACTAACTTTATGTTATTCGTTAAGGAGACATGATAACTGCTCAGTGTAACTACATATCTCGGATTTAATGGTAGCGGCATACGTATTATCGTGTATTGAATATTAACTGCCAGTGCAGTTTCTTATCTAAACACAGTTTTGGTTTTTACCGATATGATCGCAAGGCTTCCACGCGCTATTGTTCACAATAAATCAGATAGCCGACAAGCTGAAAGTATGTTATCAACACTTCGGTGTTCGTCTGTGTCTTGTGTTCCAAATCTTATCACTATAAGATATTCCTCTTAAAATCCAGCCTCCTAATATTGGGGTGCGTGAATACCTATTCGCCCCCATGGAGGACCAGCAATCTGTGTTTGCTGCATTAATTTTAAGTCATTTTAATTAGTTTATACCTTCCCACGTTAAACCGTAATGCGAGCTCACGCTGTTATGTAGACCGGATATTGCCAAAATATAAAAAAGTTGCCGTTGTTTTGCTAAAGTAGATCGGTAAGAAATTGTTTATGAGAACGGGCGAGAGTCGTTCAGCTTATTTTTTGCTTCAGAGTTTTAGTTTCGAAATGATGCGTGGTAATGCTATGAGCGTTTTGTGCCAAGTCTCATTCCGTGTTAATTGGGACAAATTCTTCATCTGATTCTATGTACGGAGCGCAGCTCGCTTATATGCATATTGAGAAATAAAAGTTCTACGTTATATTATTATGTTTTCCTATGTTATCGGGATGTCGTTAGTAAAATGTCGGTGTTCATCAAAATGATCAAATGTAGTCTGTTAGCAATCGGCTTATCATCGAGCTGTGGTTTCAACAAGCTGTCGGCTAATCTTTTGTTGGTCAGCAAAAAGTCGTCTGTAAGTTGTCGGTCAGCAAATTAGCGGTCAGCAATATTGTCGGTGTACCGAGCAAGGCACACTTACATATCTGCATACGTCCTCTTGAACGCCTGCATATCCGAGTTACCGGTATTACTATCGGATATTACTAGACTATTTGTGCAACAGGTCTTGGTAACGTTATTACAAATTTCGGGGTGCTTAAGCAACAGTTATCAGAAATTCTATGAATGTGTACCTGAATTCCATGAATGTGTCATTCATAATAATATGCTATCAAGTTTGTTCTATACTGTCAACCGTCTGTATCTGTACTATCAATTTTTTTGCTGATAATCAACGGACAAGCGTTTACTGCGCGGATGCAACCGATTAAGTAATTCTACTGGCTCACAACATAATTTCTTGTTTTTACAGCATAATCTTGTTTATCATTAAGTTTAGCACACGCTCAACGTCCAGATTTTAGACTCGAACAAGTCCATTTCTTATTGGCAAGGCAGACATCGAAACAGGGAATTTCAAACTCTATGGTACACAGCGGAAAATGCCATCAAAGAAAGCTCTGTTTTTTTCTACCGGCTCCGCGTTGGTCGGGCTGGTTTGGCTTGTATCCACGTCTCGGTACACCATGTTCTCCGCCAGGATTTTTGTCAGACTGCCATTCCAACCTAATTTAACCAACCGCACAGTGGATATTCTGGAAAATCCTTTGCCAGAAATCACCAATGATTTGGTGAAACCGGAAACCGTTGGCTATTTGCCGGTACACATTGTGCGCTTTTACAGGACTGTACCCAGTGGAGACAGCCATAGTTTCTGCTGGACCGAATGCATCAGTCTCTTGTCGGTGCTGCTGTACGTTCGCCCATCGGTCATCTACATTCACACTAATTATCCGGATTATTGGCCTTTAGGGCGGTGCTACATGATTACTGATTATTCAAAGATCAGACTGATCTATCGACGGCGACGCATGGTGGCCCACGGCCGACCAATTAAGCGCGTTCCTCACGAAGCCGATATGGTGAAGTATAGCGTTGCCTACAAATATGGCGGAATTGTTATGGACATTGATGTGTTCTACTTGCCGAAAATGATGCGTAAGTATTTGTAGACTTTATTCACATGCAAAAGTTTATCTGCCGGTTTCGGACCAAATTTGTATTCGGCTAAGTAAGAAGGTCGCTGATTTTGGTTAAACATAATCAGCAAAGGTTACCATAATTCAATACACTGGTTTGTACACACGGTATGATAAAAGACTGATATGGCGATGTATAGAGTACGTTTGCATTTTAGCCTTGTTAAAAAAAAAATGGAGAGATGGAAAGTACGAATGTTTGCTTACGCGGGAGGACCGCGTGATGAATAGCGGATTTATCGCGTGCCATAAAGGTCATCCTTATATTCGTGATACTCTTATCCGCTATCGCGATGATTACCGCGACAGCTGGCTATACAATAGCGGCAGCGTTCCCTGGGAAGTTTACAACAAAACTCCCGAGTACAAGACGAAACTGTACGTCGACCACCAGATGGGCAACCACAGCAACACATACCGAGGACCCATTCGGTACAGGGAAATACCAGCGTGGCATTCGTACTTCCACGGTTGCAAGCAGAACGAGAACAATACCATCCAGCAAGCGGTTAACTCGACCTTTTGGGAAATGCTGCATTTTATAGCCGCGGAAGGTTACGAGGCCTTCCCTTATTCGACTACGCCGAAAAGGACAACTGCCACCACGAGAAAATCAAGGACTGCTACGCTGCATACGAGAATCTCAGCTGTGCAGCCAGAACTCAGCCGTCATAAGAATGTGCCAAGCGTAACGTCACTGCTGGCTCTGCGTACATTTCAAGTAACGCCACGGCAGGCCACTGAAAATCGTACTGCGCCGCATACGATGACAAGCACGGCAGTCGTCTCCTCGACCGTGTCATTCAAACCGAGTATTTAGAACCACTGGACAGTCGAACACCAGGGCGCCTTGAATACCACAGCGGCTGGAAAATGGCCGCAGAAAATTCCCGGAACTAAAAATTCACACTGCGCAAACTCGTTTCATACCTGGATAAGTAGAGCAAAACGTAAGAAAACGAGGGAATGGGAACGAGGGAAATAGGAATTCAGACTGGTCGCTTGGCACTCATGATCCGTCTCGTACCATGTCAGTCGTGCTAATCGCTAGCTGATACGGTCGTATTATTATCGGTAAAAGAATAGATTGCCTAGGTATCATGGTTGCCTGTTATTAACCATAGTACCTTTGTTCATTAGAAAAAAGGTATTTTAAACTTTGCTATATGGAAATAACTGAACGTTAACGGAATACTCGTACAGTAACGTAACGAATAGATGTTCACGTACGTACAGACAATTCACCGTAAATATTTTTGGAAAGTGCCCTGTAGTGTCTACATTGAACACCCTGTACGAGTACACTTTTATGCGACAAAACGTTCGGGACATCCGAGTGCTTCTATAGTACTGTAGCAACAATAATAATAAAACATTTTTTATTGTATCAAAATGTTTTCTTCGGCCGTAATAGGAGCAAGAACAATAAAACGACGTCATGATCGAAGCAACCAGGCATAATAATGGCTGGCCATGATAAGTTTTGCGCAAATATAATCCGGCGCAGCCCATCTTGACCCTGTTACACACTGACCGAAAATCACGAAATTTTTTGATTATAAATTCAACCATGAATCTTTTCATGATGAATTAATTTGCATAAATTAACTCTTGTAAACAGACTGAGAACAGCTACCAAAGCCAGGTCGATTGGAGTAAATCAAATGGCTACGACGTTGTGTAGAACGGAATTTGTGTGGTGTCGCACCGGCAACCGCCTTGCCCACACCGTGCGTATTCACCATATTGTATGTAGTCAATGACCAAGCGGTGGAATTTTCACCTTTCACCCTTCAAATTTTAAACTACTGCAGCAAAAATTTGAAAAACTTAGCTTAAGTTATTGTTAATCTATGGCATGAATTTCAACTTCGGTAAAATAATACGTATAATTCTGCTTTCGTAAGGTTTATTGATATCACCGTAATTAGCATGTACCGGTAGTTACATGGCTAAAAGCGCAAAATCACAGCATCCGGTAGAAATCCGGTAGAAAACTTTACACACTGACCGCACTCTTCAGTACATACAGTGATACACACGTGCATACACATGCATTATTAAATAGATTTACTTATTGATTAATAAACCGAGCTTAAGCGCGGACCAACTTAGGCCAAAACGTGGTTGAATTTCCGCGATCTCGCAACAAAAACTGGCTCTACCGTACGTAACACCAGCTGCTACCCTGGGAAGCAATTCAATTAAGCTCTTTATGGAGCTTCCAGTTGGAGATCCTCTCGCCTTGTCGTCTGCGTCCCAGACCAGACGCAACTGACGGGCAAATAAAAATCAATAAACTGCGGGTTATACTTGATACCGCGGCAGTCTCGAAAAAATTTTCCTTGGAAAAATTTTCTAGTAATTTTGTTTAAGCACATGATAGCCAATACTGGGAACCCAGCCTTCCACATTCCTTTATCACATTTGAATTCTATTCCGAAATGAAGCCTCCTCTGCCATATAAGCCTCCCCAATACAGTTTGCAGATTTAGTAGCCACCTCGGTATTAGAAGCCTCTTTCCGTAAACGGCGTTATTTTCAATGCTTCAAGTTATTCCACAATACGAGATCTGCTGCTGCTGCTCCAGAAACGGAAGGATTAATTCAAAAAACACGGCAAGTATAGTTCTGCATTTTTTAAAAATGTAATTATTCTAACATTGGGCGAATACACAATTTTTATATTGGCATATTTGTATTAGTGCTGCATGAGCGATTTATACTATGCTTATATTTATATGAATATACTTCTATTTATTTATGCAGTATTTACATTTAAATAGAAATGCAAATCTTGCCTGGAATTTCCGTTCTCATGATCGGAATGGCCATCGGAAAGGCAATAAGAACCGAAAATAGCTATTGGTGGCAGCAACCAGGCGAAGTACGAGATACCTCCAAGTCTCCAACCAAACCGGCGTACGCATGGATTCCATTATTCTGGAAAGATCGCGGAACTCTTCCAAGCAGAATTTCAAATCTGAAACTCTGTTTGAAAGAGTTCCGCGATCTTTCAAAAAATATCGAACGGAAAGAAAGCTGACCAGAATGAACAAAAGAAAGATAACGGCAAACTGTTTATGTACGGAGGTGTTGGAATTGGAATAGGGACATAAAGACTATGGCGCTCCGGTCTCAGCAATTCTTGCGACAGTTACAGTAATTGTAGCAAGAATTGTTGAGAGTGTGGCGGTATTATAAGCAGAAAAAAGGCTCCATTGGATGGAGCTGTCTCCGCACGAAAGCCAGATGAATTGTTGTTTTCTGCAATTTAGTTCGATTTTTTATTTCGCAAAATTGTTAATTCAAACCGATCTAATTTTAAACTTTTGATTCTTGTGTTTTTAAGGTCATTCTACTTTTTCCCATTTTCTTTCTGTTTAATTTTAATCTTTATTTCAATTCTCTTTTTCATTACTTTTTCCCAGAAGGAGCTCGAAGTGCAAAGAATTGGATGATCTGAAAGGCGGGAAGCACTTGATTAATTGATCATCAACCAGATCAGCGGCGCGGAAGCCCGGTTTCAACCAGCGCCTAATGCCAACGCTAAACGACGTCATTATGTTTAAAACGTTTTATTCTATGGTATAGAATATAACAAACAGAATACGTTTCAAACATAATGTCGTCGATTATAATATTGCAAGAATCAGTTGGATTTTAGTACTCAATAGAAAATAAAAGTTATCAGGCACGGGTAACGTGTTGCAGTGTATTGCATGCAAAAAACAACAAGTAAGCCACTTTTAAGAATGCCGTTTTCCAGCACATTTTTTCCCTTGTAGTGATGGTGAGTGGTAAAATGTACTAACTGCTTATACTAAGTGACTGCAGCGCAGCGAAACTAATTATATGGCACAATTCTCATCTATAATAAATGTCATTCTGAGCTTAATCGCGCGTATTCTGCATCGCAATAAGCACAAAACTGGCCTGGATTTCCAGGACTTGAATAACTAATCCCGACGCTCGGGCGTCGGTATAAACACGCTCTCCTTCGTCGTTGAGTGATTATCGATCGCTCATTTCCGCATTTCTCACCCAATATATATCGTACAAGCCTAGTCACATTGTAAATTTGTCACAAAAACAGAGTTAATTATAATAGTAAAATTTCCCTTAGCAGTTTCATCCATGGTTCCGAAAACGGATATCGCGTTACCCCGTTGAATTTCAGTTGACAGACGCTGGCATATGAATTTGTTCGGTGAGCATAGTTAAAATCTTGCTTTACCTAACCTACCGAAATATACACACAGCCAGCAATAACAAACTCGTACATACAACGGTGCAAATACTGCCTGTATTATGTATAAATCGAAAAATACGTACGATAGCTACGATTATTAATCGGCAGGTGACTGCAACAGCACACCGGCGAACCTAAGAGGATGATGTCCGGTTCGCAACAGTACCGCCATGTGTTGCTGATGCGCAGCTCGCTAACCAACCAAAGAGGATTTCAGTTGATCAACACCCGCTCCTTCCGTAGTGCCGCAGATGGGCGGGAAGCAGCAATGGAATCCACTCAAGTTCACCACCAGCACGGCATCCTCAAAATCCTTACCGGGCAGTGCTGTACGTTACCCTTCTACTCTATTTCACAACTGAGTACGCTACACACACCGTGACACACGTAATTCATGGATAACTTGCGGATTATTTTCTGGTTAAGTTTCTGTTAGCCTGGGTGAGCCGATTAGGAAATTGCATGTACAGATGTACTCGCACGCTGTGGCGATGTACTATAGACGGTAGCATTCACGCAGGCCACACTGATCAACATTTTCATAACGTATGTATTCATTATTCAAGATGGTCTAGAGATCGAAAGTACAGAGTACGTACTTCTGTAAACCAAAATTTAACCGGAATAACGCAAAGAAATCTCAAAAAAGAATTTGATATACACTTTAAAACCGTTTTTGTTGCAGGCTGAATTCACATCAGCCGTTTTACCGAAGGTACCTCTAATATAAAACAAACTTAATGTTATTTTTTTACAAACCACAAGTTTTCTATAATAATCGACTATTAATTGTGTTTTGGATGCGCATTGATGTGCGATTTCGGCTTTTTCCGTTGAATTTTTCGATTTTGGCCTGATTTTTCAACATAATTTTGTACTTTTCATACCAGATACGGATATCTGCATTCTTCAGTCACTGTGAATTTAAACTAGAGCCACCATTACCAATCACAGCAGCACCGCCGGGAAAACTGTTAATTAGATGACATTTCCCTTTACAGTCTTTCTCTACCAACAACTGGATATTGTCCATCTTCGCCCGTTCGATGGACTGGGCTTCATGATTCTGCTAGTACCAAATACCAATACCGATACCGCTAATGCCCCCCGAAAGTATCAGCCACTGTGAGGTACAACCTTTTTTAAAGTTTGCAGGAAGCAGCGGTTTTAAGCTCGTTTAACATGACGGGATTGTCGAGGTGATGCAAAATGCAAACGAAAGAAAAGTGTAAGCGCATGAAGGTAACAAATCAAGTACTGAACGGGATTAAAGAGCGGAAGCTGTATGCATGGGAAGAAGCGTAGGGCAAAGGTCACAAAACGCACAAAAGACGACGCATGAAATACAGATGGTGTAGCAATTAATCATTTGGCGGAAAAAGAAACGAAGCGCAGCATGTACTAGATATTATTATTGTTCAATTATTGACGTTGCAGTTTTGAGAACCAAATTTCGGACATTTGAGAAACAAAGTTAGCACAAATTGTGCGGTTTTTCCGTCATTTTTTAACGATTATTGAATATTTATATGCCGGTAAAATATTCAGTCTTGGGTTGTATCAATATATGAGCAGGACCTGATGCCGCACCAATTACGTCAAATTTAGTCCGATAGCCGGCAAAAATTTAATACGCATCAATCCATCGTGGCATCCAGGTATGATCGTGAATTACTTTTCAGTTTTCTATAATTTCAGTGATGGGCCGCCGTATGCTGACATAAATGGATTGAGATCTATATTTCTTGACATACAAAGAGTTCTGACAGCTGAAGAGTGGATTTGTTGATTTTTTAGCACGAAGCCGTCATTTGAACCACGACAAATAAATACTCGTACCTCAGTAGTGGCTTAAAAGTTGCAGGATTACCACTGTCCGCGTTGGTATGCCGAACAACCGAACGTAAAACAGTTCTTCATAGTACACAGTTAGCAGTCACCTGCTGGGCGTGCTACGCAGAAAACATCAATAAATTCTTTTCCCCGCAAATTACAAATCATAGCAAGCACTGGTTTCCGGTAGCTTTCGAACCAAGGCAGTATCGGAAGTGCAAGTTAAGGAAAAGATCACACTGGTTTAATCACGTGATATTATTGATTAATTAATTAGCGCTGCTCAGATCGGGTTTGGAATAATTTGGATCCAGTTCCTGAAGCAGGGCCAGCTCCAGTGCATTGCGCTGCAAGGCTTCCAAATCTAAATAAAAATACCTAACAATGTTTTATTATCGGTAGCAAGCACTCAGATTAATAATCATTGCATACCACATTCAGACACATGTAGCGTTACCTGAAGAAGAAATGCCGCTGCGTTCTGGATTGGTACTCGGGGCAGTAGTTTGCATCGGTGCTGCAGTTACCGGCTCTAATACGTTGCCGGTCACGTCCATATTAGCGTTATCAAGCGAGCCGACTGCTTGTGGGTTGACAAACACTCGGCGGCCGTTATGCTCTACTTCAAGCACAATCTTGGGGTCGTCCGATGGAGATGTATACATCCTCTTCACTGTCAACGTGGCCCCAATCAGACCGGCCACAGTAGGTGACCAATCACCGAACTCCTCGGTTTGTACGGACTGGAATGCGGCTTCGGTGAGGATTACACGGACCTGATCGCCGACCTGGATGCTGGAACCGTCACCGCATGGAACTGTGATAAGATCGATCATGCACATTGTTAACTACAAAGAAAACCCGAACGAAGAGCAAGCCAGCTACTTTGAGCAAGCACTTAGGTATACCAGCCAGACAGCATCGATAAAACCTCTTTCTCGTTCTGCAGCCATCCATAGTCAGTAGTGCAATATGACTAATTTTGAGAATTTCTGTATTGAACTTGAAGACTGACTGACCTTTATCCACTTTCCTTAGTGCTTTTGGATTGAAACAGCTGACTTGTTTGCCCACACTGACTTGTACATCGCCGTCTTCATCGAAAAACAGGATATCACCCAATTTTCCCAGAGCGTTCAGATGATCATCATCTAGACCGCCGTGAGTCTTCTGCAGCTCACGAGCGATGTCGATTTCCGCCACGACGCGCACAATATTTTTGGCCTTGATCACGTGCCCATCGCCGTCACGGCCTTCGTATCCGTCTGCAAGTTAAAGACTTAGGCATTTCTATAAGTTTCGCAACATATTTAGTTTGGAATATCTTTTAAGCGGTGCTCCAAATGCTTACCTCGCGATACAACCTTCAGGGCTTCAGGATTGCACAGTACAATGCGCAAAGCCGGTACTGGAACGTTAAAGAGTTTTATTTCCGCATCACCGCTTGACGTGATCATCTCCACAATTCCCCAGCAACCGCACATCTCCGCAGCGAAATTCAGGTTGTGTTCCGCTTGTTTCATCCTCACCAGTGCCTGGTCCTTGTTGATAACAACGTGGCTGCCCACCACGGGCCGGCCCAGCCGAAGGGCTAACTTGATGGTGCGATTCAGCAGTTTTCCGTTGACCATGTGCGATTTTAGCAGGATGGCCGTCTTCAGTGCTTCCGGTGCTGCATAAGAATAATTTATTTAAGCATGTACAATTTACGCACGCACTGACGTCTGATTTTAAATAAACCAGTTAGCCCATTTACAATACTGCGAACGAAGCTAATACTTCTTTACTGTATCGATACTGGCGCGGAGTGCCAATCTTCCTTTCTAAGTTCTACCACAGCTCTTAAGCTTACCTGTTGGCTCCAAAATACGGTGCTCCTTACAATTTTAACTACATAGTACAATATTATACTGTACACTGCCATACGTACCGTTTCCATTTTGCGAACGATCCAATCTCATAGCCAACACCGCTCTGCGATCATCCCGCACGGCATTACATAAGGTAAGCGCCAAATCCTTATGCTCCGCACTGATGGCAAACCTCACGCACTGCCATACATCATCCAGCGCATACCGATCGATGCGCCCGTCCGCTATCAGACAATCGGCCAGCTTGTCATTATCGAACACAGCCGTCATGCCGAGAGCGTTGACTCCGTCTTCGTCCTTTAGCGTGGGATCACATTGCGGATGAGCCAGTATGGCGTTCATCATCTTGACCCGCTCTTCTTCATCCGCAATGCCACCCGCAAAAGCGCACATGATTAATGCTGTCGTCTTCTTGAAACCGGTGGAGGTCATGTTGATGTCGATGGACGGAGTGTCGACGAGCATTTGGACAATAGGCGGGCTGCGTCCACAAGCTGCTAACATTAAGGGCGTTAAGCCGGCGACTTTCTGGTTGACGTCAGTGTTCGGTTGCTGAAGGATTTCTTGGACACCGGTAATATCTTCTCTCATAATGGCAGAATGCAGCGGAGGTATGTCTTTGTGGGTTTCTATTGGTTGTTTTGCCCGACTATCTGCCTCTTCGTTATTCAGAACCTCTGCAAGCAGATGCTACTATTTTTTAACTGGCCCGGTTCTAAGCGCCTCGATCAGCTAAAGCAGTAAAAGTACTGTTTTTAAATTTTTTAAGTTTGTTCAACAAAATTTAAACTGTCGTTAATTTCATTACCGAGTATATTCGTAATTTCGCTATTGCAAAACAAAACCCGAATTCTTAGTTTTAAATTTTTTCCGTCGTACCTTTCGCGACTGCCAGAAATATCTTCTGAATCCCCTCGGGAACACTATCCAGAATCGCCACCACCAGATCCGCATTCTCGCTCTTGACAGCCAATGCACCCACCTTAATGATATCCTCTGCCGCATAGTGCTTGACCCGATCACCGCGTAACAGACACCCTACAATTGCTGGATTCTTGGTTCGTACCGCCATCTCCAGCGCTGTCCAGTTCTCGCCATTCCGCAACGCTAACCGGCAGCGTGGATGTGCTGCTATGAGCTCCGCTTTCTGCAGAATGCTGGTTTTGGCACTGGGATGCCCTGCCAAGACTACAGCGGTCATCAGTGGAGTGTTTCGAGCGCTGGTGGTCGGCTTATTGACATCCAGACGTGGACACTGAAGTAATTCACGGAGAATGGCGATGTCGATGCCGTCACGTAGTGCTAGCGTCAACGGTGTCTCCCCGTTGAATTCCCGGTTGATCACGCTGCTGTTGGCCGTCGAGCAGATGTGACGCACTTGCAGCACATTCCCTTCCGCAACAGCCCCGTGCAGAGGTCCCGCTGCAATATCAGTGAATACTTTAGTGATCTGTTTGTGTTTCGTATGCGGTTCTTAAACTCTATATATGCACAATGAAAGCATCTGTCACACAGGGTTCTCAAAATGCACATGTAACACGGAATACTCGGAATACTCATGATCATTTCTAAGCATTATATGTCTTTAACCATTATATGTTGGGCGCTTCCTTTACGGTACTTTAAAAGTACATCGCGCAGAATGCACAGGTCATTTTGATTGCGTCTATTAAAAGTTCTCCTCGTAAGAAAACGCTTCCATCTGCATTCGTACAACTAAAAACCCACAATGCTAAAACAAACCCTTCGAATTCGCGATGCACAATTGTAGCTGACTCTCATAATAAGACTTATGGTGGGTCTAAGGTTCGAAGCGAATCTGGTTGCGATACAGCAACTCCACCTCGCGAGGTGGCTTCACGTACTGTATCTGTAGGCGTGACCACCTCGTGCGGTTGAGCAACCTTACCATAGCAAATAGCAAGATTCGCTTTGAATCTGAGACCCACCCTTACACTGCCACTACACTGTATATATTACAGCATACATATTTAGCTCTACAAAAGCTCTTTGAAACTACAAGCACTACCTCCAAAAAACGGAACAGTGCGTGCGACCGGAAACACGCAACATAACACTAGCTTACCTTCCGTGCTAGCCGACGCCCCCATTTCTCAACCTTGTACGGATGGTTTTTTGACTGAGATCCTATGTAAAATTAGCAACCGTATGCTAACTGTTAAGAATTCATAATTACTGTACAATGCAGGAAATTCGAATGTGGCAGAAGTTTATCGTCTACGCAGCCTTTATTGCCGGATATACGAGAGTTTCTTATCAAAATACATAATTTTCGGTTTATACCGATATGGTCGGATATTTTGTTATTATCAGTCAGATAGCTATAATCACAATCAGACTACGAATCCCAGTGAACACATGACACCACTTACACACAACGTGATGAAATGCCGTAAACAAGTTACCGGAATTTGGGTGTGGAGTGACCGTCATTGACGTAATTGTGCCAGTATGTACGAAGTCATTCATTTGTTACTAACGCGATAAAGCATTTGTGCCGCCTCTTAATATTTGTATATACGCAAGTACTTACTATAGTAAGTTCTTGATATACGACAATCTATGCGATTTTGTAGCGTGTTTCTCAGCATATGCAGGTGGTACAAAGAAGGCATACGCATTGCAACAACAACAACAACGTTAAAAACACTTGCTTTAAAAGGCGAGTCATCATGATTATATTTATCAACCCAGACAATCTACACTGGTATACTGTAAATTGTCCCGTTTGGTTTATCCTTAACTGGATGCCAGTGTTACAATCTTATCAGCCTGCAAAATATCATCAGGATTGTGCTGGCAAAATGACGGTTCAAAATTACTTGATAAAATTGTATGAATGCTGTCGGTGCTACTGCTTCTTGGTTTCTCTTGTTGACCTTGAGTTACTCTGTACATGGGCATACCGTTAATAAGTATCTTAATACGAGTACAAACTATGTACCAACTACCAAACAAACGGCATTTATAACAGAAAAACTTCCTCTATGCTATCCTGGCCGGGGAGCGTACCCATAACACAAATCGCGTTTCCCCGTTGCTGATACCGCCTTCAGGTGCGCGACTACCTCCTGTGAAGTCCGTAGTGTAGTCAGCCTTAAAAATATATATACATATATATATATACAAGTGTCGGTCGCGCTAGCGCGCGACCAGTTATGTTTGAGGTATGGAAGAATGAAAGAAATACAAAATATACTCTTACTTCGTAATAGCAATAAAAAAAATTTTGAGAAATATTTCAAACATAAAAGCTCTGCGAGGTCAGCTACGAAAATATTTTAAACATGTAGAAATGTGGAAAGTTTATTGGTTTTCAAGCATTCCGGTTAAATTCGACCAGCTTTATGAAAACTATGAAAGCCTCCGTAATTTTTCTTTTTTCATGGTTGTTTTTAACGTTTTAAAATCGGACTACCCGTTCGTCCAAACATAATTTTCTTAGCAAAGGCCGTCATAGCTGTTACGGATGTAGTTAACTATATATACATATATATATATATATATATATATATATATATATATATATATATATATATATATATATATATATATGTATATATAGTTAACTACATCCGTAACAGCTATGACGGCCTTTGCTAAAAAAATTATGTTTGGACGAACGGGTAGTCCGATTTTGAAGCGGTAAAGTGCGCCAGAATCGTCGCAACGACGCGGGTAATGTTGCGTTATCGCCGACCCAATGCGCCTCGAGGGGAAAGCAGGTGCCTCAAAAAACAAATTGTTACAATGGGCCTGTCAGCCTCGGCTCCAGACATCGATCTCATCTGGTTAAAGCAAAGTATTGTAAACTATGTTGACTGCTTATTACTTCCGGGTGTAAAGTAGAGGGCGCACCTCGGCCACCGGCCTCCATGCGTAAGAAACCCAAAATTTATCCGGAGAGCGTTGACAAATTATAATGTATACGTCCGACGCCGTATTATCATACAACTGGTTACGGATGTAGTCCTCCGTAAACTGGTTTATCTACATCCGTAACCACGTATACACTATTGACAATGTAGCCAATGTTTGGGCGAACGGCTGAACCGATTTCGACACGGCCAAGTGCGTTAGAATCGTTTCAACGGCGCGAAGATTCATACGCTATTGCGGAATCGATACGCCCCAAAAGGGAAGGAGTAGCCCCAAAAAACAAATTGTTGCCATGGGCCCAGATAGAAATACATGGGTAAATGCTTTGTCTGTTCGCGGACCGTTCGGAAAAACCGAGACAGACCGCGGCCTTCGGCATCGGCAGGTTACAAAGTATTGCAAATTTAAGAAACATATGCAAAAATTAATCGCAGTCAATCCCACCCGCGTAATCAATACTTCTATACCTCGTATTCTTTCATATACAATATTTCTTAGATTTCTTAGGTTTCTTAGATTTCTTAGGTGTATTAGGTTTATTAGGTTTCTTAGCGTTTCTCAGGTTTTTTTAGACACTTTGCCGACACACTGGGTCCCCGACACTTTGCCGTTGTAGCGAATGTTCTCCCGTTCCACACATCCAATCTGCACGCTCTAAAGTGCTGCAGAATCCTCACAGTGTCTAGAGTGTTCCTGCATCATCAATTTTCTGGAAAGCCCACTACCCACAGTCCAGTGGTCACTCAAAAGCTTGTTACCATGGTGGCCATTAGCTTAACATGGGCTGCTTGCAAATTGCCAAATTCCCAGATTGTTACTATGACGTGTTATTATATCGAATTGTCACTTAACTTAGCGAACTGCGAATTAGCAAAAATAACAGGTTCTGCTCACGCCTGTTTTTTTTGTTCGTGCCTCCTTATTGTAATAAACATCGTGCCATTATTTAATACATATGCAGTTAACCTTTTTACATGCTCGAAATCCTAAGACATTATTCATCCGTGCTGGGCTTGTTATTATATATTCTATAGATATACCTACTTCTATATACAGATATCTAAATAAAGGGCCAAAGGGAGGCTGTTGCGATGTGGCCACACGTTGAACAGCGAAAGCTTTGCTTTGCGAACACGATAGCTTTGCGAACATTGTGTCAGATAGCCCGAATTTTGGAATGATTTATGATTTTTGGTTAGATTTATGTAAGTAGCGCCCTTGTTTAGGTTGGAGATCATAAAAACAGTATAGTTCGACCGAATACAGAGACTCCAATATTCCGCATGGCAAAACTGACTTATAACTATTCAAACTGAAGTTTCATTGTGTATACCAATGTGCACATTGAAAATTGATTACAAGCACAGAATGTCCATAAGAACGTTGTAAACTGTTGGAGGAATATCTCGAGATTTTATCCCTTTCGCTGTATGAACCAGCGAACCGAACGGTTGACAGAATTTACTTTCACTGCATTGAATGGGCACGGTCTCGCACTTATTCATCCTTAACCCAACCGCACAGGGCGCACACTCGCATCTATCCTGGATGAAACCAAAAACCGGCTGTATTGCCCGTTAAGCAGCCGCGCTTGTAGGGCGGGATTGCTCCTGCAGCGGAGTGTTCGTTTCGTCGATTCATACAACGAAAGTGTTCGGTTCGTTGAGAATCTCGAAGTAGTGATTTTGTTTTATCAAAGCCATAATGTGAAATGCGGCGAAAACGCTTGTAATATACGGCGACAGTCGACATTATTATTGTAGGCTTTTCTGCTTATCCGACACACTCGCATAAAAAGTATGCCCTTGAAGTCGAAACAAGTTGTGAGTGATGCTTCTGCACGGCATCTCAGTTTCTTGATGAAATTTTGACCTGATTATTAGACACACTGTCAAACACCTTGAGGATAGACATTTATAAAGCAAACAGAGCGTGAACTGGAAGCCGCCATTTGGCCAATCATGGATGTGTGATTTGTGAATTATACCGGAAACACCTCATTAATTGCACTTACACCTGCTTACATTAATGCGTAGATCTGTTAACCTCATACGGCGCCGCTTTACTGTGGAATATATTTGGTGAAATCCACAAAAAAATTAAGTAATCAAAAGTCATTGTTCGCAGACTTAATTTCGTCTACAGTAAGCGAGTAACACTACAAGTAACGATCGTGAGTGTCAAAAAACGAACCTCGAAATGTAACGTTTCTTGATTTATAAACCACAAGAAGCTGCTTTTAGAAAATTAATGTTACAACTATGTATAAAAATGCGCAGTAATTAACTCCCTACAGAATATTCTTTTTTTTCAAAAATGGCTCTTCGTTTGAGGCATATTTGGTGGTTTTTTGTTGCTGCTGGTAAGTCCGTAAGCGGTTCACCGTAATTTGCTACCGACGTTTTATACAGTAAACAGATACACTGTGCCGGTTTTATAATATCCGCCTGTGGTATTGACTATAAGCTGTGTTTTTCTACATAAGTAAACCGGTCAGTGAAAACCTTTATGATATTTCTAGAAAACTTGTGACTGTTGTACTCTATTCCGAATTAATTTTTAAAGAAGATATGGATATCCCTCATAATTTTCGATGAATTTATAACGGACTGGTTTTGATTGTTACTTGAAACAGCACATTATATAAATCGTGGCAAACGTTTTTTTAGTTACCGGAGAATAGTAACGAAAAAGTTGTAGCGATTCGCTAGAAATAAAATAGCCTTTGTTGTTTGTTGTAGGCGTAGCAGATGTGGTCCGCGGGCAGTCGTCTGGGTGCGCAAGCAACTATGTCGGCTTAGGTGGTTATTCCTCGACCGGGTACGGCACGAATCCATCCTCATCTAACGGTTTTTGTGGAATTGGCAATGCTGTCAAGGGACAAACCGTGGATCTCGATAGGGTACACAATCTTTTATCTACACTGTAATTAGAGCATTGACGACGCATTTGATACTATCATGTTACGCTTATTTTGAAATATTTTCACCATTTTGCGTAGTACTTAATTCATAAAATGGCTAGGACCGTTATTTTACCGGCTTGGTTAAAATTCCGTAGAAAGGTCAACACTGATGTTGATGCTTACATTTAAAACTAAATTTTGGATACAGTTATAGCGCTGTTAACATCAGTTTTGGTACCAAATGAAGAAGCGCATAAGCCACAGTGTCATACTTTAACGATTGTTTAACATCCCGTTTGACAATGTAGTTAACGGGAACATGGTACTCGTACGCCACCTGGACGCCAGATACCAATGCCAGCGATGTGGACAGTGTAGTCAGCAACACTATTAACTTCTATCGCATTCTGGGCAAAGGGCTCTTCCCGACGACCACGATACCGGCAGCCATTATGGTCCAGGAGCAGCTATTCTACAATAATGCCTCCGATACGACGTGCCGTTCGAGTCGGGAAATCTGCTACATGACCACCGATGGACGCCAGATCGGTGTGTACTTTAATCCCCCGAATCCTGCCCGAAACAGGAGCGAATCAGCCGGTATGTCAGGGTAAAACCATTATGCTTCCTTACAGCTTTTTTTTTACATGCGTTGCATTGTATTTTTATCTGCATGCTAGTACTTATACTTAATGCTATACATATTATTAGCAGCATGCAAACAAAAATAGTTGCTATATTATCAGTAGTATGTTGTATAAACGCTTACGCTTCGTTTTCGCATCATGATTACGCGAAAGTCTTCTAACCTTTGCGAATTACTCCTGTACGGTACTCTGATTCTCACACTTCAAAGTATGCATTTTTCCCCCAATTTATTACTTCGGTATCGCCTGCATTTTACAAATTGTGCTACACCTGCACCAGATGCCATAACGCGTGACTGCAAAAAAAATAACAACTGCATTTTCAAGAAAAATATCTCAAAGTACCTGTTCACACGAGAACCCTGCAAGATTTTAAATTCCTGAGGTGTAGGTGTACTGATAGGTGTCCGAATGTGAAACGTAAAAATTAAAAGTGAAATAAATAAATGAAAGATGAAAGTGAAAAATACAAGTGAAACGTGAAATATAACATAAAATAACGTGAAAAACAATGTGAAAATAACGTGCAAAATAATAATTATTAGTTCGATGGAGCAATAATGTGAAACGTTGTGCATATAAGACGGCAGACGTGAACTGTTTAATTTTTTTGCCCGAAAATTTCCGTGCAAAGAGTGGATCTCTAACAGAAAAATTTGTAATTAGGCGTATAAAGTGCGGGCGAAACCAGAACACTTGTTTATCGGTAAGTACTCTATTTGTACGAGTATACGTATGTCATGACGTTTCGGTTTTATGTCGGGCGTGGGATATAATGCCGTTGCTTGAATTTTTCAGCTGAAGACCTTTTGTTTCTGTTCTCAGGTGTGGATAGCTCCATTGTTCTGGCGACGGATTATGATACGTACGCCATTTTCTATTTGTGCTACGCGACAAACAGCAGTTCGGGTTTATGCGCTTATCCCGATATCTATGTTAATACCAGAAAAAAACCGACGGACATCACGGCGAGCGACCGGCAAACGATAAGCGGCGCCGTCAACGCTGCTGTGAAGCCATACTGTCTGGATGTCAACGCTTTTCAACTCTCGCTCTGGAGCACAAATAAGCCGGACTGTCCCCGGGTGGATCCCTCGCCGTGCTATACAACCGTAGCCAAAGGGTTCAACGATACGATAGAAGCCTTCCCGGACAAACAACCCGAACTGTGATTATATATACGGTGACATATACATAGTACATTTTATGGAAATCGTGGGTGCTTAATTTTGTCGTGGATGTTGATGGTTTTGCAATTTCGGATTAAGAAGATGATCTTGTGTTCAGTATTTTTGAACGACCGTCATATCGAAAGGTCGAGGCTTGTTGCATAATTCCTCTTAACAGGAATAAAAGTAATTACTGTAATTAATTCGTGAAATGTTGAATGCCGCCCGTTCCGGTTCAGAGCCGAGATTAACCTTTTCGTCGTGAGTACTGTATCTGTACGTAAAGAAAAGTTAAGCATGTGCGAAACGTTGGTCTTGCAAAGAACATTTTGATTGGCGTTAAAATAAAATAATACTGAAACTACTCGTACTTCTACAGGGATGTGTACAAATTTTACGGCTAGAAAATGATAAATCTAAATTCTTTTTAAAGAAACAAAGCCGTATCTACCACAAAATCGTATAAAATTAATTTCCGGTGAAATCATGAAATCCTAATTCGGACGCTCAAGCCGGATGCGGTGATGCTGGAACTATGTTCAGGTAAAGCCGCAATAATTAAACATGTACTACTGTAGTATATTGAATATTGATTATTTATGTTCTATTGATTTTATGAGAATTTTATTTAAAGAATTATTATTGGTTAATATTTTCTATTTATTTTATATTTATAAATATTTTACGAAGAAATGTTAGTATTTGTTGACATTAATTTCTTACAGTACTGATATTTCGTATTTACCTAATAAATATTTTCTAAATTCATATTTTACAACTTACGAATAAATATCTTTCGTAGCAGTAATATATTTGCAATCATTCTTAACGAATCAATAAACAAAAGGGATTAACAAACCAATAAATGGAAAATAAATGAATAACTGCAGAAATACAATTTTCTCTTATTTTACTTAGATGTTAGTTATCATACGAGTGCCTTTTCGCTGCGTTTCAGCTCCATAGCTATGCTAACTGTTGATTGAAACATGTTTGCAGAACGGATGGGCCTGTTAACGGATAAGTCTTTATTCGATGAAGACCACGCCCATCTTGTCCTGAACGACCTGACGATGGAACGCGTGAAATCCGTGGCCAAAGAAATCGGCTTCCTCAAGGCCATCATGGCGTTCTTCGTGCTAAAATTAGCCGCCGTCTACGTGGAAAAATTTGGGCTGGAGGGTGGTGACATGCGCACCGCCTACCGGGAGGCGGGGAACATTCCCCACTGCACGCTGCAGCTGGGGGATCGTCGCTGGAGCATCACGAGTCAGCGCGCCATGAATCCCCTCTCCCTGTGGGAACGACTGCAGTGTGTCGGGTTCAAAATCCGCACCATGCGGACGGTTATCTTCAGCCCGGAGAACGTGGAAACGCGCCGCTGGCGCGCTGTCGTGGAGGAACTGCAGGCCACATTCGCCGCGGCGTGTCCCACGGTGTACCGGGCCATTGTACAGGAGCGGGATGTCTGGCTGGCGGGGTCGCTGCAGCAGTCTGTGTCGCAGCCGGTGCTGACTGCGGAGGGTCCGCGGGGCCGGGTGACGGTGGGTGTCGTGGGGATCGCGCATGTGGCCGGTATCCAACGGGCCTGGAACAATCCCCCGCTGTCGCCGGAGGAGATGGCGAATCTGGAGACCATCCCGCCGCCGTCCGCCTTCCAGATGTTTGCGCCCGGTGTGGTGACGGGGTTGTGGCTGTCGCTCTGTGGGTACGGCGCGTACCGTGGTGGGAGGTTCGCGTTCAACCGCATGCGAAGACTCTACCGGTATTTATCCCCGGCGCGTCCAACGGTGATCACGGTCGTTATTACAAAGCGGCATGCGTTTCCCGGACAGCGCGGCAATTAACGAATTCGCAGGAGCTTGGACGAAGTCGAAAAACCCGATGATGTTTTCTTATTTGTTTTTTCCTGTTTTGTTAATTTTATATACCATATCTGGGCCGTTATGAAATATTTACTCACGGTTAGTTCAGAGAAGAGGTTGAAAATCGTCAAGATTTCAGCAGCGAAGCGGACAATTTTCAGCCTTTTGGAAAAATTTGACGAAACTTAACTGTAAAATTTCGGAAAATAATAAAGAAACTTAGCGATTTTACTAAGCCATTTAACAAAACTCGGGAAAAATTTTAAAAGATTACTTATTGAAACTCAGCCTACATTCCACAGAAAGGTCAACACCGACGTTAATGTTACACATTATTAGGCTGTCTCGCCACGGACTTTAAATGCGTTGTGTACGATACAGTGCCGGAAGTTCTGTGACTTTTTAATCCCACCGCCTTAACCGCTGATTGGACGCTAGAGTTAGGGTTTTCTGTGTCTGAAAGGAACTCTCCTGGCTCCGTTACGATATACTGTAGAACTCGCATTTTTTACCAAGTCAAAATTATTTTTTGATGTGGATGCACAGTCCGCCAGTATAGTCTTGCCCAACTACTTAATATCGGTTTCTCGTATAAAACCTGATTTTTATATACGTAATTAATATGTGCACTCAGCTTGTGCAGTAACAGGTGAGTGTTTAGAGCACACATGTGAGTGATGTGACACATCCATGCTTGTTTATTACAGTACGAGCCTACTAATATTTACTAAAACAATATTGTTCAACGTTATTATTAATATTAGAATGATTTTTAATATTACCATTATCTAATATTGTTTATTTATTACTGTTTAACATAATGTGACAACTTTTGGCACACCTGAATGCATTTGAACTTTTTGTGATGTTTTACCGTTATAACAGTAATAACACCGCAACCGGAAGTTAATTTATTTATATTTATTTATGTAATTCTTGTTTGTTCTTTTCTATATAATTTTACGCTATATTCAGAAGATATTGATTAAACATCTAAATTGGTTGTTTTGGTTGTTTTAAATAATATTAATTTAGATAATAATAGTTTTAAAGAATAATAATAATTAATATTAATATAGTTTTAACTCGAGCGTGTCTAGTGGCTGCCACCTGGAGTCGGCTGCCAAAATGTGGATTGCGCAATACCAAGGAGTAAAATATCGCTCTGTCTTTTGATTCTTTTAAAATTTTGATATGGCGATTTTGATTTTCATTCGGATTTCGCAGCTGTTTCTGTTTTTTTTTCTTTGGGATTTCACAGTTTTCCAGTCATGATTGTTTTATAACAAAAGGTTTTCCACTTGTTGAATTGAATTGAAAAACTTGACGCTTGTGAATTGCTTCGAACTACTAGTCCTCTGTGCATTACGGATAACTGAAACTCTTCATTAGTGACCATCCGATTGATTCCCACTGACATTTTCTTCGTTGGGCTGCAGTTTGCGCGGGGTTCATGGAAGCTTGACCATGTCGAAATTGTTTGTACAAAACCTTCCTAATGGAGTAAGTAATCATCCATGATGCGTTTTCTGCCAAAGCCACCAATGGAAAGCTGCTGCGTGGCCAATTAAACGCGGCTCTCATGGCGAACTTTGCCAGGGTTCCTCGCGAGTTTCTGGCCTTTCCCCTGGGTTCTATGTGGTCGTTTTATTTACCGCTGCTTTGAAGACACGATTCCATATTTATTTTTTAATTTTATTAATAGTCTTATCGATTTATTGTTTTGTTATTTTATTTGTCTTAACTGCTACGAAAGCTTTGTTTATCGAATTCTGTGTCGTTGCAGATAACCGAAGAGCGACTGAAGAGCATCTTTGAGCAGAAAGGCAGCGTGACGGACGTGAAGCTCAAGTACACCAAAAATGGGATTTTTCGCAAATTCGGATTCGTCGGCTTCTTCTCGGAGGATGACGCCAAGACGGCCATGGATTATTTCAACAGCACCTTCATTGATACGTCCAGAATTAAGGTAAAATTTGTATTGAATTTCTGCAGTTAATTTTTATAGATGTGTACAGCCTCCTCTTGAGATTCGCCAAAAACTAGATTATTTGTTTACAAATAATTTTATGGATTTGGCTTTCTTAATAATTTTCAATTCATGTATTCCATTTGTGTGCCGTTCCTCTGCAGAGAAATTCAGGGAAAATTGATAATTTCATACTTTTATATTGTTCTTGATTTTATTTGTAAATTTATTTTTTTTCCCATTTGAATTTCGGAATATTGTGCGTTTTTTCTTCTTTCGGGAAAATCCAGAGAAAATTTATAATTTGAATTTGGTTAATTTATTAATTTTGATTGATTTTTTTATTTTAGTTTATTAATTTGAATAATTTTTTTATTTTAATTTATTTATTTGATTGTAGTCTGATTTCGTTCTTGGTTTATTTCATTCGTTTGAGCATTTGAATTTTGTGCCGTTGTTCTGCATTTAGAGACATTCCAGGAAGAATTAAGTGTTATCATTTTATGTCCGTCCGATTCGGTTTCTAACTTTTGTTTTGTAGTTTTATTTGTTTGTTTTAAATTTAAAGTCTTGTTGGATTTGACATTTTTTAGTGTTTTTTTTTTCATTCTGAAACAGAGCAAATGTACTAGTTTTTCGGTTTTTATTCTGGCTGAAATTTTGCGCTACAAATTATTCGGCGCTTTATTTAAACCAAAGTACTTTTGTAAATAAAATCATTGGAGGATTCTTTGGAGGTTTTTTTTAATTGCGGAATTTCGTTGGGTTTTCAAAAAATTACGGCAAAAATTGAATAGACTGATTTCGGTCCTTTTTTTTATTCAATTTAATTCATTGAAATAACGTCGCAAGGATGGCAAGACGAATAATTTCCGTTTGTCCAGACAATAAATCCTGACATCAGTTGCATTGATATTATTCTTACAATTAGTTAAGTATAATAATTATGGAAATGTTCAACTGATATCAGTAGTTTATTTATGACATAGTTCACGCACTTTTGATCAGGTGGAATTGTGCCGCGATCTGGGCGATCCGGATAAACCGCGCGCCTGGTCTCAGCATAGCGCCGATTCCTCCCGTTTCCAAGCCCGCGAAAAAGCCCAACAAAAATCTACAAAATCCCCAGCGACACCTGCCGCGAAGAAACCCTCCAGAGTGGCCTTAAATCGTTTCGAGCAGCTGTTGCGGAATCCCTTGTTGTCGGAAGCGGAACGCGCCATGTTCGATAAAATCCGCGACAATCCCGAATTCGTGGAATTCCTGGAGGTGCAGCGGAAAAAAGGCAGTTTATGGGATAACGATGATGTCGGTGTGGTGCCGGAGAGTAAAGAGAAAAAGACGGAAGAGGAACCGGAAGTGGCGGTGGGGGACAAGAAGGAGGATTTCAATAAAATGAAATTCGCGGTGAAAATCAAGAAATTGCCGAAAGGCGCCAAGAAGGAGAGCATTCGGGAGTTTTTCAAGCCCCTGGTGCCGACACGGGTGCATTTGCCTAAAAAAGCTCGAGGTGGGTGTGAGTTCGCGGAAAAAAATTTTATGGTATACTGTATAAGATTCAGTGAATTTTTATACATTTCCTTAATCAAAATTTGGCTTATTTCTGCTTATTTTACTGTTTATTGTATTACTGTTTAACATTGTTTATTATTTCACTGTTTATTAAATTTTGTTTGCACATTTTACGGTTATTGTTGACATTCATTTTTAGCTGAGGTAAATTTTCAAAACATTTTTAGCGAATATGTTATACTCGTACTATCTTTGTTAGTGAGTAATTTAACTTTGTTAGTAAATTACCCTGTAGGCTGTATATATGAATATATTAAGCATGTTCGAGCGTAGTGCGATGCCAAAACAAACTTTGGCCAGTTATTAATGTGCCTTTAATACAGTACACAATTAATTGTACAAATTAGTGTGAGAATTTTCCTTTTCTCGATTTTATTTTATTTAAACATAATGTGAATGTTTGTGTTATTATGGCCGATATTCCTGATCCCGTAGATATCGCTTTCGCCCAGTTTAACAACGCGGAAGACGTTACCAAAGCGGTGCGGTATGATCAGCGCTTATTCAATGGCTCCGCCGTACACATTGTACGCTGCCAGAATGAGGAGGACGCCGATGCGGCTGATCCTGTGGACGCCGCAGATAATCCATCCAAAAAATCCCCCGATTCGGCTGTCGAACCGGTCGGCGATTCAGGCCGGTTGTTCATCCGGAATCTGTGTTTCCGCTGCACCAGTGACGATTTGGAGAAGCTCTGCTCAAAATTCGGTAAGACATTATTGTGCATATTAGGTAGGCTTTCTTTATCTTATGCAGGAACCCACTTTTTCATAATTTCCTTAGTGGTGTGGGAATTTACTGTTAAATATCCAACTTGCACGGTATTTGTTGTTCGGTTGTACTTTGTCTGATAGGCTGCCATTTCTTTCTAAATACTAACGACACATTAGCTAGACGGTAATTAGTTGAACATAGTACTTAAAATTGCGGTAATTGTCATGGCGTTACTGGTGTGTCGTATTATAAAATCGCTACTTATAATCATATACTTACACGTTGCGGTTATTTGTTGCTTTCGTGAAGATCACCAGTTTATCGATCGTGAAATTATGTTTAGAAAATAGAAAGTTGTAGTGCACTGCCACGAACGTGTACCAATTACCGTTGTTATCAATGGCTGTCTATCAAATGATATGTCAAAATAAAACAATAACGAAGCTAAATTTAACGAATAAGGAACATTCTAAACTTTTTCTTGACACATTATTGTATCGGATTGTTGTTATTGCAGTTAAAGGTGTGTAATCTTTGTACAGATGTACGTACCTGTCAGCAGTAAATTTCTGTTTTGTTGTCGCTTGAACTGATAACACAATTTAAACTGTTTGATCATTCGGTACAGGGTTGGTCGTGGAAATCACGCTACCCGTTGATCAGATGACCAAAAAATGCCGTGGTTATGGGATCGTCACGTTCGCTCTTCCCGAAGACGCCGTGAAAGCGCTCAACGCGCTGGACGGAAAAGACTTTCAGGTGAGTTCCCGTATACGCTTATTGCAATGGATTACATGTGTGTTTGTTGACGTGCTGAGAATCTTGCTGGAGTTGAATGTCGATCTAACGTTACCGGACTGAATGATTCCTTCGAAATGTTGTTTTATTTCTTGACTTTTATTAGTGGCAGGCGTTTTTTATTTGTAACTTGCGTCAAATATCAGCATTCGTTGCGTTTTAATACTGCATGCAAAATTAATTTAGGACTGCAAAATATTTGTAAAAAAGACTGCTAATTAATTGGAATATAGGTTTCAGTAGCATTTGTATGAAATTATTTTTTGGTCGATTATTTATTGCTGCTGATTTAAAATCAGCAGTGGGAATGCGAATTTTAAAATGAAAATGCGAAATTAAATTACAATGGGAATTTTAAAATTGTCCTACGGTTTGGTTTAGGGAAGAACGTTGCACGTGATGCCGGCTCAGCCGAAACCAGAGGAACAGCACACGGAGAAGAAACCTGCAAAAGAAAGCTCCTTTAAAAAGGAAAAAGCCGAAAAACAAAAAGAAGACAGTCAGAAGTATGGTCCAGTTTTTTGTTCTCGCTTGTCAGTTTCTTGACTCAAATGTGTGTACATATATTATATTTCTGATTTGTTTTTCTGTGAAATTTTCATATTTTTCTCCTGACTGCAGTCAGAGAGTTGAGGCGTTAGTCTTTATCCAAAGAGTTTATTATATTATATCTGAATTTTGTGGAAATATAAGAATTAGCGTGGTTACGAAATCTGAATAATTTTTTCTGAATTTCGCCGTGCGTTTGCTTTGCAGAGCGCACAACTGGAACAGCCTGTTTATCGGCGTTAACTCCGTGGTGGACGCCATGGCGCAGCGCTACAACGTCTCCAAGAGCGCGGTCCTGGACAGTGATGCGTCCAAGCAGAGCACCGCCGTGCGTCTGGCCCTGGGGGAGACGCAGATCGTCAACGAGACCCGCGATTTCCTCATCGCTAACGGCGTCAATCTGGACGCTTTTTCACGGGTATTTTGTAGTTTTATATTTATCACGATGGCCTGATAGTGCCACGGAGTTCTTTACAGTTATAGCTTAAGCAGCAGACGTATGATTCTTCTGTTCTTCTTTTGAAAAATTTAATTTAGGATCCTATTATAGGCATCTCAAAATTCCCGGTTTTTTTCTGGAATATTTTTTGCGATATTAATTGTGACTTGTTTACTGTTTTGAAAACGGAGGGATATAGTTCATGCATACATACAGCGGAAAATCGTAGTGTGATGGCTGGTAAATTCTAGGTCAAGATTTTACAGCATAATGTCCTTTGAATGTGTATTTACCGATTCGCGGTACCTTCTCTCTTTGGGAAGAAATTTTTTTTTGTAAAAAAAATTCATATCTGCTTTGTACAATGATAAAGTTTTTGGAATATTCATGTTTAATTTTGTTTTTATTTCTTAATTTCAAAAAGTAGTTTCTTTTATTGTTTCATTTTTTTTACGGCATTCGTTCGATTTGGTTGTGTTAGTCTGGCATTTTTGATTTCTGGTACATTTTTTGTCTTGTTTTTTCAGCCGGCGTCGGCGCGCAGTAAGACTGTGATCCTCGTGAAGAATCTCCCCGCCGGCACCCAGTCCAGCGCCATCCTGAAGCTGTTCCAGGACGAAGGCAGTGTGGTGCGGCTGGTGATGCCGCCGTCCGGTGTCAGCGCCCTGGTGGAGATGGCCGATGCGACGGATGCCAAGAAGGCCTTCCGGAAGCTGGCCTATATTAAGGTTTGTTGGTTTAGTACTCTGACAGCAAACTGTTCCAACAGCCTTTTATTTTGCCATCACTAGCGTGAAAATTTCCCTTAAATAACTTTCAATAGCAGTTGCAGTACTTTGCTATAAGTTTGCGTTGATTCTGTGGGAGATCGTAGTGTGATGGCATGGTGTCGTCCCGGCTATACATTCGGAAAATGATCATTAAAATGATTAAATATATACGAGGTATTTAACGCTTACGAGTGCAGTTTCTCCTTGGTAAAAATTTCATTTTTTTAGTATGAAAATTCCTGTTTGCTGCTAACGTTAATAAATTTATGGGGAAGAAGTAGGAGGAAGCAGGAAGGAGCTTTTCGTCCAGGAAATTTGATGCAGTAATTGCAGTACTAATGTCTAATTCGCTATAATATTGCACAAATACAGTGGGAGATCGTAGTGCGCTGGCTGAATCTGATTCCCACCATTAAATGTGCATGGTGCATTTAGCGCTTTCGAGTAAATTTTCTTCTGGGGAAAGTTTCCATAATTTTTATTTAAATTCCCGTTTTCTTCGGGCATAATTAAATTTATCAGGAATTTTTTCATGCATAAGAGATCTACGTTTTTTTGAACGATTCGAGTAACCCGGTTCTGTGCAGTTTGGCAGTGTATCACTGCTTTGGGAATAGCACTAAAAAATACCTTATTGCAGTACTACGTACTTCCCTATAAATGATGAATAAATTTAGAACAAGATCGTAGTACGATGGTTTAATATGCCTGATTACAATGTGCCAATAAGTGCTCATGTAACGGCTTTCGAAAATTTTCTTTCTTGGGAAGTTTCCGTAATTTTTTTGTAAATTTCTGCGCTGTTCGGACCTAGTTAAATTTATTCGGAATTTTTTCATGCAAAAAAATACAATTTTTTCGTGCGTTTCCAGTAACAAGGTTTTTTGCAGTTTGGCAGTTTACCGCTGTTTCTGGAATGGGCACCGGCGGATGCGCTGGGTGCGGCTCCTCTGCCTCCCGCCACGCCCGCCGCCAAAACACCTGCGGAGCCCACAACAGCCAGTGCGAAGACAGAAGTCTTGCCTGCGGAGAATGCCGATGACAGCGCGACGGACAGTGTTCCCGGATCGACGCTGTTCGTGAAGAACCTCAGTTTTAACACCACCGACGCATCGCTGCACGAAGTACGATGGCTGCCGAACGCTTTCGGGGCTGGTCTTTTTATTTGTATTATTATTCTGCTTTTGGTTTGCAGTTTTTCTCAGCTGTAGGACGTGTGAGAAAGGCGACTGTCGCACGGAAGAAAAATCCACGGCAAAACGGTAAATCACGTGATGTATACGTAAATGCGAATGCGTAAAAATTTGTTTCTTGTATTTGTTATCTGCAAGATGAGTTTTCTTTCATTTTCAATAAACATTTTCACTTGGATGTTTTTCTGTGCGTTGTTCATTTATCGCGTAATAATCTACTTTCCGGTTATTTTAATTAGTGTATTTTTATTAAGTTAAGGAATTAGCAGTGTTAAGGAATCTTTTAATTTTTTATTGAAGAGAGCAAGTTTTGGAAGAGTGTAAATTTTATGGCTTGCCAAGAAATAAAAGCATTAAAAATTTAATTGAAAATGATAGTTTGAAATAATTTTGTGGCAGTTTGTTTTGTGTGCGTAGCGATTTTTAAATTTTATTGAACAGCTGGATCAGACAATAAAATTTCAGTATTACCGTTACAACTGACTTGCATGTTTGCCATCACTTCAATGAAAATTTCGGCTTCTTTCGGAAATGAACGTTGTGATTTACCGCTAGAGGTTTTCCCAAAATATATGAAAGATCGTAGTGTGATGGCGTGATAGGCCGCTATATTGTTCTTGTGTTCTCAACTAGATTATTTGAAATGACCATGGAATGCACATTCAACGCTTCGTAGTACTTTTTTCTCTTGGAAAATTTCTTTTGCTGTAGGAGATGAAATGCGGCGCAAGACTGTTTTTTTTGGTAAATTTATTTACTTTTTTGAAAATTGTGAATGGCTCCCGTGCGCTTTGGGGAAACTGATTTTTACAATTAATCAAAGTTATTATTTTGTTTTTACAATATTTGCCGGAAGTCTCATGCTTTTCTCGCTGCACAGGCGGACTTCTGTCGATGGGGTACGGATTTGTCGAATTCACCACACCGCAGTCCGCGCAGGAAGCACTGAAGAAGCTCCAGCATCAGCAGCTGGATGGGCACGCCCTGGAGCTGAAAATGTCCGACCGCACTACCAAGTCAGTGAAATAAATCAATTATTAGCATTTTCAGAGCGTATACGGAATGTTATCCTGTTTAACTGTATTTAAATGTAATTTTTTCCCCATTTCTTAGGCCATTTTGTGACAGGAATGATCTGACTGATGAAATAGCCGTAAATTATTTTTAGTTGAGAAATAGCAATGATTTTTCGATGTGTGGGAAAATACTCATGTTTTACTCGTGTATTGGATGAAGAAGACAAGAAGTGTAATTAACGATAATTTTTTATGTGGAAGCACATGTTGATTACGACAATGGTTGGCTGGTGTGACTGCATTAATTTTATGATGGATTCTTTCTCGGATGTTTGAGCCTGTCAATACGTACAGTGCAGTGAAATCGTAGTGTGAAGGTTAGAACTGATTTATGCTCGCATAAACGGCCGGTGAAAATCTTGACGCTAAATATAATGTTACCGTGTTTGCACTTTTTGGTAGTAATATTTTTAATCTGGAAATCAGGACGCTGGTGTAAGTTTAGGTCTTATTGCCTTTCGCAGCTGTGATGTATTGTAAGTGTTAGCAGTTTGTTTTTGGCGAAGATTTTGTTGATAAGATGATTTTGCAGCAGCGCTTTTTGAAGCTAATTTGTATATTCGTGACTGTAAAATGAAATAGTATTTTTGTTTCACAGTGAGACGTCGTCGGCAAAGCGCAAGGAGATGTCGACCGCGCATGCCCCGTCCACTAAGATTGCCGTGCGCAATATCCCCTTCCAGGCGACGGAGAAGGAAGTGCGCGATGTTTTCAAGTATGTGGTTTTTGTCGCGATTAAAGATCATGTGCTGATTAGTAATTCTGCTTACTTAGTTTAATGAATTGCAGAAATGTATAATATATATTTTGCAGAAATTTCTTTATAGAGTATTTGGAGAATTGAAATCCGTTCGTCTCCCGAAAAAGATGGGCGAAGTAGGCACGCACCGGGGATTCGGATTCGTGGATTTCCACACCAAGGCCGATGCCAAGGTCTGTGTAATTGATTTTTTACAATGTTTTCTCTTGAATTCTTATTTTTTCCATATTAATTGGTATCAAGATATTGTAATTTGTCGTTTTTTTGTGAGATTTATATTTCTCCTCACTCCGTTACATTTTGTTTTGTTTGACGGATTTGTTGTTGTTAGCAGTTTGTAGAGTTTATTCCCGCACTAAAAATAATCGACGTCCATTTTTAATTTTTAAAATTAAAAAAATGCAGAAAAGATAACGTAATAAAATCTCCGTAATCAGCGTTTCTTGAAATTTGGAAATAAGTATTTTATTTGGATTTGTAGAGAGCGTTTGACGCCCTGTGCCACAGTACGCACTTGTACTCGCGTCGTCTGGTTCTGGAATGGGCCGCCACTGATGAACAGGATGTGGATGTGTTGCGCAGTAAAACCGCCGAACATTTTCGTGCCGGTACGTTTTGGTTTTTTATTTTTATTTATTTTTATTATTATCGTTCTTTTTTATTTTTATTATTATCGAACCAACAGTAGCCAAACTCCACTTGGGAGACTTTTAAGACTATTGGAATTTAGTTTTGGTATTTTGAAAATTTTATACTTTTTTTGGTTTGATTTTATGAGATAAAAGTTACTCATCTGGGAATCGAACAACGTAATATTCAAAAACGTAAAATTCCTTCATATATCCATTTAATGAATACATGGTAAATTAATTTAGATTCGTTGTATGTTCAACTTATTATTTTACATTTTATTCTATCTAAATTTTGCATGTTCTATAGATAATTCCAGCCGGAAGAAAGTGAAGAAAAGCCATATCCGACAAGAACTGGATGATAATGCGCAGAATGCCGATGGCATGGACGACAACGATTAAATTCGTCGCGTTCGATTTACGACACAAACAGTTGTTTTTACCTATGTTATGGAATTGTTACCCTGTGCATTTAATTAGTTTTAATTTTAATTTGTTTTCCGTGACCTGTCTGCTTTCAACAGAAATTACGAGAATAAATAAGGATCAGTAAATTAAAAAATGAAAAGCCGCGGTAGAAGAGAAATAAGTACGCTCGAAAACCAAACGAAAAATCAGGCGACGTATTTCCTCTGGTTTTGTTCAATCAGTCGACAGTGGAAACACGGAACCAGCCCGAACTTGACACACATTCAGCGTCCATTCATCACCGTGCAGCGGTTGTTAAATCAGGCCAGCCCAGTTTAACCCGGACAAGAGATTAACGAAAAGAATAGTCTTATGTTAGACAACGTTTTCTTCATCCTAAAAGGCCACCGAAGGGCAGCGCCAGTCCGTATCCGTTGTTCACACCTAATCCGCCCAATCCCACGGCGTTATTGTAGCCGTAACCGTAGCCGGATGCTGTGGACAATGATTATCAAAATTGGTCACAGTATTCGTGGATTGGATACACGCGTTAAATTTATTTTTTTAAGGATTTTTTTATTTAAAACACATTGTAAAACATTGATACGATATTGTAAAACAAGTAATATTGTTATTAAGACTCGTACTGTTATTTTTAGTGAGATTTCTAAAATTAATTATATTCGTTCGCCGGCTTTATTGTTATTGGTCAAATGTTTTGCAGTAATTATGGTAGAAATATTTAACAACTTTCTTAACGTAATTTTATTACGCTGATTAGAAAAACCCACGGACCGGACGATGCTGATCTTTGTGGGGGATTGAACTGGCAGTAATAATATAATTTGAATTAAAATCAAATTAAATGAAAATATTGCGTATTAACTTACAAATGCCTTGCAGTTGGCTCTGTAAACCGGCCAACCGTCCACCGTAGCCCATCCCGCCGCCGATACCCAGCTGGCGCGCTTGCCGTCCGGTGTTGGCTGTTTTGAAGGTTTTGATATTCTTGGTGTCCTTCGGCTCTTCTTTCCGGTGCTCTTCCGGTGCCTTGTCATCTTTTTTTATGGATGCTCCTGCGAAAAATTTGGACGTTAACTTGATCAAATATTTTTGATACTAAAAGAATAAATAAATTCCGGTGGTACAAAATTAAAATAGAAATGCTAATAATAATCAAATAACAAAATTCAATCTAGAGTTAAATTAAATTCAATCTAGTGAGGATAACCTACTCTAGTTTATCAATGCCAGTTCGAAGCCGATTCCATGAACAAGGCACTGTGGTTTTCAGTGAATTATAATTCCAGTAAAAATTACTAATAATATATTCAGCATGCTGTATGTGAAAAATTAATTCACTGATTCGATTCTAATTACTTTGAAATTCATACATAAGTCGAAGCGGAGCGGGCTCGTGCAAATTGTTGCATTAATTAATACCGAGGAGTATGGACTTACCAAATGCCATGGCGAATATGGCCAAAAGTACGGCGAAAACTGTTAGAAGCTTCATTATGATAAATCTACACCGGCACACTCCAGAAACCTAACGAATTACTCGTTAAGCTGGTGCTGGTAAGATATTGGCGAAAGGTCACGCGTAAAGCGAAGCTAAATATAACTGCTTGTGATTAACAGGCGCAATAGTGGGCTTATAAATTAGTTGTGTAATGTTGGTGAAACAGGATCTAGTTGGTCAGAGAGGATCCAAGAGAGGTCAGATGAAATTTTTGTATCTGTCCGTAATTATATATAATACTTCTGTGTGAGCGTACCACAAAAGCCACAAAATACGTGTATGGGCACTTGGACCGGTAGATTCCGGTTCGAGAACTGGCTGTCTGCGTTTGAAGGATTTGATCATTATGATTCGCTGGGCAGTCGTAAAACATTAATGAGCGGCATCCTGTAATACATACTCTGGCACTTTAAGAAAAGCTGCAATTTTTTATATTCTGTGACGCAAGAATGATATTCCACTTGGATATCGAATGTACGAGTAATCAACGCTGGACCAGCGTTGAAATAAAGAATGAATTCCGACAGATCGTGAAACACGTGATCGGATAGATTGCTAGACCACAAAATTACTAATAATATATTCAGCATGCTGTATGTGAAAAATTAATTCACTGATTCGGTTCTAATTATTTTGAAATTCACACATAAGTCTAAGCGGAGCGGGCTCGTGCAAATTGTTGCGTTAATTACCGGGGAGGATGGACTTACCAAATGCCATGGCGAATATGGCCAAAAGTACGGCGAAAACTATACATATACATATTACGGCGTATACGTACGCGGCATTAATATAACGGTAAAGAATAACTGGAATAGTACACTATGTATTATGACCAAAAATAAATATAACTAAGTACGAAAATCCGCTTTAATAAAATTTTGAAAAATTAATTTAAATTACATCACAAATCTGCTTTTAAAGAAATAAAATTTAAATTACATCGCAAATACGTAAAAAATTTATATGAATTACATCAGCGGTGTTAGTAAAGCCACAGTGCCGTAATCTTATCTGTTACTAAGAGTGAGAGCCGTGGTTCCTTCTTATGTACATATTCCAAGGTGTACTCTTATGATTTTTTTACTCGCATGTATTTTGTTTGGCCTGCTACTTATCGGATTTTCTGTAAACAGCAACAGTCTGGCTCGACTATCTGCTAAAGACAGAAACGCTGATGTTTGTGCTGCAGTAACCCGTGACAGAAATTCCGTAGTATAACGGTTGAAAGATGATCGAAATCGGGAAAATTATGGGCAATAAATGTAAACGGGATGCTCGAAATTGTCTTCTTGATTTTTTATTGTGTAATGTTTATACGAATATAACAAATTATATTTGATTAAACAACTGGGAAGATGATGGTCGTCAAAACTGGGATTTAATTTTCTTTTATTTATTCAAATTGTTTACAAATTTATCTTCCTTAATTTTGTTACCATTAACTGTACCAATATGAGCGGATACTGTTGATCCATGCCTTCCTCATTATACAACAGTTTTATTTTCTTTGACAAGAACATTCTACATACACTTTTCTCAATTATCAGCATCCCGGCACCCGACCGAAACCGTCTGCACAACACTAGTAGAAAAAGGAAACACGGAACCAAGAAAAAATTTGCCAATGATTATGCGTACCAACACGATATCGATGGCACGAGTACCGAATACAGATGAGATATAAATTTTGATTAATTATTGAAGAGTGCACAGAGCTGCATGAGTATGTGAAAAGGGGTGTGACCTTTAATACTATAGTTTCTCTTTCCATCTCTTTCGCGTATGTGTGATTATTGGGCCATGGCCAGACTCTGCCAGACCGGTGAGTCCTGGCCGCCGCCCGCGGTATGCCCGTTGGGATTGGCGTGCAGGGCGTCGAAGCCGGGATGAGCATAGCCGTCGGGCGTCAGGGAGTGCGGGGAGGATGTCTGTGAGACCAGGTCGGCGGCGGCGGCGGCGAAAGCGGCTTCGTTCAGGCAGCTTCCTGCAGATGGATATTTCATTAGATAAGACACCAACAACATGTCGTATTCATGATACTTTTTTTCAACAACACTTTTGTGAAATAACAATCATTTTGACCAAGGTTTGACTGCATTTAATTTCCGTATTTACAATTGCCCGTAAATGGACGTTGATCATATCGTGCACTGTTGTAGTACAGTGGCATTAAGCGCGTTGACTACCGGTTAATCTTGTATTTTTGTTCTGGAACAGTTTAGCGATAATCAAATTTCGGTTACCAAATTTTTATTTGAAGGTACGGTGTAATTATTGTCCATTTACAAATTGTCTTTTCGTGTTGTTCCAGTTTTGATTCAATTTTTTGTTTTTACTACAATAATTTTTCTCAGTGATTTATAACAAGCTTGTGCGATTTATTCCTTTTTTAATGAAAAATGTGTTTTAGTAAATTCTTCTACAGAATACAACAGCTCACGAAAACGTTACTTGTATCCATAATCGACAACTGGTAACTTTTTGAATATTTTTCAAACTAGATACTATTAATTTTGGAATGTAAATATTAAATAATCTATATCCGTACCGGGCATTCCGTGTCCATTGGGCGACAGATCGACAAAATGTCCCATATCGCCGTTATTGTTGGGTCGTCCTCCAGCACCGCCGGGGAAATGATGGAACTCAAAAAGTCCGCCTGGACCGCCCATCCCCGGCGGATGTCCCGGATGAGCGTGAAAAAATTCCCCTGGATGATTTCCGGGACCGTCTGTGAATTACAAACACCAGGTCATTCTATTGATTCGGCTTCGTTTTTTGCACAAAAATCGGAATTTCACTACGAATTTTGTCAGCATAATTATATGTTTTGCTCTGCTTCGATAAAAATTCAGACCATGAATCGACTTGGTACAGCGGCAGATATAAATTCCAAAAATGACATAAAATATAACGCGAAAAAAGTTTTTTAGTCAGCTTTTGTTCCAGCCGTATCGCAGAAAATTCCGCAGCAGAAAACGCGGAACACTTAATCTATTTGCCACTTCACTACGCTCAACAGCGTTATCTACCACGTACATGCACAACCACACCGTTTGAATACGTACAGTTGTGTACAAATATCTCGGATAATCTGTAAATGTTGCAAATATTCTACAAAATTCATCGCTCCGTGCTGTTAACTGTACATAGTAAACGGCACGAAATTCTGACCGCGTAAAGGTCAACAGCGACGGAAGTGTTTGTGGCTGCACAATGCTGGCGCATAGAGCATTCTGCTCATGATCAGTGCTCAGTACCATCTGCGGTTGAATAACATGTCTTGCATGTGTCAGATTGGCCTGTCAAAATGCTAATTTTATATGTCAGATATCGCATGTTGTATATATGGCGCAATAGTGTATTTCTCTTCCCCCTACATCTTTTGTCCGCCACTCGGGCGATTCCGGTTAAATTATTCATAAAGGCGACGGCTTGTGCGTGATAAGCGGCATATTGTTATTTAATTCGGGATACATTTTCAACACAACTCCTTCGCAATTCGGGCATGTGGTAAAACGGGAATATTGTAAAAATGGCACAACCCTTCTCTTAGACGGCATTTTAATATAACTTCGGTGAACTGCTAACGATTTACCTATTGCACGAATACAATAACAAAAAAACTATAAAAAAACTCTTCTCTGCATTATTTTACATTTTCAGTATAATAAATGCATATATTAATACATTTAATCATATCAATATACATATTTTCCTACTATTACATTAAATTTTGCTAAACATATATAAATTTTTCATTGTGCATTTGGGCATTAAATTCCGTAATTTTACCATCGGCACAAAGAGATGTATTTTGCCTAGAATGCGCTGCAACACAACTCTCTGTCCTCGCTCGCATCAGTAAATATTGCCATTTAAAAATGGGATTCCCTCCGTCAACAATGGCCTATAGGTTTGTTTGGTCATGTTGAATCTGTGCACGCTCTGCATGTGCCGGGAGCATTGCTTATCTATGGCGCGTGTGTTCGGCACTGCACAAATACTCTCCCCGAGTCAACAACTGTCCAACACGCCGGGAGAAGATCAGGGATGCAGTGCGCCTTCGGACGCACATGGGTTTGCGGAGTTATTGACATGAGCAGATTTGCTGGCGATCACATTACTCTCATTACACTCGACAAACCCTCATTACACATATACAGTATCCAGCCACCGGCACAACAATCATCGTCATCCCTGAATTGTATATATACAGTACCGGCGTGGGCAGTTGTGCTTGCTGCACTTAATTACTCAGCTGTTCCTCTGCAATGTACGCCGTGTATATGCACTTAATTCCGCTGAGTTGCGGATAAATGACCACTTGTACGCTTGATCAAATACCCATGATCAACTGCACTCTTTTGGAAATTACAATTAAATTTTGTACCAGTTTTAACTGCTGATTTTACAGTTTGCAGGTAAAACAAAACGGTTCCTCCAGTGCTATATCGTAGTGCAGTGGTTCTTATGGAAAGGGTATCCTTTCAGTACAAATTGTGATTCAAAACCTTTCCGATTGTCCAATTGTTTCTTCTTTGTGAACTATTCTTTCTTCTTGTTTTTGAAAAAAAAACTTTTTTTAATAAAACCACAATGCTTTACTGCCTTTACTGTTTTCACATCGTATTACTTAATTAAATTTGCAGTTTTTGTTATTCTCATTAACAGAATTTCTGGTTTAGATTTCCTGACCAATATTATTAGGAATTTTAGGAACATGCGACTTACAATTTTAAATATCTCTTGCAATTAAAGGAAAAAATTGTAAACAATGTAAAGATACCAAAATTATGCGGGAAATGTTAAGTAATATGGGGGATGATATTATTCCTATGTTTATTCTTGCACCCGATTGACCAGCGTTATAAACCGGCCCCGGTGACCCCGGTTGTTGATTGCACCGGTTCCCGACGTCGCCCGCGCAGACTCTATAATTGCGTGAACAATTTCGCCGGTTGCATATATACTCTGTATGTACATATAAATCAGCCTTCGCGTAGCCCGCCCGCCTTTTAAAGTCAAATGAAGTCTTTTGACGGCGACCAAAAAGATTAACCAAACATCCCGGCCCCGCAAACCAGGCAACCACCCCCCGGGCAGCGCGCACTGGGGGACGGCGCAACGGGCCACTATTGTGCAACGCCGACATGTGTCGGAAAAATGCCATTCACCGCAATAACCGTGGGGGGTCAGCGCGGGGAAGGAGAATGGGTCCGTTTGGATTTCGCCTTTGAATAAATAACTGCAATGCTGCACAGATTGACGTTGGAATATATCGCCCGCGCCCAGGTTGCCAATGGGCCGCCAATCCTATTCTTCACGCTTGAAATGGCAGTAATTTACTTCGGTGTGAAATAAAAGCAGCAATAATCAAAATAATTAAAAATGGGAATTTTTTCAAATATAAAAGTAAAAAAATCATTGTTTTAATTTTTCGTTACTGACATAAAATCTTTTTATCAAAGTAAAAAAATCAGAAAAATCAATAATAAAAATAATGGGTGTGTAATAAAATTTTTAATTACTATACGAAATTAATTCAGGCTAACAAAAGCAACTGCTTGGGGGAAAAATCAATAAAAAATGATTTTACGGTTTTATTTTTTGAAAATCGCATATTTGTACAGTAGTTATAATCACGCTGCCAAAAAACATGATGGGCTTTTAATGGACTTTTGACGAGTCATTAAAGAAGCGTGAAATTTAAGCCCCTTTCCCTAAGTGCACGTGCTTGGTCTCCTTATATTTCCCATATCCCGCTAATCGGCAAAACAATGTCCGTGTGTTTATTTAGCCATTCCGCTGGCCTGATCGGATACCGCGGAAGAAATCTTTAATCGCCGGCATAGTTTTTGTTATCTTTGCCCCTCTTCCACCTTGAAGACGCGGTCGGTGCGTTCAATGGGGATGCCGGTGACGCGGGCCCTTTGGTGGTTGGCTAATCCGGGGTGGGATAAAGCCAGCCATTCCCTCGGCGGACCGGCGATATATAATTGGGGAGAGATATTTCTTCGCCATAATACCGTTGCCCCATAATCGCTTAATAAGATTGCGCCAATCTCATAATCCCACTTGGCCGTGCACGGCGCGGGCCGGCTGTGTGTTGGGCCATTCTCTCGGGGCTGCCGCTGGACAATGGTCAATCAACGGCAGAAAATGCCAATATTTATGGATTATGCGTGTACCATCGGGCAGAGAATAATAACATAATAACAATAATATTGTTGATCAGATTCGCTTAATTCCCACTTTCTCAATGAGATAAATTAGCGACCGGCGTAAACTTCCTATAGCCGAATTAAGAAAAATCGGCCGATTTTTATTATTACTTTTATTACTGAATAATAATTTTTTCCAGTTCTGGTTTTATTTTACAGTATATAAGGCATATATGGGCCCAGACGCTATTCAACGGAAAATTTTAAATTCAAAAAATTCAGCCAACTAAATAAGATTTTATTAAGGAATAGCATTTCATTAATATTATTACAATATATATACTGTAAATAAAATGATTTATGTGCTTGAAATAATTCGAGGCAGTAGTAAATAAAGTGCCCTTTATACACGAAAAACACTTAATTTCTCCTAATTCATCTCAAATTCAAAACGAGGTTAACCGGGCACACTCAAGCCGCTCATTTAGCCCGGCAAGACGTTTCCGGTGCAATTTCCTTTTTCGACCGGACCGGCACTGACCACAAGTGGAGTGGCCGGTTAATGGATGGCTGTCCGAATGTATATAATAATGCCCGAGTGTGATAGTTGATGCCCATTTGACACTCTCTTCAATTACAGCTCCCAATTTATACCCCCGCCGACACTGTTACACAGGACGGTATCCGAAATTGTTCCTGGGCCGGGTCTAAACGCGCCAATTATCGCGCAATTAAGTGTTACGATTCGGCACTGATTAACGCCGCTTCGCTCATTCATACATAAACACGGCGTTTAATCATAGACGTTTTTTCCGCCGACTTCTCACGGCGGCTGGTAATTTCCTTCAGCCGGGACAAGGGAAGTCACGCGGCCCGTGTCGAGAAAAATGATACCAAGGGGCTGTGTAATTACATAGTGGAGTGGCCGATGTTAATTTGGGATTAATTGCATGTCACACTTGAATGACTTGATTAAGTCACGGCGAAAGTTTCTCTCTTTTGCAAATCAATTTCTGTATTTTATCTCTTTAATTTCTTTCTATTTGCTGCAAAATTGCCGTTTCTAATTAAATAATAGTAATTATTAATTCCGTGCTGACAGGCACTATTTTATTTTAATTATTTAAAAAAACTGAATTTTTAAAATTTTATATAACTGAAACCTGCAAAGAAAAATAAATAAGTTTATTCTTTCTCCAATTTGTATCGTTCATTGAAATTATTGATAATTATAGGTCGATTACGATAAACACCGGTGCAAGGTGCCAAGCGATGACCTTTTGACCGTTTGAATTATTGCAGTGGAGCGGAAACGCAGTTAGCGTGTCAGCACGATGTTCGCCGCAAATTAAATATAAAGCGTGGTCGCGTGTTGGTCAGTGGCGAATACATATATAGGACGCTGCTGACCAGTGCTCCTAATTAACCTTCACTTACCGGGATAGAAGGCGAATCCGGGCCCGGTGCTGGCCGCCACCCCGGCGATTAAGTCGCCCGAATCCCCGTCAAAATCCCGCAGTGACCGGACGCCGCTGCGCCGCGGCCGGAATATGTGCCGGCGTGATCCCAGCGACGTCAGCTGCTTCATCCGGCGCTCTTTACTCCGACGATTTTGAAACCAGACCTAAGCGGAAAAAAATTTATCAATAAATTAATTGTTCACACAAACAATTTATTATTTAATTTTTCAGCTACCCTCATAATTTCTATTTAAATTTTTTAAAAAATAAACGAATCACGGTAAAAAAAGCCGGTAATTTGTGTGGAAGAAGGTGCCTGTGTGCAGTAATTTTACGCAACCGCTCTTTACTCCGACGCTTTTAAAATATTTTAACAAATCTGCAATAAATTAACCGTTCGAGCAAGCGTTTTTCTTTTAAATTTGTCCTCAGAATTTTGTTTTAAATTAAAAAAAATTAAACAAACCTCGCTAAACGTATAATATTATAACCGGGAATTTTGTGGGAGAAAATCTCTTTAACGGTTTAACCAACAATTTTTTGTAAATAAAACTAATCAGTATTTCTGATACGGCCCATACGGGAATATGTTTTTCGGGAATTTTTCTTGAATTTAAATGTTTAACTTTTAAAGCGTGTCAGAAGCTGTTTATCCGAAATCTTCATCTGTTTATAAATCTTCGACACTTCATTGAGAAAGGAAACACGTCGCTGTCTCTCCCACACATCATGCAGTTGTTGACCTTTCGCAACGATCCTTGGCGAATTTTATTTGCATTAACCGGGCGTTTAGTGCCGGCAGTGGCACATGATAGAGTCCCGTACACGGAGATGTGCATGTTCTAGTCGGATGCGTATCACGAGAGTGTGTATGTATGTATGCCGCCGTAGTGGCATTGTTCCGGACACCCCAAAGAAAAGAGGATCGCGGAGCATAGCGCAAATGTTCTCCGCTTGTCTAATCCTCGAATCAAGTGTCTATCAAATGTCTATCCGCATCAATTACCCGTCGCACACCGCTGCACTGGACATTGCATCCCGCCGTAGCAATGCCGCGCGACAAAAGCAGCTGATATAGCCGACGGAACAGAGAGAGGCTTTGGAGATAGGGAAACAGACAGAGTTAGCGCGAGACTGCGGCAGAGAGGCAGTCAGCCTGAACCGGATCTTGCACTCGTACGGCTTTGTCGCAGTCGACACAGCGGCCGACAGAGCTTCTGTGTGTGCGGGTTAACTTCGGTAGCGTGCTTATTGACTTGCATGTTTTCCGCATAACTTATTTCGCACCTGCTCCTCCTCATAACGCTCTCAACGGCGTTAGCAATTTTTCCATTTTATAAAAAAAATTGCGGTGATCGGGAAAAGAATTACGGTTTAGCAAGGAAATGATTAATATAGCCAGCGTAAGCGGAGTTTTTTTGCTGATGTTTATTTTTGTTTCTGGCAAGCTGGATGCTGATTGAGCGACAAAGGCCGGTGCCGTGTTCACGGGCCAGTGAACGTTGGCGCGATGATTCGATTTACCTGAATAACACGCATAGTTAGGCCGGTTTCTTGTGCCAGTTGCTCACGGATATGCCGCGTGGGTTTGGGAGTCGATGCGAAGGCGTCTGCAATATGCATAACAAAACCAGTCAGATGCATTATTTATTGCCGGAAGATCAACTTTACGATGAATTATTCAGTTAATTTTTATACTTAATTATTTATTCATCATTTGCTTAATGAAATTTTGAAAAATACTGGATTAGAATAATATGTACAATTATTTTTAACTCCCAAATACATTTTTAATACGAGTACTGCATTTACGAAAATCACTGGAAAAAAAACTGATTAGGGTAAATAAATATTCTAAAACCATTTAAAATAAATTTTGAAAAATGCAGTTAGATACACCTGATTATGAGCATTAAGTACTGCAAATTTTTTTTAAATGACCAATACAAATATTGTATTTATGAAAACAGATACAAAAAAAATTTACTTAGGGTACAGATTTTTAAAAAAAAATATTATAGACGCACTTAAAAGTGGGAAGATGCTTTGAAAATAAATTTACAAAATTGCGCCACTGATTCACTAAACTAAAATTAATCATGTCAGCGCACTTTTGAGTAGATCGAGTTGTTTGGCTTTGATGGTGGTGCGGGGCCCGCGGCGCTTCGCCGTGATGTTGTTCTCATCGTTGCGCGGCTCGGACTCATCCATGCTGGACGTGTCACCGCAAGCGCTCTTGGTTTCCAGTTTATCGCTGGCCGTGCCGTCCGTCGGTACGGTGCCGTTATGCTTGCCCTCCTCATCGTCGTCTTCATCGTCCGTTTCGGTCAGATGCGCCGCTGAACGACCGTTGCCGTTGGTGTTACGGGTGTCCACCGGGGCCACCGGTTCCGGGCCGGTTTCCAGGTCCGTCGCTCGCTGATTCTCCACTTTAATGGACGCCACGAGGCCCGGCGACGGATTTTCATTTTTAACTGCAACGAAAACATATTTTCACTATTTTTCTATATTTTTTGTATTTTTAAAGAATATTTTCCTTAATTTATCCACATTTATTTAGAGATCTGCAAGCCCCGCCTCCTGCAAAAAAATTTTTAGAACGTTTTAACATTTTATACAACGGAATTCACTGCCTTCTATTTTTTAAATTTCATTTTTTTGTATATAGTAAGTACGTGAAATATATTTTTTGCGTTGTTTATTTCCGACCAATCAAAATTCGATTCAAAACCGGCATGTTCTATTTATATTTTGAGTTTCCCAGTCGGCCGACATCTTTGACGATGCAGGGTGCATTCTGGAAGAAATAATCGAAACGGCAGCTGCACCCCGCGCGGGAACGATTAATATGTATTTATGTCAGTTAAATTACATCTTGAATATTTCCGTTGCCGGCGCTGACTGGTGAGTGTGCGCGCGGCTGCCTTGTGGCTCTGAAATGGAGCCAATCAGTTTACGGCTGATGATTTAATTATGTGTTGGTCTATGGATGGAGCTCTATGAATTTGCTGTCAGTTCGCATTAGCATCCAGCATTCACATGTCACAACATTAAGCCGCTAAACAGTATTATATCCATATCCATAACTTGCCAAAACGTTTTCTTTGCCGCGCGGCGACATGAAAAATGCCACCTACGCTAAAAATGTGGATGTGTGGGGGAAGCAAATATTTGGCTTCAACTGGGAACATTTGCGCAACAGTACGCATTGTTTATGCTTCTATCAAAACTTCAATGCTAAATTAAAAGTCAAGTTTAGAATTCTTAAATTTATAATTTTGTGCAGATTTAGTTTTTTATTTCAATGTAACCAAAAATTTCCAGAACATCTGCCTGCGAGTCAATCAAAATGATTTAAACGTTTGGAGATCACAGGAACGGTTGTAGAGAAGTGGCCTGCTCACTCCTTATACGTTATACCTAGCGATTCTACGGAAATGTACACACTGACACTGACACAATTACCGATTTAAACACTAATTAAATCCTTTCCATAGGAAATTTGTTTTTCATTAATTTGCGTGCTCGTATACTTACTTAACTATCATCTCATTTGGCTAACAAATTCAAATTTTAGCCGCAAACAGTAACACATTTTTTGAAATACACCTCCAGTTCTTCTACAGAAACACTCGGAAAACTGGCCGCTCGTGACTGGGAACGACAGTTATTGATTCTGGGCATATGTTTGCCAAAGTGAAAAGTGGAAGATTGTCCCGGAAGTTGATAGAAAACAGTGGCGGGTGCGTGTGCAGGGCCGCGCACGGCTCGGGACAGTGAAAACACACTGTAGCCTGCCACGGGATGAATGGTGAATACAGTAGTGGGGATGAATAAGATACAGAACACAGGGAGAAGCGGAGAAGGAGGAACACTATACATTGCCGGTTGTAGTCGCGTCAAGTGCGCTGCTTCGACAACAATATACTCATCCAGCGCCGGCACTCTTCGCGCGAGCAGAGCCCCACTTTATACCCACTTGTAGCATTGATTTCTCGCCGTCACGACCCGCAAACCGGACCATTCACTTGATTAACTAAACAAATTGCCCAAAAATCCCCTGGATAATACGAGAATTATATGGATAAAAGGTCATGTGTGCGCCGCGGCTAATCGTCAACAATTGCTCCGAGTTTCTGGTTGGGAGATGCAGTGAATGCTGCGTACTGCGTATCCGTCTGTTTTTAATACCGACAGTTCTTATCGAACAAATCGTAGAGGAGTGGCGTGCTTACATTAAAAGATCTACTTAGGAACTGCAAAAATATGACTCGTACTAAGCAAAAATTCTGTGTTAATGTACCTGCACCTGAAAATTTTTAATTTGTATTATTTTATCTGGAGCAAATATGTTTTTAATTTTCTGCAAATATTTACCGTTGCATCAAGCAGTCCTTAGCGGCGATGACAATTTTTATTGAAAAATTTATTCGCCGTATTGCAATGCGAAGTCTCGATTACGTCTTTAAAATCACTATTAAATCATAAACTGCCTTTTTTAAAAGTTAAGTTAAAAATTAATTGTTTTCATTGCGCTTGTTGAATAGCGATAGAAATCAATATACTCGTACGTCACCGGCATCCCATTCTCCGGTGCCGTCACATTGATATTTATCCGCCGCGACCGCGGCGCGAGTGCGGGAATCCGATAAGTGGAGCGCGCGCGCCGTCGCCGCTTATAGTCGGACTGCGGTATAAATAAAAAGGAGTTATTGACGCTGATATTTCACAATGATCCCATTGCTCTGATTTCCTCTCGCCGGGCCGGCTGGGTATAATGGGCATTGTGCGGGCGTGTTTGGACTGCGCCGCAGCCCCGATCGCCAGAATCTATGCGCCCCGAACGGGCCATTTTCTCCCTGACACATGGCCGATGTTGTACACCGATAACGCCAGCTGATCGTTCCTTGGATTACTCAGATAACAAACCCGCGCAACTGCGTACACACACAGGCACACCGCCGGATGCATAAATAACCCCACAAAAATCAATAAATTAAACAGCCCCGATATCTACTCCGTATACTGAAGTATAAAACATGCTTTCTAATGATATATTACGAAAGGTCACCTTTAACTGTAACAAGTGTAAGTTCGTTTCTTATTATTTTCCAAGCGATTACCGTATACTTACGACAAATTCGAAAAATTAAACTGCATTTATAGAGCGATTTTGCAGTGATGCTGCTCATGTAATTTTCGTGCTTGCGCGCTATACAAAATCCGATGATGGCAACCAGATTCCATCTTCTAATATGTACATGTGGCCAAGGTATCGTAGTGTTAGGGCTCACATGTTTTCAAAGATCTTTTCTCGTGCAGACCTTTTCGTAAAAAGAAAGCCCTAATTCTCGAACATTCAAATTAAACACTTTGCGGAATCACTTTTTTCGGCTGTCGTCACTTTATATAGTTCACGGTCTGATCTGCAAACACTGGTGGCAAAAAACTACAAAATATGATAACTCCGGCATTTTCCGAAAGGTCAGCGCGCAGTACCATGACGGTCATAAGCAAATACACGCGCAATAAATGGACAAAATCTGTCAAATATTTCTTTCCCCGTTTTGGCGCATTGATATGCAATGTCCACGGAATGGAAAGAATGGGAGAGATCCTCCATCGGAACTTTAGGGCCATAGAGTGTGCAGAATGGCGGCGCATTTAGCGGCTAATCTGCTGGCGATCTTCCCTCTCTCTGCACTACACCACGGCACAGATCGTCCTGTTATTCTAGCCCGGATTTCGTCTGATAATGCAATCAGACCCGGGACGGGATGTCGCTGACTGCCGTGTTTATGTGTGGCACAACTGTACGTAAGCGTCCCCAGGGATATGCAGGCAGGCCCGGCCCGGCCGCGGCAGCACCCGCAGCTGCCGGCCTGCGCGACGCGATGGCGCTGCCCAGATATATTTACGCGCTGCACAATGGATTACCATTTGCAATCTCTTCCTCTCCCTTTTCACTGATATATCGCTGCTGGACAAACTTTGCTGCTTCATATGCAGATGCTCGCTAAACATTTGGCTAAATTGACAGAAACATTGAAAAAACTAAAAAATGACAGGTTTTGAAGAATAATATTTAAAGGCTGCAGAACTGCGATAGCTTCTAGAAAAATAATAGCTTCCGTTCTACTGAGTTTATATCATATTGAATTACAGTTTGTATTAATTTTTATATTTCAGTTACGTATTCTCTAGTCCCAAAATAATTTTTAAAATTATACAAAGAGCGATGTTTGTTGAAATAAATAGTACAGAACTACAGAAACAGAAACGCTAGAAAATTGGACAATTATCGGCGCACATTAAGATTACTTTGCCGAAGTACGTAGTGTTGTGGAGATCTGAATCACTCAGTGTCCTTACCGACCACCAGTTTAGAATCTAAACTAATAATACGTCTTTCTTTCATTAAATATTTTCTTTTTTCCCTTTTTCCTTCGGCCATTTACACCGATAATTCACTTGACCTTTTGCTTTTCTCCAGCGGAGAAAAATTCCATTGAACCCGGCTTTTGAATGGTGTGTGAAGGCTCAAGACGGGAAAAGAATTCGCGGCAATTCAAACAAATATATAAGTATTTGTTAGCGCAGTTGAATGGATCAGCATGTGTCTGACGGAAAGGCAAAGCGGGCCATCGTACACATTTCTCACTGCAGCTCATTCACACAGGGGATCATAGAGCGACACAAAACGCTGATTCTTCCGCTGTCCAACGCTAAAACAATCGCTCCACCACCCGGACAATGCCCCAGTTGGAGCAGCATTTCGGTGAACACAGAGCGAAAGGAAAAAGTGAACAGAGGCCCAAGATTTTCCAGCTGGTCTTGTGCAGCGCGAGGGAAATGATGTGTTAACAATCGATTAACGGCTCACTACCGAAATGACTGGGAGTGATCTGATTTAAATTCTGCCATTAAAAAATCCTAAACTACCGATGCTTTAAATGGCAATATGAATATTTGGACTGTTCCCTGAATTAGTCGGTGTCATAAAGCGTTTTGGAAAAATACCGAATCAACTAAAAATTGCAAAAATATTACGAAACACTTTTTTAAGCTGCTGCGAAGTTTTTATCGAAAGCCACGCTAACTGCACTTTAGGATTGTGGACTTTGCGGGCCACTGCACTACAACAATCAAACATTCATGCAAATGAGAAGTCTGCAATTGATACCTGAATACAATATCCCTGTCCCTATTTTAAACTTGCATTTCGCATTTTATGTCAGTGTATGTACACGGCAAAAAAATGCTGAAATTGTTTATTATTATGAGTGCATCGTTTTTTCAAAAAATATATCCATTTCAAAGTACAAAAAACTACACAATAAAAAAATGCCAGTACTTCTATCAAGTTCTATGCAACATACAGGAAAAACGGTATTTACATATAAGCAGGAATTTGTTGTAGAGAAAAACACGATGAACTTGTCAGCCGTCAACATGTCGATCAACGCAGCATGCATCGGCGCATAGAGAAAAATTTGGCCGGGTTGTAAGTGTTGTCAAAAAACCAGGCTACTTTATGAGTGAAAAGAGAAGCTGACATATGTGTAGTGCACGCCAGTCGCGAGATGGATGCATATTCGTGCTTCCGTGTCATGTTTGGCCCATTCCAGCACATACACACACAAACACAGGCAGCCGCCGCTCGCCATAACAACCACTGCGCACACGTCAACGTCAACGATTTCTCTCTTTCTCTCTTTTAATCTTATTCAAGAAAAAAAAAACAATAATCACAACATATCGACGCGCAGCGGCCCATTGATGTACCTATCGTATTCTTGGCTACTTTGACGTGTATAGCGTTTTTTGCCCCGCAGAGACAGCAGCGTGCATGCTGGTACGGGAATATCTGACCTACATGTCCATCAAAAATTGCCGAATAGCTGCAAAGTGTCGGCGCGCGGCTTCGGGTGGCATTGTGACGAGTGCATAAATTGTCAGTTTATCTTTTTGGTGGCTTTTTTATTAGAGTGGATGATTGGCCCGTATATTGCCACCAGCGTCGAAGAGATTATCGTTTTGCAAACAGTTTAAGACCGGGTTAATTGTCCTTAATTAGAAAAATTTCTTGGCTTGCAGTCAAAGTCAACACGGCTGATTCTTGAGCAATTTCTTAAGCATACCGTATGTTTACAGCAAAAAAAAACAGTATTTTGCACTTTTGCGTTATTGGTTTCTTTATTAACAAAAGCGTTTGGAAGACTGAGCACCTCCTTACTCGACGCCACTACTCTACAATTTCGATATCTAAATGTTTATACTTAATACTCCATAGTTGTCAACAAAACTGGAAAGCCAAATGCAATGCAAAAACGCATTCTACAATAATTAACGTAGAGCAATTCGTTAAAAGATTGAAAACCTGTACAATTTCCAGCAAATCCACAGTTAGTACAGACGACTACGGATTTCTGCCATTTTTACAGCATGCTGAATTAAATATTCTCTCCGGGTTCCAAAACAAACCATAAAAATTCCACACTCTGTAAGCAGAAATATTTTACAGCGCGCTGCAAGCGTGATCAGCTTTCCGCCCGCGCAGAGCCATCGTAAAAAATGTTCTTAAAGTGTCGCTGAAGTGTTGTACAGCACCGCGCGCCAACCCTGCGCCTCGGCCAGTCGATAATGTATTGGCATTTAGATCGATTTTACAAGTTTTGTTCACAAAAGAGCGACTCTACATAAACTACACAAGGCAAACTGCCAGAGAGAACGACAGAGAGTCAGACAGAAACCCGGGAATTTTATGACGCCGACACATCTGCATAAATTGACAATTTACCCTCAACTCTATATTTCTATTGTCCAACAGATCATAAAACCACAATCTAACGCATTTGTAATGACAATTTTACGACTCAACTCACAGCTTTTCTTGTAAACCGACGCTAGTGTATCGCCAACTAACAAATTCATTGCGGAAGCCTGTTTACTTTGCCGTCTCCGTGATAAACCCAAAGGTCACCCAAAAGGTCACTTACCGGTAACGCTGCCCGGCCGCGGATGGTTGTTGATATGATGGTGTTCATTATTAAAATCCTCCTTACAGACAAACTTTCCATCCGGGATAACGTACAGCTCATCACCCGTGGTTAATTGTTTATGGCAGGTCGCGCACGTAAAACAGCGCAGATGATAAATATTCCCGCGCGGTCCCCGCTGCACAAGCTCCGACGGACAGATCCCCTCACCGCAGCTGAAGCATTTTATCCCGAATAATCTACAAGAAAAATCAGTCAACTACACATATACACACATACAAATTGCAATCGCATCATCGTGATAACACAAGAGCTGCTCTGATTGGTATCTGTACAAATATTTGCCAGTTTTAAGTGCGACACGTGTACAATATCTTTCGGTCCTTGTTAATCTCCGCGCGCTCATTGGCCGAGCGAAACTGGATATTCTGGAAAATTATTCCATATTTTGTCCCGGTTTTTATTAGAAATTCGGCTTGACCGTGAATCTTTTAATACGCCGGGGGAAGAAGAACAATACTGTCTGTATTCTTTTCAGCTGGGCAGATATCAAACACGCAGCGACCTGCTTTTTCATGTATGGACAATTGAATGAGGCAGAATGAGCATGAGCACATCGAAAGAGACAGGCACGGCCGCGCAAGAAAGTTGTGGCAGGGTGCAGGATTAACAAAATATTGCTCAGGATTACGGATTATCTGATAATCCGTTTTTGGCACAGGACGGAGTGCATACAGTGCAGTCCCTATTTCTGCGCCCCGACCATGCGCGGCATCCCTTCTCTCATACACGCTGACTGGCACATAGAAATCTCGGGGCCTTTTTGTCTTGCGCGCCTGACTGGGGACAGTATTCTTCTCTCCACCATCACCGCAACAAGACAAAACCGATAGACGCGTTTAATTGTTTGGAATCTGGACCAGCAGACAAGCATCTTGAGTGGAAACACGGAGAATTTCTCCGAAGACTTTCGCTTTTGGAAAGACTTCCCTTTCGCTTACTATAGGATTTTTCTTGTAAAAACCACTGCTCGACGAAAAAAAGCTGTAACAACTTTAACACTGGAATGAAGCTCCAATCAAATATTTGAAGTCATTGTCCGCAAATATATATTTGAAGACCTACTAGTTTCATAAATCTGATCATTTTTGTTTTGAATCACAGGATTTAAACTGGGCAAATATAATTAAGGAATAAAGTTTTGCATAAAAGGCGAATCATACGGAGACTAAAAATTGTAGTATTCGTAGTATAGCGGCAAAATACGCGACTCCATACGTCTGTTGGAAAAAAGTTATGAGCGACACCGGTGCATTACAGATATGTACTTCACTGGGCCCGTTTAGCTTGTTTGAAAATTTTTTTCTGAAGAATTTGTACTTTTTGTTTGGTGCTAATGAAACATAATTGGAAGAAATTTTCGTGGACCGGCACACGACCACTAGGCACTGGCCGGGGCAGCTGTTGCGGGCCTTAATGATGGTCGTGCGTGTTGCATGGCGTGTTAATTAATTTACGATAAGCAATTAACACGTCGGAGTCGACATGCTCAATGCCCGCGCGACTGCTGCAGCCGTTCCTAACCTCCGAGTTGATTAGCTTTAGTTGTTGATGGATTTGCAATTTTCTTTCATTCGCTTAATTCCGTCAAGACTGCTTGTAGCACTTACACGCCATCGATACGTCCATTGATATGTTATGCACTTAATTAAGTAACAATTGCTTATCTATTACCTCATTAATAACACAGGGTATTTTTATTGTAAACTCTACTTGGCTTTCTGGTAAATATCTAACAGGCAAAACAATTTATCGCGCAAGCAACGGTAAAGCGTCCATCTTTCGGCTGTAATACGGTAAACTTCTGGCGGTTATCGTAGAATTGTGGCTCAGTACCGGGTAACTGACTACCGTTACAATTTTCCCAGAGACTTCCAAAATAATTACTAAAGTTGATTTTTAGTTTATTAATACTCATTAAATTTTTTTTCGTGGTCTGCACATGCATATCGGCTATCAAAGCAACGTAAAATACCTGAAAAAATCATCCCGGCAGAATAGCTGCTCATTGCGCGCGAAACACCGCTCCTGCAGTGGACATTTACACTGGCAACACCGCAGACATTCCGCATGCCAATGCCGATCCAGCACCGTCATCACATACCGATCAAAGATGGCCATTTCGCAGCCGCTACACTTGTAGGTATTCATATTGGGCACCACCGCGGTGGGATGCGGCTGGAGATGATGGTGATGGTGGGGATGATGCTCAAAGGGATGATGATGGGGATTAAGCAGGGTACTGCCAAGACCAGCTGTAGCCGCTGCGGCAGCCGCTGAATGACGGTGCGTGCTACGGATGGGCATGATCATACAACAAAACACACGGCGCGATGGCGCGCGGCGACACACATACAACCGACCGGAAGATGTTGCGCTGTGTGTCTCCGAGATGATAATATTTTGTGTCACATACACAAACAACGCACAAACCGCCCCGCGTACGGATCACAAAACACCGTGTGTATTATGGGCGGAATATGCAGTGAAGATGTCGGTGTTTAGGAAAAAATGGGCATTGTTTCGGTTGGATATGCGTGAGTGTGTGTGCGAGAAGTTTGCGCGGAAACGCGCGTATATGCAGCTTCTGTTCCAATATCGGCCGATTGTAGGCAGAGCAGTGCGTGGTTCATATTGCAGCGGTTGGTTGGTCTGTTCTCTTGTGAAAGTGACGGCGCGGAATGCGGGCTGGGAGCGGATGCAGCCCGGCTCAGAACCGGCTTAAGAATAAAAAAAGTGTTTTTACTGTACTTGAAAGGATTCATCCGAATGTTATTTAATTAAGCTGCAGTGATATGCATCAGAGTGTGCAAAAACCATAGAATTTAAATTTCGTTTGTTTCCGTTTAAACTAAAATCAACTTTCCTGCAAATTCGGCACCCGGTTTAGATCCGGCTCCAATAAGAAAAAGCGTTTTTAAATACTTATTTATGCGCTAATTGCTAATGTTTTAAAACCAACAGCAGGTTTTTTTCAAGGCATGATCGAGAATCGCAAACGTTTTTAATGCACAATTTTTATTAACGGTTAATATTTTCTGTTCGTTTAGTGCTAGGCTGCTGGCCATATTGCGGCTGTCAGTGACCTTTTACCTGTACCGGCGTTGATCGAAATGTTCCGCATACAGAAATCTTTGGTGACCGTTACAGTTTGTTTGAATCAACTTTATTTTTTCTTTGTCGCTTCACTATTTATTTTACAGTATTCAACCAGCTGTTTCCTGAAATTTGATAAAGTACAAAACCAAGAAAATCGAAGCCATAGATTTCTTTTGGCACACTTTAGCCGCGTTGAATTTCCGTTGTTGAAGCCGTAGAACCGTCCGATCCGCAGTCGGTCTGGTGCGATTCTGGAGACAGCAGTCGAGTCAGAGCGCTGCACAGCGGGGCGCACTGGCATGGCAGATAGCTGTCAATAGAGCCCTGCCAATGACAGCTGAAGCCGTTTCTTCTTGTCCTGCCTTCGGGCTCTCTCGGCGCTGTGTGTCTCTCTCTTTCGTTGTGTCTCGCCCTCTCTCTGTCTCTTCGTGCGCACTATTGATCCTGCCAGTTTGAGCGGTTTTGTCTTACGCCATCGTAGCGTGTAATAATACGATAAGCTGCCATCGTTTCGTCTGCCTTTTGTGAGAATTCGTGAAAAAGTTAGCAAAACTCCCAAACAACCCATCACAAAGGTAAGGAACAGCTGAACATGCACGCCTTACCTTCGGCACGTTACGCCACCGATGAAAAAATTGTCAACCGCAGCCGAAAGCCTTTTATGGAATTTTACGATAGTTTAATGATAATCTTGACCCTTCTTTCCCGGCGTTAAAATTTGATCTAAAGAAGCCGAGAAATTCCAGCAAACAGTGGCGGCGTTCCGTTAGGCGCGCATGGATGCACGCGGACACTGGAAACACGGGTCAACAATGTAAAGCTGTCAAAGATTTTGTGTACTGCGAGTAAGGATGAATATGATGGCATCAGTTGGAATCACAGCCCCCTGAAAATCATTGCCCAGTGTCCGGCCCATAAACTTCCGGATCATTAATGTGAAATGGTTGTGATGTTTGTTAGCAACGCGAGCCAGCGTCGATAACATCAGCCGACATCAGCGCCTGTCATCCGCATCCATTACAAATCTGTATCATATAGCCGCCATTGCCGACACCCGATCAACTGACGCGGCTGGGAACAATGAATATTAAGCAGTTGTAAAACGGATTTAATTACACCAATGGAATAACATTTATTACCATATTTCTGCATATTATTACAAGGTCATTTTTCGTAATGCGACGGAATAGGCTGTCGTAAAACTGGATGCAGCTTCACATGAAAATAAATCAAATTCTGGCATGGATGCGGCAATTTATGAATAATAATTTTATTCTCTTTGATTTCATGTGACAAATAAGAAGATACAGAAACCGATAAAAATCGAACATGTAAGCGTGCATTCAACACCATAAAATTCGCGCAAAAATTTATTTTAATTCTTTATATAATATTATGCCGCTTAATAATTACAGATAGTAGCAAATATGTAAGTTAAAAAACACATGGTTTACAGATTTATTTGCTCGATTATAATAATTTTAGTATCATAGTAAAGCGATTTTGTTGCTGAATAAATAATTTCATAGATAAACCATTAATCAAAAAAGATCGTAAAATGACAGACATCTTGGGAACCGTTATTAAAACTCCATTAAAAATTTCCGCGGCACCGTGGTAACGTTACGAATAAATACAGAAAGGAATGCGACAGCGATTACGAAATTGCTGATTCCGCCAACATCTCATACGACCACTCTATCCACCCAATACGCAGACACGAATATAAATTACGTCCGCCGAATGATTAATCCCACATTACGGCCATGGATCAGTGGTCATTTCCGCTCGCATGACGGACCGGTGCATCGGCATGTCCGTCGAGCTTTACATGTCCATAACCCCGCGCGCTTTGGAAGAATTCCAGTGATTAATGGGACTGATGAGGCCGCGGTTATAAACGCGTATCTTCCTCATCCAATGAACATTCCGGTCTGCTTGAATAATTTGTTAATGATAGCGTGTACGGCCGGGGTCGCGAAGATGGCGGTGCAGTATGCGTATCCGGGTTGCTTATTAAACCGCGGCTGACCAATGAGGCTCAGTGCATATTTGTCATAACCGGGCAAACTGTGTACCGCGGAATATCGCGCTAATGATAGTTATCAGTTTAAAGTCTTGTTGGTAAGCCGGTTAGCTGGTTAAACAGCGCGGCTGGGGGTGCTGGCTGTGTGCGCAGGGGAGGATGGGTGATTATAGGGGCCTGGTCGTGTACAAACAAATGGATCGTTTTGCTTTCATGTCGTCTCTACCATGTCATTTTGTTGAAAAATATGTCCGATGGAATGACTAATGACCGGCAATTTTTTAAATGACAATTCCGATAAGGAATTCCACTGAAACTGTAATTACAGTTCGTGTTATCTATGCAAGTACTGTCACTGTTTATCTTCGACAAGAATTTAACTTTTCTGATCTCACATTACAAATGCTCTATTTGGAAAGCAAATTATTTTCCAAAAATTTTTACTATCCCTTAAAAAGTAATGACACGAATTACAAAGGAAAGTGAAACAAATCCATTTTCATTTTTTTTTGTTAATAAATATATTATTTTCAATTAAATATATTCACAAAAAATTAGTCAGTAATTACAGTAGCGTCATGATTAATTACAGAGCACCTTAATTAAACTTTTTATGTTTTTCGGTCAACCCGTATAATATTGTTCACTCTCGTTAATACCAATATTACCGCGCGCACATTCCACCTGGACGCAGTGAAGCCTATCACATAATCATGTTTCTCCCAACGCACTGCCGGTTATCGCCATGGGAGTGCGGAGGGGCGCCCCCGATATGTTTGTTTCCGCGTCTTCTGTTCTATAATTACAGACACACTGCAGAATCCCCCGGGTTGAGCCGGGGATCCGCTTCCACCGCCCCCGTACCGCGTACACAATGCCCGTGGAATTATCAGCTGTGGACAGTGGTGTTCGGACATGCTTGAGCGCAGTGCGCATGCTGTCGCTGTCAACCTCCGCGCACCGGGCAGCCTCCGGATGATGGATGCCGGGGCGGTGCACACTTGTGTATATATGCAGCGATCAGTGCTGCTGACCGGCTGGAGATATATATGGTGCTGCGGACACGCCCACCCTGCCAGGCAGAACAACGGCCTTCTGCCGCATTTTAGTCTGGTAAAGAACATTTGGATAATCAAACATATTCTTTTTTCCAAAATCGTTTGAGGTTAAATCTTTGATAGTTAGTTACTAATTAGAGCAATTTAAAAACAGCATTCTAGCTAGTAAAAATCACAGTATTAATTAAAGTAAGTAAAACCTTCTACTGTTAAACATCAATAAATTAGTAAAGCGTATTTACTGCAATTTAAAAAACTGAAATACTTCTACAATTTGGATTTAATTCCCAGATGTCAATTTAATTCGCAGATGCCGCACTAACAACATCTCAAAAGGGGTCTGGCATCGCCATTGCACTACGCTTTTCGTTAACCAGTATATTCCGGATAAACAAGCGATGTGTAATTTTGCGCGATGCACTCGACAACGGAGGAATGCTGTGACATTTGCGGCCAAGGCGTGAGAAGAAGGCCGGTCCGGGTAAATCATGTGATGGAAAATATATATTCCCACCGGTTTTTAAGCAGCAATTACCGGATGATCGGCTTTTTCTTGGATGGATATATATTCCGACCGGATAAAAGTGACCGCATGCAGATACAGCGGTTGCGTCGTAATCTGGACCGGTGGTCAGCGCGCAAAGGGGCGTGCGATTTCTCATCTGACAGCCGAGAATTGCGCGCGTTTTTAATCCGCTGCCAGTGCCGGTGTTGTTTAAGTGGGCGGTTAAATATAGGATTTTACCAACACCCACCCCGATGTTTCCGAGATTTGCCCAAACAAGATACCGCTTTTGACTTTCACGACCGCCGCCATCGTTAAACTGGAATTCTGAGCAAATTCGGAAAAACAAAATTCTTATTAATTTTAAACTTTTTTTCCTAAAGCGCGCCATAACCATGACGCTTCGTAAATACTGTGTCGATTAATTTAAGAAAAGAGATGCAGTAATAATAAATATTAAACAATTAAATAATAAACAAATTTTCCAGTTTTGTTAAAAATAAGTTTTTGTGTACCTTTTTAAATAACCGATATAAAGATTTTTAAAAAATCCCTTATGGTGAAGATATGCCTTGTAAATACGGAAGATATCGAACGTACATAAATTATATGTGTTATACTGAAAGCAGTCGCGTCTTTTCGACTCTTTCGAGTACCACCGTATAGGAATTTTATTGGGTGGGATTGTCGAAGGAAAATTTCTTTACAATTGATAAATCCTTTTTGTCCGCTCTGCGCTCTTTCCTGTATTATTCTCAAGATAAGTGCACGTGTGAATAAAGTAGCCACTAGTGTCGTCGTTGTATGGAAATATGTATTTTGGCCGCTGGGTGTGTACTGTGCTCCGTGGCTGCCGTACTGTGTAGTGTGTCGGATGCCGGCTGCATAATGGGTGGCAGACCGGGACAAAAGCCGCAGCAACATCTCCACAGTCCATCAAAAGCATGTTGGAGATTATAGAGCCAGTACAACATACAAGAATCTCTAGCGTTCAAATACGAAAAAGGCCGGCCAATATTTTTATTGTTTGTCATCTTCAAGTCGTAGCTCATCTTTTCACACTTTTAAGCACCACGAGAGAATCAGAATGGACAATTGCCGCTGACCGATGTGGATTGCCAATTGGCTCTATATACTCGACATACAAGTGGGAAAATTGCTCTTAATCAACACTTCTATTCACTGCCGAAATACCGTACTGTTATGCCCGTTTTCTCTAATTTTCGAATAAAAATTCCATCAGTCACGAAATTTACAATAAGCCCCGTTAAACACTATTATAGTAAATTAAAATTTCGTCAAAAAATGAGCATTAGCTGCAGCTAAAACTTAGCTGGAATGCATTTTTAGCTGCAATGCGTCTTCATAAATTATTTATTTCCGGTGTGCTCAGCATCGTCCATATATGGAGACTCATTCTTTTTGTGATTTTAAAATTTTATAGAATTTTGATTTAGTACAGATGGTATTAATATTTTTACTGCTCACACGTAAAACGGTTTACGATTAATAGATCAGTCGACAAGTATTCACAATTTTCCCAAAAAATAAACGTTTTTTTGTGTTCCTTTTGGCTTGGTAAAAAATCAACTGTATACGTATTATTTGGAAGTTAAGTGGCCATCCAAATCCATTTTACATTTTCCGAAATTAATTTCGCAAATTAGAAGCAACCCTTCGAGAAAAATCTAAAAGGCTCGTTTCAAATTATTACCACTATAAAGCTCCGATGCGTCTTGAAAAGAGAGTCGACACATGCTCTGCACGCCCCGTACATCGCCATTACACTACGGTTTCGGACAACTATTCGGTTATATTAGTCAAACAAAACAATTTGACATGTTCGCTGTTCGTGACATAGCAGCTCCTCATTTTTTGAAACTGCACAGTGCATTACCATGTTAATTGTTTTATTTTTATTGTTGCTTCTTATCATTTTGCAATGCTCTGGTGATGCTTGACTGTGTGAAATTTCTGCAATAGAATTCGAATGAGCAACTAATTCGTAGAATGATGGAAGATGATTGGCAGCGCTGAAAACTGTTGAAGAACAGCATTTTTCGTTAGCCAAGAAATATCTAAGTTTTTTATTAAATTTGCATACAAAATAGAAGCCTCTTAACTACATTAAGATCCCAAGATTAAACGTCCCTTCCAATAACAACACCACAACGAAGACAACCGAATGGAATTATCTTTAACCATTGCAAAAATAATTCCCAGTAATCCTCCACCGTATTGTGTGCCGGTTATAAGCTGGTAGAAATCCATTTGGCACAAGATAACTCGGTTGTGTGGTGTTTTTCTAACCTTGCTAACCTTTTGATAGGACTGGTGAGATGTTTGGCCACAGTTGGGACCGGATCGCAGATGCAGCGCGAAGGATGCTGGTATGATATAAAGGCCAAAAGAAAATTGACTTGTAATCAAGTTAGGCGTGGTAGGCTTGTATCCAATATCCGCCGGCAACATGGCAATCTGCCAGTGTTATACACATTTTATTTAAACATCGCATACACAACTTTGTGCACTTGACGCTGTAATCAAGTTGTTGGGGCCGGCACGCAGGGGATTGTGTGCATATTTGCAAAGGTCACCAGATCAGTATTACGTTCTGTCTGCATTTTAGACTCCTTGGCTTCGTAGATATTTACTTATTTGATCTGGTGGTGAAGTAGCACAGTAGTTGTTCTATTTTCGGGTGACAATATTGTTCTTTAGCCACCACCACAATGCACTGTAAATTCTGGAAAAATCGTAGCAAAATGGCTTATTATCAGCACGAAAAACGCTATTGTACAGTAACACGACTTCGAACTGTAACTTTAATTTGGAAGTCTCAACCAGATAAAAAGACATAAGTTTTTTTGGGTTCTCGAGCAGCATATCGTGAATACAGGAATAGTTTTTGGGCTACCTAATGCTGTGGAATACAAGTATGCTAAATCAAAATCCTGCTTTGCATTCACTGATCAAAAGCAACTGAAACCTGATATTAATTTTTAATACCATTTTCAAAATTTCCCAAAATATACCAAAGTAACTGCAATCAGCTCACGCAAGGATTGTATCACCGGATGTGTTCGAGAAGGTATAATTAAAATGTTTTCTTTCACAAAATATTATGTGATTGTAATTTGCAAATGCTCTTCGTAAAATCATACGGATCGTTACATCTTTCAGCAGTCCAAAAATTAAGAATTTTCTGCAATTCGGTAATTTCAGCTTTTACGGACTCGCACACAATCCGGCATTGACTAGCAATATGGCCTGTACGGTTGATGAGTTCGGTGGGCATATATGACACCGGGGGTCAGGTTGGGCCAGCGGATTGGCGGGTGCCCCCCAGGGGGGCCAGCGTGGCAATAATCTAATCAGGATTGCAATCCCCAACGCGCCAGTTTCCGCCAGCGTCAACACAGACACATAACACACCACTGCGCTGTATACTGCTGACTGCACCCCCGAAATGCGCCGAAATAGAATTCCGTCCCGGTCCAGCCAAGCAGAACAGCACATGTAACCCGTGTTTGATTGCCCCTGTATATACACTAGCCGCGTGCGCGCGGAAACGCTATTTTCTCCAACATTTACGGTAATTAACGGCCAATCATCGGCCGGCAGGGAAATGAGTTTCTGCCAGCTAAATTTATCCTTGGCTCGGCTACTAACTGCCGGCTTAAGCAGAGACGCCGAAAGCGGGGGGAAACGGTTGGAGCATGATGTGAAAGTGGAGCGATGATGTCTTGCTGTGATGCAGATTAAGACGCTGCACGCGCTCATCGTCGTTGCGATAACTTAATGTGTCGTATTGGTGACCTTTATCAATAAATTCCAGTTTAGTGTGAATGCGTACATTTTCATCATCATTTTCTTGTTAAATTTATTGCTATCTTGACAGTTGGTCTAATTTCCAACAACATAATTTGGAAATTGTAACACCGAATTGTTGTACATATAATGTTTTTAGCAAAGTCTACATTTGTAACTGTAGGAACGTTAACTATCGACTTTGCATACTTTAACTTCATGTTTTACTAACAGGAGAAATTTAACTTAGATGTCGGCATTTTTTACCTGTCTGCGGATAGCGCGTGTCATGACAGCTTCTCGGACGAATTTTTTTATTTTTATGGATTTCGTTGGACGCCATTGTTGTCCAAAGCATTATTTCAGAAGCCCCCTAAATTTCTATCGTACGGCTTTCAATTAACAGTTATTCCTGCATCAAGGAATTAATTAAAGCCTTGGCCCGAATAAACGCATCATTTTCAAAATGAAAAAATAATTTACTTCTTGGTTACACTATTACTGCTGGCCTCTGACTGCGCACTAATCTAATCAATTTTCCTCGAAATTCCGCCGTCCTTACCCATGCACTTTTGAAATTCTCGGTCATCCCAGACTCTCAGTTGCAAAAATGTAAAAGAAACCATAATGAATTTCCTGTTTGCCGGTCTCCAACTGAAAGGTCACCGGCAGTGGCGCGTCGCGCGGTAAATATAGCAGGCGTATTACACACTGCATCATGCATCAGCGTAATTCAATCGGATAGATGCGCCGATGAGATTCGCGTAAAGTCAATTTTAAAAGGCCAGCGCACAGCACAACACGGTATCACAACTGTATATGATTCTGTGGATGGGAAACATTACGCTGACAATGGATTTAAAGTGTTACTTGAAACGCATTCAATTTCCCCTCTTATCTGCTCATCTTTCCTACATTAATCCCGTGAAATAATCGAATCTGTATCCCAGGTATTATCCACTCATTGGCCGAACACATGGATGACTGGATATCAAATTTTGACATTATCAGAAATTGGAAAATCAGTTGAAAATATTGTTATTCCATAACCTCATCTTGTTGCAAAAACAGATTGATTCAACTGCACAATATAAAAAATAGCATTACAGTCTGACGCTCGTAAAAGTCACTGCCAATTCGCGAAAATCCTCTATCATAAAAAATACAAACATCTATAAATAAATTTATTAGGCATGGTTAGTATATATAAGTACCATCTCAAAAACACTCGTATTCGTATGTTAACCATCTCAAGCATACTGCGCCTAAGATCCGATTGATAAAAAACGACAACCTACAATGCTAGACCATTTTTTTGGAAACAACATTTTTTTCTAATAAAGAATTCAAGACTCTTTCAGTGTTTCATGATTGCAGTGCCTAAATAGTTACTCTAATGCAGCGCTGCGCATTAGCAGAAATGTCTGCCGTATAATTTTGTATGCATGTTAATTGTTGCAGTTATTACGGGAGTTTTTTATATAATTTTAATTTTGGAAACATAATCCGCAAATATCTCATAGAGGAACCTGAAGCGCCATATTGAAGAATATCTGATAATGTCTTTATTGAATATATAAATGAATTTTGGCTTCCAGATATCGGAGGCACGAGAAGAATATATATTTTGTCCTGGACCGGCAAATAGCGAGACCTGGACAGTATTGTATAAACACAGTATTGTTCATTAATAAAATACATCAACTTTTTGTGTTATGTCAAAAATGTTACTACTGGCATAATGGAGGAAGCGGAAAAAATTAAATGAAGTCGGTTGTAATGTTCAGCTCGTATTTCCTGTATTTCATACTGTATGGCTTCATTCTGTACAGTGTACACTACCAGCAACGACTGATGATTGCCAGGTATAGGCGGCATTGTGGTCAATGTAATATCGTATCTTTTAACCATATGTAATATCGTATCTTTTAATGTACAATGTAATATTGTATCTTTTAACCATATTAATTGACGTAGCTTTTGTATTAGGTATCAAATCATTGTCTTATCTGCAAATACATTCTATAAAATAACACGAACTCGGGTAATTACCCGAGTTCGTGTTATAATCGTGTTATAACACGATGCATGCCGGCTTTTGAAACATCGGCTGCAGCTAAATTGTTCGTATGTTACGGTGCGTGTACAAATGTACATATTACGGTATATGTGTTTGAAATGGTTCATAGTTTACACTTTACAGTACTTTACTTGGGTCCTCTTAATTACAAAAGCGACGTAACGTTGGTAATCAACTGCTGGAATGGTCGTGCATTCTTCGATTTCCACGCGTATTTTAGGAGGCTGATTAACAAAATATAATACTTTAGTACAATTATATACATAACTCAAAAACATGGCGATGTGTGAGCAATATTCCATTGGTATTGATTTAGGCACCAAATTGAGCTGCGTTGCGGTTTTCCGTAATGGAGAAGTCACAGTCATTCCGTGCGAACAAGGCCGCCGTCGCATCCCTAGCACTGTTGTATTCTATAGCGGGAAGCGATACGTTGGCGATCTATCGCCTATGCTGGTGCTCCACAGTTCGAAATGTATTGTGGTCGATTCGAAACGACTGATTGGTCGACATTTCCAAGATCGAATAATCCAGTCCTTCCTGTCCGACTGGAAACGGTCTGGATTAAATATTGTGGATAAAAATGGCAAACCACATATTGTGATACAGGAGAACGGACATGAAATACTTGTTACTCCGGAAGAAATCAGCGGCATGGTTTTGGAGAAGATAAAAGCAACAGCTGAGAGATTTCTGAAGAACTCGGTTGCGGAAGCAGTTATTACTGTGCCTGCCTATTTTACAGATTCACAACGAGAGGCTACAAAAGATGCGGCCCATATTGCCGGTTTAAGCTCTGTTGTTCTATTACTGTAGCGGCGGTTTCAGGTTAGACCACAGAGTGTGTTTACCGGAAAATTGCGCACTGGATATACCCACGCTGCACGGGCAAAATTCACGAACCAAATCCCGTTTTACATTTTCTTATTTCTGACAGCAAATTTCCACGTAATTTTGACTACTTTTTCACCAAAAATGTTTTGTAATCACAGCTCTGAAAATCATTCCCTTTCTGCGCCCATCCTGTGAACTTGTTCACCGTCCATCCCAATGGTGATTAAAAACCGTCCGTGCAGGGGCACCCCAAAAACCACAACAAACCAACATGGCCATCAGAGGTCTGCTTTGTATTACTTACTTTTCAGCCTTCTAAAATGCAGATTCTATCTGATTTTTCGTTTTAAGATATTATTAATTAGTTAAATGAATTGTTAAATCATGAACGTTGCTCAACAGCTCAAGGAACTCCGATTTTGATTTGCTGGTAAAATATCGTGAATTTTGCCCTTGCAGCGTGGATATGTCCAGTGCGCATTTTCCGGTAAACACACTCTGTGGTCTAACCTGAAACCGCCGCTACAGTAAATGAACCTGTTGCTGCAGCGGTCCGCCATGCTGTGCCAGCAAAATATAAAGCGGGGCACAAGATATTGGTTTTCGATTTAGGGGAAAGCAAATTTGACGTTTCCATCCTAAAGGTTAGCTCTGATATGCAACTAGATGTCCTGGTCTCACGAGGAAAGTTCAATTTTGGAGGAAATAACTTAGCCCATCCCCTCGAACTCTGGTTGGTGGAGGATTACAAAAATACCTGCTACGTTGAATTACGAGACCATTCGGAAGCACTTCAGCGTCTATACAAAGCCTGCAGAGAAATCAAAGCCAACCGGGCTGTTCAAAGTTCTGCTCGAAGTTCGCAGTGCGTTAGGGTCCATATACCCAATTTTATTGGAAACAAGGACTATTTACGGCGAGTACCTCCGGATGAAATGGAGCGGGTTTTCAGTGCTCCAGTTAAAGTAATCTCTTCCATTATCCGAAAAGCTCTACGCGATGCCGGTATTACTGCGACAGATATCGAGGCAATTGTCATGGTTGGAGCTAAGAGCAACATACCAGAGGCGGCACAACTGCTGCACACGTTGTTTCCCGAAAAACAAGTGCTTCAGGACGCTAGCCCTGGTGAGTCGATAGCATGTGGAGCGGCAATACATGCTGCTCATTTGGTAAGTACAGTCTGTACAGCACAACTGTGAACTGTACAAGGATGTCTCAGTCACAGGATCAATTCGGAAGAGGAAAATAAATGGGAAAAGGTGTATACCTGAAAAAACCGTCAAGACACCTGAATCGCCGGCAAAACTTTCTAACCTGGCAAAAAACAACAAAATGTTGTGATTGATATTGCTTTATTTAGTTTTTCTCAGAAACGGTACGAGTACTGTAAATATTCTGCCATCGTAAAGATCACCTGTAGGCTGTCGCTCTTCCTTACATAATTATAGAGTAATTGGGCAGAGTTTTTGACAGTTTGCTAACACAAAATGGAGCACCGGTACTTCGTTTCCAAATCCCTGTACACTTATGCTACTGCCAATGAAAAACAAAAGTTTTCCGTCAGAAAAAATTCCCAGATGTTTGCGTTACAGTCCTGTGACATACTCTTAAAGCAACTGAGTACTGTCGCTTTCCTTTTCAAGCGCTCGTCTTTTCTTCCAGATGGAAGACCTTTCTCGACGTGAGGCAGAAACGTCTGTGCAAGATGAAACTTTTGGTGCAACGTGCATTTATCGCTATGGCAATTCTGACTACATAGGGGGAGGCCAGTTTGGCAGTGTTTACCGAGCAGCGATTGTAAGCCGTGGAAATTTTAATGGAAGCCCTCTCGTGGCGGTCAAGGTTGTTAAGTTAAAAAAGGAAGAGTTGGAAATGTATTCAAGGCTCCGTGACAGGTTTAGCAAGCTGATTGGACTTAAACACGATCATTTAGTGACGTACCATAAAGTGGCCATCACGAAAGCACTAGGCGGTGCAACCGTGGAATTAATGATGGATTACTATCGTGGTGAGTGTGCTGATAAATGCGTGTCGTGCACACAGTTCAGATATTTGGGATGCATTCATAATTAGCACGTTACAGTACAAATTGCAAAAAAATTTATTACGCTACAGGACTGCAATAAAGTACTCGTAGAATAATATACGGCGATGCTTTAAATTATGGCTCTGTATTAATATACAGAACCGGGCAGCTGATTTTGTTTTCCTCTTTGATAATTATCGGTTTTGTTGACAAAAAAAATAATCCAGTTACGAGGCTTCGACACGCTACTTGCGAACAAGTTTGCAGAAAGCAGATTTGTGATGTATTAATTTGTTGGTCATTAAGTTGTGTAAGAAAGTACGCAGCGTTTCAGTTATGAGTTTAAGAAAACGAAACAAAATCAGAAACTGAAATGCATAGGTGTCTGCTGACTCTAATGATTTTTCAGATGGTGACTTATCCGCTTATATAAAAATCATCAAAGAAGGCAAGGTCTTCCTTAGCGAATCAATAGTCATTCGATATTTATTGCAAATAGCAGAAGGAGCGCTTTTTCTGCACCAGCAAGGTCTTATTCATTGGGATCTGAAACCTGCGAATGTGCTAGTGAAGCGCTCGGATACCGAAACAAAGATTTTAGCGATTTGTGATTTGGATGACTTCGTACAGATGAAACGCAGTGATATTAGCTGCTCCAACGATATCACTCACATACGGGGAACAATTCGTTTTATGTCGCCAGAAATGATAAAGAAATACGTTGCAATTTGCCCAACGAAATCTCCCGGACGAAGTGCCGATATCTGGAGTTTGGGATGCGTTACTCTGGGACTTGCGAGTTTAACGCAAACTCATACATTCAACAAAAAATGGATCGTTTGTCCAGCAAGCGGAGACAAAATCGAAGCTGGAGACGACATTTCCGACAATCGGTTTATGGAGAAAATAGTTGCCGGCTACGTGCCGTTTGTTTCGGAAGACATCCCGGAACATTTGGCCATGTGCCTTCGGCAGTGTTTGTCCGCGTCAAGCGAAGACAGAATAACTGCAACCGATCTCATAAAACAGCTGAAAGTGTCAACATCCACCTCTTAAAACGCTTATTGCAGTAGTGGTTTATATCTGCAGACTGTACTTGGCTAAGGTTGTAGCATATGCGTGTGAAAGCTTGTGAAAGGGTGCATTGAAAATAGAGGAGTTGGCTTGCAAGTTGCTCTTTCCCCACAAAGGTAAATATCTGTAATTCAACCAAAAAATCGTTGATCCATGCCTTTTTAAGTAGTGTCAACTGAAATGCTCTAGCAGCACCTAAGGGTATTATACGAGGCTCAGGTGAATACACAGATAGCGTCACGCAGACTAATCGTTTTCCATACAGCAACCGAAGCTGGGACAAACTTGGATGTCCCAAGTATATACTCTGTAGGACTATCAGCAAACCTGAAGCTTCTTGACCTTCTGGAATCGGTTAACCCTCGCAGCATCCAGGACAAGTCCAAGCGTGGACAATGCAAGCAAGGTAATGCCATTCGGTGTGCCATTGTGCCATACAGACTGTATAAAGACAGTCATAAGACGTATCCGATGTTTTGAAAATAAAATCGTAGAAAAACAATTGCAAAAAGTTTCCCGTGCTTTCTAGTTTTTGGTGACCAGTGGTTAGTTCACTGACCACTTCAGTACTCTTGTTTTGAAGTACTATTTATGTACTATACGGTGAACGTTTTTGTTTTTGCCAGTTGTTGTTCGCGTGATTGTTATAGAATTACATAATCGTTTTTGTGATTTGGACCGTCTATGCCCACGAGTGTTGTCACACACCCCTATCGTAGCGGGTGACCCAAGGTCAGCACGAGCACATAAAAATTTCTTTTCTTAATTGAATTTTTTCATCGGGAAATCCAGGTTTTCAAGAAGAAACTCGTATTCCTTCGGGGAATGAGCGCTGGAGAGTTAACGCGGTTCTTAACCTGAGTGTCCTGGGGAAAAAAACGAAACGTAGTGGCCCAGTGCGTCATGATTACCGGCGAATGACAGTTATTCTTCCAGTTTGCGCTTCTTCAGCGTACCGGTGGTTATGCGATTCCCGTTTTGCTTTGTGCTATGATTTCATAACTTTCTCACGGTCTTCCATCTGGCCCATACGCCTTTAATGTAATATTCTAAGATCAAATCCACTCGTATTGTTTCATTGCACTCTTCCACCAGCACAACGGTGACCGGTGCATATACAGTCTGGCCTGACTTAGATCGTACTCACAAAAACCTATCGTACCGTACAAAAACTACGTACTCACAAAAACCGTACTCACAAAAACCTATCTTAGGCCTATCGTACTCACAAAAACTCCTGTTTCACTTTTTCCGATGGCCGCGCACGTTCTACACGGTTTCGTGAGTTTCTTATTTTACATGTACACTGGTAATACTGCAGTTACAGTGCTGCAAAAATTATGAGCAAGTTTATACACGGGTGGATCGTAAAACCATATCGTCGATAACTACAATGCTGGTATGTACAGTATTTTGTTTACACACTTTAACAATTTTTCCAGATGTCAAAAAAACGAAAACATTCCTTTTCAATGAGACACATTTTCATGGTATGCGGTAATGTGCCGCCACCTTTTGTTCTCAGACAAGAAAGCCAATCATGCTGCTGGCCGCTTAATTTGATTTGACAATATTTGACAGAGGCGTCAATAATATTATTAGCTTGTCGGCGCGCCGACAAAAGAGCTCGAATTCTTCGCATGTCATTGTAGCACACAGAAAAATTAGCTTTAATTTCCTCGCATCAATTATATGCCAACCGCAATGCAGTACAGCGCACCTCGCTGTTTTTGTGCAGTATCACGGGATTATGCGGCAAAAGTCTTTGTATGAAGGTTAATTGACAGCCGCGGGTTCGCGTCGCTGCAGCGGCACAGTCATAATTCATACGTATACGGCACACACAACAACGTGCATACAACTGTACAATGTAAAATGTTTCAAGAACATCGACTGTCGGCTTTAACACGCATTGGACATGTTCACCACTTCCATGCATTAAAAGTTAATCCGACAGTTCTTTGAAGTTGTAAACGTTCAAGTGATAAGTAGTTTGTTTATATGTCTGCTGCATGTTTTCGGGACGATTCCAGATAATGGTTTCCGGAAATGTTTCGCGATTACAGCTGTTTATTATTAACTCGTCGGAATGTGACACCGTTAAATTGCTGCACAGATATTTTGTATATTGTAAAATGTAATTATTGCTTTTTTCTCTTTCTGACGCTCCAAGTAGAAGTCCTTCTACTATACTTGTATTTTAAGTGTCTATTAAGAATTTTGAGTGCTTATCTTAAGTGTTTTTAAGTGTGTAATAATTGAAGCAACGTCAACCAAGGCGCTCGCCTGAATTATCATAGGCAAACTGGAATTTTAATTTATTCTTATCGTGCAACCGATCTGATGCACCTTCTGATGCACGATGTATCACTAGAAAAAAATTGGCTTTTACTGAAATATTTCATCTAATGTAAATATCGCTCATGTTGGTAATTACCGTTCACCCGCTGGCAGTACCGGGAACAGAGTGGCACTTATACAAAACTCGCTAAAAAATTGGAAAAAACACGGCTTTGTGTTCGGTGAACGCATTCAAGTTAATTCAGCGTATGGCCAATATGGCAGCACAGTCTCTATGTTACGTGCACGTACATATATTGCATAAAAATAGGATTTATGTTTCTCGCCAACAACTGGGTAATTGTGCTGCTTCCTGAGTAGCAACACGAAAGAAGGTGAAACCGGTGACTGTTGCAATAAACAGCTTCCTTATTTCGCTTCCTAATTCCTGCCTCGTTTAATTTCTTACTTTCTTTATCGGTCTAGTGTGCATACTGCATAGTTTTCTCTGCTTCAAATATTACGTACGAGTACACAGCATTCAAAGCCAAAACACATAATAAATCACTTAAATATTTTCCAGGTTTTTTAGCAGAATTTACGAATACCAGCAACTCTGACGTCTGTAAGGTCACTGATAGGAAAGGTAGTTAACCCGATCCCAAGGCATGATTTCGTACGCTCGCCTAGCGAGCACAAACGGATACAGATTTCGAGCACCCAGCGGATCGCTTGGCGAATGCGCAAAACTGTTTGATTCAAAATGGCTATAATTTTATTCTGCCATTATGCACGACAACTTCTTTGGTATCAAAAATCTTCCCAGAATTTTCCCCATCTTTTGACGCATTGGTTCGCAGACTTCATCCAGAACTAGATCCTGTTTTAACTGGATCTGGTTCTGGATGAAATCTTTTGTTATAACAGGATCAGATTCATGAGATCTGTCAAGCAAAGCGTCAAAAGATGAAGAAACATTTGGGAAGATATTTGATACCTAAGAAGTTGTCGCGCATGATGGCAGAATAATGTTATAGCCATTTTGAATCAAACAGTTTTGCGTATTCGCCAAGCGATCCTCTGTATCCGTTTGTGCTCGCTAGGCGAGCATACGAAATCATGCCTTGGGATAAGGTACATCGTCGTCACACTCATTGCTAATCGTTCCTGAAACATGTATTGATTAAATAAATGCCTGTCAGTGCCGCGCACAAATGACCCAAAGGGAACGCCAGCTGAAACTGCGCAAATCCATAACAACAAACTGCATAGTATAACAACAGTCGCGAGACCAGTGAAATTCCATCGATGTTATTGTTAATTCTCAAAACGAACGCAGACAACCATAATTTGCGTTAACATTATAAAATGAGCGTAGAATCGCAGGATTTGGTCTAATACAACATACTCAGGACGCGATGTATTAAGGTAACATAAAGGTCACCAGGTGCAAATCATTCTTTCGATGTCTTGTTCCGCTATTTGCACTCGCGCAATCCTTGGTAATTTATCCACGTTTTCCTCCCAACATACGCTTAAAACGCTCCTGGAAGGACTCTTCTTGCTGCTGACCAACGGCTTCCTCGGCGGCCATCACCATCGCCACCATCATCCACATCGCCAGGATACTCATAAGCAACTCAATCCACTGCATTTTGGCTGAACTGAGCGGTAAACAGTTAGGTCGGCTAAATAAAAGAAACAGTTTCCTTTCAAGAAAAACAGAACTGATGAGCTTGTGATTAATGAAAGACACGCGACACACTCGGCGCTTAAATAAGCTTGTACGCGATACACCTGGGCGCAGCGACGAAATTTGTTGTATCATGCCAAATCACCGTGGTCAACTTACAAGGAATTTCGATAGAAGAACGGCGATCGTGCGAGCCAGCGTTCTGTGTAGTCGGCGCTGGGCGTGCTGCGGTGGAATGATTGGCGGCACGTGATGTTGATGTCAAGTACGCGACCGGTACGGATTTTTGATTTAGAACTTTGTTTATCAGCGTTAAGTAACTCCTCGCGCGGGCTAATAGGCAGACCGTTAAGTGCTTTGTGCAATTTGTCATGGATTAATTGTGGTGTAATTGCCGGCAGTGGCACAGGTAATGATCGTCGTTTGCCATACGGTTGAATGATCGATTACGACGACCTAACTGTAAACTGTAAGTGTAGTGTTTTCTGCAATGCTGACAAGGGGGGATGGATGATTGTACAATTATTAATTAGCCTTTCCGACAATGGAACACAATGTAGGCTTTTTTTGAGGTACTTACACATATTGTGCACGTGAGGATGCATTAAGCCAAATGGAGCAGTTCATAAAAACGTTAGCCATCCTGCTAAATATTTAAGATTACAGATACCGACAGCTTGACGAGATGCCGGTAACTGATAACCTTGACTGTTAGAAAGCTGACTCCGGATTACGCTTTGATTTCGCTTAGTCATCTATTTAGCTCATATTTAATAAACTGCGCCATACGAAATGCTATTATTCAGTTAGCTGCTTAAATTTGGAGCAGTTTTTGCTGTTTTTCCAAATACTGTGTTTTCACAGAGTCCGAAATTTGATTAAAATTGATATTTTATTTCGGAAGAAATCTCTGTTCGCGTTATGCATAAGTGGTTAATATAAACGTGTGTTGATTAGCTTTCAAAAAAGTGGAATTTCTAAATTTTCTTGCTGGAGAATTATTTTTCTCTTGTAAAATATTATTACAAGTGAATACGAGAATATAAAGAGAGTGTATGTCCTGATCAACCGTTCGTTGATAATGTATTGATCAATAAATACTTTAGATCAGATTTCAGTTATGTATGATTATCACATGTATGCTGCACTGGCGAATTATTCCTATGACAAATCACAGGACTTTAATCGGTATTCCTAATCAATATGACATCTAGCGCGCACATACATACATAAGTACTAGTACATATATTAATACGTTCTACTGTAACGAAAAACTTCTCTACTCTAGTGTTGCAAATCAAATCACAAGGCGTTTACCGGGTGTTTGTCATCAAATAAAATAAATATGCTGCCTAATGATGTTAGTCGTACTCTAAATTATTGTCTAACTTAAAAATTAATCCTAGAAAACAAGCATGGAAGTATGAGAACTGGAAAAACAGGATCATTAAATTGGGCAGTATGAGTATATAAAACTGGTGCGATAGTTCATAGCGGCCTAGCTATACAATCTGTACATATCGTTTTGGGTTAATCACAGCCATAATATCCCGCCCATGACCACCAGAAACGCCGTCACGGGCAACGCGGTCGTACATGCAAAAATCTCGACCATACGATCGCAGACCTCCACCGGGTGGCGCTTGCAGAGCTTCTTCGAGGGTTTGCAGTTTGCCTGCCAGATCACCTGCCGAGATTCTCTTATCGCTATCGAGCTGCAGGCAGCAGCGGGCCACGTCAGCAAGGACTGTATCACAAATATACGGAATATAACCGCTTTCCAGAAAACCCTTCCATGCCATGTAACCGAGCTGGCCGGCTCCAGCCGGCACAAAGTGATTCCTGTAGTGCAGTACGGGTTCTGCTCCGGTCATAGCGTTGCCGAAATCGACGAGGATGCAGCCTAAACTCCATATGTCTGAACTCCTCCCAATCAGTATGCTGGCTACAGCGGGATCGTTTTGCTCCATTCCTTTCGCAGCGAATTTCTTCAGGACTTCCGGTGCCATGTACCCGTCCGTACCGTAGCGCTGCGTAATATCCCTGGAGCATGTTTTGTTCGTTTCCATGCGAATGGACCCATCTAAGTCGCAGATGACCAATCGTATCTCTCCGTCGGGAAGGATATGTAAAATTACATTCTGGGGCTTAAGGTCCCCGTTGATGATGTGCTGGGCGTGCAGGTGCTGCAAACCGCGGGCGATGTCCAGGGCAAAGTGGATGGCTTGCGCTTGGTCAAGTAGCTCTTTCCGTCCATGTAATCTCTCCAAGTACATGGCCAGATCCCCGTCTGCAAAGACAACAATGACGTAATATTACATACCGAACACGGGATTGTTAATAAATGGAGGCGACCCGGTACAAGTCCGGGAATTTATTTTTTGCGTACAGCCGGTAAAGGTACAACGAGAAATACAGATTCATGGCCTTTAGGTTACACAAAGTTTCATAACACTGCCCTCACTCTTTACCTGTAACATGCATTTTTTATTAACCTTTGGTAAAACGTAAATAAAGAACAACACGATTTTTATAACATGAAAACTTCATTAAACTTTTCTGCTCCTCCCATTGTTCCCAAAACTGATGCTAGGTTTCCCCGTTGTATCTCCAGTGATAATCTCTGACGTAAAAATTCATGGGAACGGGTTTCGCCAGTATGGTGTTTCAGACGTTTGCCTGCATTTGGCATGACAGTAACGACTGTCATGCGCGTTAAATACTGTACAGAAGCGGTAGTACTGCATTTGCACAAGCTGGATTTTCAAATTAATGGGTTGCATAAAGGAACAGGTAGTGCGCAATGAGCGCAATATTGGCGCTTAAAGTGATAGCCACTGCACTATATTTGGTCGAAACTACAAATTTAATAACTTCAGTCCTACAAAACAACTAGAAAATTGTAATTCAATAAATTTAAAACAAAAGAATAATTAAACGAATATAACTGTATCAATATTTGGCGTGCACTAAGTAATGCCAAAAGTTTGAAACGCCAATATATAGCGCGACGCGCCGTGGTATCGCATTTAGCGTAACCCAGAAATATGCATTTTTCGCTGTTTCTTTGCTCTACCCATTTGAAAGTTGAAACCCGGTAAAAATTGTACGGAGTAAAAATTCAATGTACGGTACCCGTCAATAGTGATTACTCACTTGATAGTAGTTAGTAAAATTTTTTGGATTTTTGATTGATTCGGTGATGACTGATCTCAAAAATTTACGCACAAAATTTAACTTTTACTTAAAATTTTCTTACAGTTTTATTAAAAAACGTACATATGTAAACTTTTGAGATCAAGTATCAAAAAAATGAAAAATGCATTACGCACTTGTTGATTATCACTGATGGTGGATGTCTGAAAACTACGTACATCACTGCGTACATCGGTACGTACATGTACAGATACGTACATCAGTGCGCAGGTATAATATAATGTAAACGCTTTAGAAATTTTTGTTCAGCCATGACGTGGAAATCCATACGGATGACTAGAGCATTACAGGGTAAGTATTGTATTTGTGGCAACTAATTTCTCTCTATATGTTTAATCTGCAAGAAATTACAGTAATCACCTGGCTTTCACATGACACAAAACCGTGTACTTGTTAGAACAATTTTGCATTTCCACTCTCATAAACACGTTTTTGCAAAGTTTATGACACTGTCTAATCAAATAATCGATTTTTATGCGTGAAAACCATTTGCAGGAATAGATTCAATTTTTTATACATACGATGATTGTTAAGATGAATAAATTTCCTCAACAAAGTTTTTGATTTTAAAATATTTAATAGGTTTACACTATTTCAATATTTGACGTACATCAGCAATGCCGAATGCACGTACGTAACGCGTAAAGAGTGTGGCGTGGCGCGCTGTGATATGGAGCTTAGCGTAACCCTGAATCTGTGTTCCTCGCTGTACCTTTGCTCAACAAATAAATCACAGAGTACACTTCCCCTTAAAGGGTTTCACGCAGTATAACTGCAAAGTTAGTTAGCAAAATGTTTCCGCGATAATCCTGCAGAGGTTACTGAGGTTAACCAGACTTTAATTAAGCTAGATAAACCAATCAAATTCTCCACAGAATTACATGCAAACAATGTACGTACCCGGGTAATAATCCATGGCGATCTTGATTGACACTCCTCCCAGATCGGCTTTGGCGATCCTCACTTGACGGTACGATATCAGGTTATCGTGCTTGATGGTTGGCAGCAGCGAATACTTCCGGCACAACTCGTCAAAATGCTCTGGCTGGGCGAAATATTCCCGAGGATTGAAGAAAAACTCTTTAACAGCCACGAAGGCCTGCAGAGGACTGCCGGCATCGTCCAGTACTGCGGCTTTGTAAATGGAGCCGTTGCCGCCTGCACCAATCCAGTCACTTGTTACGTACGTGAAGTTGAACAGAGATCCGAATATCACTGGGTTGGCATCCTTCTCATCTGCTTGCATCGGCGGACGTATCACGCGGAGCAAATAACCACTAACCTACATTTCAAATGAAATTTTTAACATTCTGGATATTATAATCGTTTGAAAATCACGCCGGCCTTAACGCGTTTAAATGATTTGAAAGGGGAATGATATTTCTATTAAATTTAAACTTTAATTGATCTAATCCAGTTTACTCTGTTCTAATCTAATCAGTCTTTTAATTGTAATCAAAATTTAATGTGAAGGAAAAGCAATTAATTATCAATAGTTTTAAACGAACGAGACATTAATGACGTTAACTGCTACGCAAAAAATCTCTGAAAGAAATGACTACGTCTTTCTTAAGCGATAAATTTATTTTAATTCAGGTAACTGCAAAAACCGCTTAAATGTGCTTGAATATCATTCGTAAGCTGACCGAGATCACGAGCTCCAGGAAAAAGGCAAGAATTGTTGCAACCACATAAATAACAAGTTTAATCGGCTCCATCACTGCGGACCGCGTAGACAGTGGATTCGACACCTGAAGAAGCTGAGGCCCCGGCACCTCGGCTCGGCACTTGCCGGAAAACGTTTATATGAAAAGGCTGCTTATAATAATGCAACTGCCAACAGATACGGTTACAACATCGCTTAGCATGGAAACTTCTGAATTCAAAAGCTTCCACGCTAATTCAGTAGACTGCAATACAAAAAGGAGAAAGAATGCAAAAACACAACTGGACTGATACCGCAAACAAGAGAAACGAAAACATAATTGCAGCAATTAAAATTATTCCAAGCGCGGCATAACGTGCGCTGCACTTTAGTTTGGTCTACGTGGCAGTCTGCATTTTGTTTTAATTTGATTTTATCACGATTTGCTGCCGCGGTGTTTGGCGATCAAGCAGGAAGATTAGCGCACTGCTTTAAGGACCGACGATCACCGACACTGCCACTTGATTTTGCTTTATCCCCTAACAGTGCCGGCATAATGTAATAATACTTTCTTTAGTTTCAGTAAACCATCTAACCGAAGGTTAGACGCGCTATACCGCTCCAAAGAAGAGAAGTCCATCGGCGCTCAAGTTATCATCAAACTAGATCTAGGCGCTCAAATTATCATCAAACTAGATCAGCCGATGAAATGATTCATATTAAACATACTACTAATAGTGCCACCATGTGCTACATCAAACCAACGGAATGTACACGTAAACTAGAACGTGGCGCAAGGCGGCATATGGCATCCGTTGATACCACCAGCTCGCGATTTTGTGTATATCATAATAGGTTTTTCGTAAAACGAGGGAAAATGGATAAATGTAGGAAAACTTTGATTGTCGGCTCGAATGCACAAGGCGGCAAAAGCGCTTTAACAGACCTTGCTTCTCAGTTTGGTTTTTAGAATACGCTACGGGATACTGCAGAACAACAGGAGACAGCTGCCAGTTTCAATATGGCAGCGCAGATTTTCTTGAAAAAGGCACGTTTGGCACGAGTTTCAAGGCAAAAATCACCGACCGGGGAAATTATACTGGAGACTCGACGGTAGCAGTTAAAGTATCCCATTTAGCTAAAGATCCCGAGAACGGATCTAAGCAGAAAAGGTGGGAGCAGCTGGGAAAACGCCTGGCTGAAATGGTGGAACTTAACCATGAGCACGTGGCTAAATATCACCAAATAAAAACCACGCGGACGTTGGGAGGAGTATGCATCGAACTGATGACGGATTATTACGAAGGTTTGTTCGTAAACTGCAATACAGTCGAGACTTTTATCAACATCTTTCTATGTTGCAGGTGGTAATTTAGCATCCCTACTGAGGCGACAGTGGAAAGAGAATCTGGTGTGTGACATGTCCACTGTGGCGCGTTGTGGAGGCGAAATCGCCGACGGACTCACTTACCTCCATGCACAGCAAATTGTCCATGGGAATTTAAAGCCGGAAAGTGTTTTTATTAAGCAGACAGAGAAATATCACAACAGACTCGGCAGTATGATCATTGGTGACCTGGACGATTCATCACTATGGATTTTCCGCTGCTCGAGGTCTTTGGACATTACACAGCAAGACATTGGGATGCGCTACATGTCACCGGAGATGCTAGTAAATGTATCCCGTTTTCCGAAACCCTGTCTCGAATTACAAACCGGTAGAAGGACCGATATCTGGAGTCTGGGCTGCATATTACTGGATCTAGCATGCGGCATTCCCCGAAGACAGATACAGAACGTTGCTGATATCATTAATGCTGAAGATATTTCCGTGTACTGTTATTTGACATTAATACTTAATGGGTATCTGCCACACGTGCCGCAATCAATCCCAGAAACTCTGGCTTCCTGCATTCGGAAAACGTTATGCTTCAAAAGTACGGAAAGAATATCCGCCGCTGAACTGCGCGACCAACTGCAGTCCGTGAGTAGTCATCTGTCCGATAAAATCCCAGAGTTATAACCTTAATAATACCGGTTTCACGTTACTATCTTTCCAGCGCGTTTTTTCTTCCTTAGGCTGCGTTGATACCGGGTTGTGAATTAGCTTCACAGAATCCGCTGCAATCGCCAAGATCTTCACCGAAAGACTGTCTGTTGCTGGTAGGTCCAGCTGGACAGTAAATCCAACTTTGGTGCAGCCGGTTTATTGTCACACGAAGACCTCCTCGCAATGTCACAGTGATGACCTCTTACCAAGCGTGGCAACCAATAGCAGTTATTATTTACTGCATTATTTCGATGACGTTCATCGTCTCGTAGCAGAAAGGCAATACCAAGCACACATTAGTAACTAATTGCACATGCATCATAACTGAATTGAAATTAATACTGTACATGTTTTACATGTACAGCGATGTGCTGTATAATTTTGTTTTTTTAATGCCTTAATTTCAAGTTTCAGATTTCAGATTTCAGTAAGATTTTAAATTCTAAATTCAGATTTCAAAGTAGCTGGCGTCAAAATATACTGTCGATTATTATTATTTGTATCATTATTATTATTGCCTGAATTGTGGTGCTGAAACGGTCCTTCGTAAACTGTCTTTTATAACTGTTAGCTGAACTGTCTTTATAAAGTATATTGCGTTACCGACGAAGCGCGATATGCGGTAAAGGAATGCCAGACCGTCAGGTCGCAGGTGTATTGCGACGGCCAGTCCTGGTGGCTGCTCTTACCGACGGTTTGACAAACCGTAGCGTCTGCTAGTTTCATCTTGTGCAATTGGGTGGGCGGTGGCATATGTGGGTACCTAAGAAGCCTACCAAAGTTTTTCTCGTATCCCTTCGCCTGTTTTCTGTCTCTATTCTATTTATTGCAGTAGTTGCCTATCGTGGGTCTCTGTGTCTATAGTTTTTCATATTAAATCGTTAGTGTTTTCTTCTTTGAGAGAGCGACGCTACGTTGTGCGACGATGCTAAATGATAAACCCAATTAAATTAAAACACTAAAAAACACTAAAAATTAATACGTATTTTAAAATATGCGGTGTAGCACAATATCTGGGTGATTAGAGGTTCGCAGTTAAAAATCCGCCGACAGTGTGGAAAGTGCATACCGATACTTGCTGAGTAAAATTCCATGACAGTTCTTAATATGGGCACGATTCGGTGTTTATTATTTTGACATTTAACATCATCTAGGTTAACAGTCGTGTTAATTCACGGAATAACTGCTTGCGGGGAATCTGCAAGATATCTGAACGAAGATTGCAGTTTTCGAAACCAAAAATACCGATTTAGGTGTTTTTGTCACCGACATACAGCAGCCTTACGAAAATGGCGTGCGTAGTTAAAAATTGGATTTTCTTTAATATTCCTGCACCTAATAATTATATTTCCAGTTATAAAAGTAGACTAAGTGAAGCATAATTAAGAATATACGCAAAATAACTCCCAAACAAGAACCCCTTACAAAACACGAGTCGGTCAAAATGGCTCGACGTTTGCATTTGAAACAAACAAGGTTTGCATTGCAAAAACAATATCTGTCGGACTGCCACCACAAGCTAAGACATTTTGCCGCAACCAAAGGCAAAAGATAAAAGGAAACGACCAAATCGTTACTGCGCTATCCCTAACTTCTTCACATAAAGATACTGAATCCGTGCTGACTGCATTTTAATCATAAAACTAAACGGCAGCTCCATTAGCAAGAACACCGCCAGGACATACCAGTGAGTCTCTAAAAGAAGGTTTCGAATCTGTCGTGGAGACTAGCACAGCCGGTTCATACCCGACGATGTCAAATGTCTCCGTTAAATTATGATGCGCATCCCTCCACCGATTGGCTAGCACAAAGCCGTCGCGTTGCCGTTCAAACGCTTCCCGCGTCGGGCCATCCGAGAGGACAAACTGCTTGGAGAACTTAATTCGCGTCTGCTTGAAGATCCCGATGGTATCCAGTTGGCGAGGATCCGAGACATCGTCCCAGTAGGAGAACTGGAAATGCAGCTGACCGGTCCAGGTGGTCACTTTGACGGTGTAGGTTTCGGTGCGGGTGCTGCGACTCGTGCCGGTACCGGTGGTTACCGTCCGAGTGCGTGTCTCGTAGTGGTAGCATTCCATGCGCCACAACACGGAAGGTTCGCCTACAGCGAAGGAAAGGATATCTGAGTTAACAGACTTGAATGAACTTAAAAGCAGAAAGCTTGTAATACTGTACTGTATTGTCGAGTCAACTTGCCACCTTTTTTTACAGTGAGTCGTATCCGATTAGCATACAATTACACGGGCATTACAAATTCTACTATGTAAATGTAAATTTGGGCTATTCTGGGTTTTTGTCGAAACGTTGGAACCGCCGGACCATTCGAACGGCAACATATAATACAATCGAGGTCATATACATATAGACTGTTTCGATTTTTGAATAAAAATAAAGCAGCGATGTATAGCGGAAATTGGACTAGAACTATCCTAAACTATACTGTTAAAGCATTTTTGAACACCACTTGCTTATACATAACGCAATAATATGTTATAGAATTTATTGCAGCGTTTGTGCGGCGAATATGACAAAATTTACGCGTACCTGCTCGAACGCTGTCCACGTGACCGTTAATGTCGGTCACCATAACCGAATTTGTGAGAAACTTCATGTTTGAATTGTAACAGAACGTTTCGATTAAATACAGTAGGTAAAACACTCCGAATAAAATCCCCCCGGTGACGCCCGCCCATGGAATGTCGTATTCGTAAAAGTGCAGCATCAGAAAAACTATACCGGCAATGTTACCCAGAAAGACCAAGATTCTCCAGTACGTAATACATTTCCCGAACATCTCGTCACACGCAGCACTCGGATCTTGCCATTCCCGGGCATCCTCGGGATGACTGGCAAAGGGACGCTCTTGGCGCACGACATCTTCATACAGTGGCGGCAGTGGCAGATCTACCGCGCCTGGAACACCACCGGGCGGAGATCCATCTTGATACTGAGAAATACGGGGTTTGGTCTCGGTGACTTCCTGGTATGACGGAGGCTGGTCATAGTGAGCGGTACGATGTGGATTAGACGTGTCCGAATCAGCATCTTCGTCGTCATCATAAAAATGTCGAGGATCAATGTCAATGTGGACGGAATCAGTAGCTGCGCGAGAAGCAGACATCAATGTTTTTGGAATAAAACTATCCAACGAGTGACCGACTGGGCTTTTATTACCACCGTTGTCGTAAAGGTGCACTCAGCCACTCACCTCTTGTACATACATAAGCCTAAATAAGCAGCACGCTTATGACGTCAACGACTTTAGGTTCTCAGGATTATTGAATGCGTGACGAATCTGTTCGTAGTCAATGACATACGAAGTACGATGATTTCATATACGCACACGCTCATATGAGATCATCGATGAGTAAGAAACAGTGAACAGACTATTACTCTAGAGTGACTCCGGTATGTTGGTATTACGAGAAAATTGACGCGCGATCCGCTTTTTTTGCTGGGAATATGGGATACTTGTACCTACATGTAGATTGAATTAAAGTGATTACAGCCGTATATTTAACGGCAGTGCAGACAGTGTACAAGTGTGCTGCATTCAAAAAATTCAAGTCTGAATAATTTTTTGCTAACAGCAGCACGAACAGTTAGTGGCAGACAGCCGACTCCGAATGATTGGAAATCGATACTTTATAATTTTAACAGACATCGACGTGCAGTGTCTACCGTACTTTTTGCTGTCTGCAGCAATTTCAGCGCCGGTAGTGTGTCCTGACTGTTCTCACAATCAGTAGTGTGTGCTGACGGCATAAAGCTGTTTGAGTCAAGAATATCTGACTAAATGAACGTCATTACGTTTTATATACACTGCGTGGACAATCTCTCGATTGTGTAGCGGCAGGTACGGGATAAGAAAGAGGAATACTGGGATTTAAAATAATTTCGGATTTGTGTATATAAAAGGAATAATAATAGTAGGGGAAACAATTTTGTGAGTGTATGAAGGATATGAGAGGTTGTGGGTGTTTCTTTACTACAGTTGAGACCTTGAAAATTGCGCGTTTAGTCTGTAACTTTCCATAGGTTTACACAGTCATTTTGGTGGTAGTAATTTGTGTAGTAGTAATTTGTGTAGTTAAGAAAGTTGATTGCTTAATGGAGCGAACTATTATGTTTTGCACTGATAGTCTTGGATGTGTAGTAACAGGTGGTTTGTATATGGGATGTAGGCTGGGACGTACATTAAAAGGTTGTTCGAGAGAATGTTTGGTTTAATTGGTTTGTTGACTGGATTTTTTGAGTTCGGTGGGTATATTAAAAGTTGAGGAACGTTGTGTTTGAGTTATTATGGATTTGACGAAGTATATGCAGTGAGGAGAATGTTTTTCTTGTTGGTTATTTTCTGGTGGCCGGTTTAGATTTTCGGAAGCGTACTGATTCAGGTTGTTGTGTTTTGTTTGGCTTTGGTCTTTTTAGGTTGAGTATAGTTTAGTAAGTTTGCTTTCATAGATAGTTTCTTTCAAGTATTGTTTTTTTTTAATAAAATAAGGGAAACTGGTTGTGATCGCAAGAAATACATGCGTGAGTATGTGCGTGATTATAGAAAAAAACCGCAAAACGGAAACTGATGGTAATTGTAGCAAGGAAGATAATGAAGTAGTGATGATGTTAGACATGAAAATGTGAAGTTAAAAAACAAAAATGTAAACTTAACAGGGTCAGCAAAACACAACAATTCAGGACAAAATCGTAAAGTAATGCTTAAGAAAAGATCCGGACAACCGTTACACATTACCATACTCCGCAAATGTCGTTTAGCACGTTCCCTTTACAAAAATTGTCCAATAATTGTCCAAAAATTCTCCAACAATTTTTTCCAAACATACCAGAAAACGCACCACCTTTAGTATTCCGATTACATTTTTGTTTTTTAACTTTTACATTCTCATATCTAACATCATCACTACTTCGCACATTATCCTCCCTGCTACAATTACCATCAGTTTCGATTTTGCATTTCTTTCTATAATCACGCACATACTCACGCATGTATTTCTTACGATCACAACCACCTTCCATTATTTTATAAAAAAAAGAATTCTTAAACGAAAATACTGTATGAAAGAAAACTTACTAAACTATACTCAACCTAAAAAGACTTACCAAAGCCAAACAAAAGACAGCAACCTGAATCAGTAAGTATCCACAAATCCACACCGGCCACCAAAAATAGCCAACAAGAAAAACATTTTGCTCACTCCATATACTTCGTCCACTCCATAATAACTCAAACACAAGATTCCTCAACTTCTTATATACCTACCGAACTCAAAACATCCAGTCAACAAACAAATTAAACTATACATTTTCTCGAACAACCTTTTAATTTTCCTACCAACCTACTTCCCATATACAAACCACCTGTTCCTACACATCCAAGACTATCAGAGCAAAACATAATAGTCTGCTCCATTAAGCAATCAACTTTCTCGAAATTTCTTGAATTTTCCACAATAATCCATCACTATCTACAACCCGCAACACACTCCACTTCCTGTAACACTTCATTAAACACTCAAATACGAACAACCAGAAAGTCGAATATATTTATACCATACTACAGTAAAAATCCCTTTACCTTCACCCAAATTCAATGTAGACCCTTTCTTCGCTACACTGGATTAGTACACCCTTTCTTCATTATCACTTTTCGTCAAACATATCACCTTTAATATAATTTACTATATTATTAAATTCTCTATTCAGCACTTTGTATTCCTACCCCTTATAACCTCCACATACAATATGCTCCTGCAATGTACTCCTATATTATGTAGGAGCACATTGCAATGTGTAGGAGCACATATATATAGGAGCACATTGCAGGAGCATATTGGATTACGTTTGTTTGGATACTACAATTCCGTTTTTCTCCTCCAAGAACCGATGAAACCGATGCAATGTGCTCCTGCATAATGTACGAGCACATTGCAAGGTGCTCATACATAATGTAGGAGCACATAATGTAACCTAAAAGATGCCGAGCTAACAACGCCATCTACAAGTTTCACGCATCGTTACTCGACTCATGTCACATGACTCATGTCACATGACTGTTAGGCCCCACCGCTTCCTTCAACCGGCTGGACCCTTCCGTACTCTACGGGCGCCAAAAATTACTTTTGTTTACACACGGATATCGAAGACCAAAAACCGAAACTACAGTTTCATATATGCTACGACTGATTCTAGTCGTATACCGCATACTCTGTATAAGAACCTGTCACGGTTCAATGAACCTGCCGCAAAAATTACGGACTGCAGCTAGCATGGTAAACCGCCACTCTTAAACGTAGCAAGTACAAATAAAAGCTTTCCGGTTAAAAAAATAACCGCAACTCTCAAGAAGCAGAAAACAGCTGCGCTTCCGGCTTAAACAATACGAAGAGAAAAATCTTTGTAATAATGTGGAACGATATGTACTGCTATACTTCTAGTGGCCAAACACAACTAATGCCGATAATATATTATTTCATTAGGAATGACCTGAGGTCCTTGGTTTCGTAGGCATTGAGAAATGGGTCATCATTTTAAGGAAAACGGTATTTTTTTAAACGAGCAGGACTGAAAAATCACCTTCCCCGAGTCTCAAATTTTTACTGAGATTTATTTCGGAAGTTTTCATTAAAACCAGGACGGAAGATTAACGATAGCTCCACCACAAGAAAGCACTAGTAACATATTAGCCACGTGTTGATTAATTTTGTGATCAAGGCTGTTATTTTACTTGTACTGGTGTTGCTGCGTTTGTTACCACGATAAAACTGATATTGGTGGAGGTCAATTACATTTGGGTAACCGTTGCGCGTCGGGTAACGGGGAAACGCGTAAAAATCGTGACGTAACAGCGCGTAAGCAAGTAAGCATTCTGATTCGTGATCACAAAATCTGGGATGGGTTTTTAGCTTACTTGTCCGCGTAAGCGTTGCGCTTCGACGTCGAAGCGCAACCGTTATCCAAACTACAAGTAACTCGCGCCTCTCCTGCACAGATCGACCAAATTTTTGTTTGTTTGAACTAAAAGTGCATCCAGCGACCCAGATTCACACTCCAAAATTCATAATTAACTTTTTTGACGTAATACCACATTTACCACATTACAGCATTAAAAATGAGTTTTTCGGTTCCGCTGCGGTGTTCAATTTCTTTGGCACGGAAGCGTACTCGACTCACGATTGGACGATTAGGTTTTTGCTGAGTCATGGCTAATTTTTTACGCGTCTCTCCATTACCCGACGCGCAACGGTTACCCAAATGTAATTGACCTCCACCATTAACAGATTACAGATACATGCTGCTTGTTTCGGCAGTTTACCAGTTTTACCAGTGACAGGCTCTACAAATTTTTACGTATTGTCTAAACTTGTTAGGATACTGTGTATGGTCGTTAAAATAATTATTGTTATTATGATGTTACAAATACGGGGTTGTAAATCCATCAACCGTAGCACTTTTTTTGCCGGCATTATGTGCCGGCTGCAAGTTTAACCCATATTGCGCACGGGTTTCTTGAACTATCGGGTTTGAGATGCCGGCTGTACGTTCATCTGGCAATGGAGTATGTATAGCATCCGCAAATGTTGCGGCCCATTATTATCGAGCGAGACCATCAGCCGGCAGCATGTGGACGAGTTTCCCATGCACGCCAAAACCGGAAACATGTGCACGACGCACGCTACGGGACTACGATAAACTACAGTTTGTACATACCGTACTCGCTATCCAACATGTTCAGCGGTTAGTATGTATACCTCTTCATCCGAGTTATGTTTTACGCTGCAGCTCGCCGCTAGCTCGAAAATACTTTGCAGTTTTTCGCTGTTATTTTTCCAATAGAGTCTCATCGCCTTGATTATGCTTGCTGTCCACCGTGCAACTAGGTACCTAATTAGTTTTTTATTATTTTCTTGTATTCTTTCGCTCTTCATTAAAAGTAACCAGACGGCAGTCGCCACATGATATGACGATATGACTGCTATAGGTTTAGACGTTGGTGCATTTTATTTGGTGTAACTTTGATCTGTCTATGTAATCGCTTTATGCAAATACTTAACATTTTGTGTCTCTCACATTCTGCATTATTCAGCGCCACGTTTCTGGGAATTATCGGATGACCCACGTCAAATTGTTAAGGCCCATTCCACCGACACAACAGCGACAGTATAAAAGGCAAGGTACTCGCTTGAACGCAGCAAACATTCCGAGAAGGCAGTATTTATGCCGAATCCCAGCGCGCCGGCGGAAACTTCGATTACTCTCGACCCGTTTATCAACAATCCCGGCGATGACAGTACCCGCATTCATATGGACGTACCGTCATCCTCCGCGGGGGCCTTCCGCGACGATCCGCCCTCCTATAAAGAGGCCACGCACAGCACACCGATGCTTGACGCGTCGGGAGAGGATCTTCCGACAGAGCCCCTTAACCTTCCCCTACCGCCACTGTACGAAGATCTATTTGGACCCGGACAGCCTCCCGCGTTTGTGCCTTCGGAAGGACGGGATTGGGAAGATCCGGAGGTGGCTTGTGATGAGTTTTGTAACGCCGTCAACTGCTGCCGCATGATCGTGCAGTGTGGTATCATCATGGGGATCGTCTTCCTTGTTCTGGCGCGCAACACGATCACCGATGTGACCTGGCCGCTTTGGACCGGATGGATACTGTTGGGAGTGTTCGGTCTGTGGTACATCATTGATACATGCTGCTATAACTCCAATATGAAATTCCTCAGCAATGTCTTGTCCATTGCGGAACTAGAACAACACGTGCAAAGCATCCGATCAGGTACAATTAATTGTCCGCACATGTACAGAGTAGTAGGTTTTCTTTTCTTTAAAAAAATAGTACATCGTGCAAATTTCGTGTACGCCCACTTCAACTTACCCTTTAAAGCACTCTTAAAAAAGGGAAAAATGAGGAATATAAGTAACATTTGGTTGCCGAGATCGCGAAATCGTACCCAATTATATTAAAAATGCAGTAATAAAATACGCATTTTCATGTATCCAAACTCAAATTATATTTAGATCCTCTTGACACTTTGCTATAAAACGCGTTTAACCATGCAGACGATTCTAAACAAGAACCAGCTTCATAGCATCCTTCTGAACTCTGAATTTATTTTGTAATCTTAGCAAAAGCGGAGATTGCATGGCACATGGAATGTTTCCACCACGAAAGGCGCACACGTACGGTAACCACGGGCACCGGGCGCAATCGCCACACCCGAATACAGTCTTACACGGTCAAAGTAACCACATGGAGTGGAGATGCATCCTTCGAATACGCCCACTGCGAAGAGGTCTCTAGTCCTCAGCAACTGGATGCCATCGAAGCCTTTAAGCAGACCCGCATCAAGTTTTCGAAGCAGTTCGTCCTGGCCGACAGCGCGGCGCGAACGGCCTTCGAAGGGCAACGCGATGGATTTGTCGCCATCAATCGCTTGCGGGACAAAGAGTACAGTCTCACTGAGTCCTTTGAGATTGCCGGTTTCGAGCCGGCGCTGATGGCCTCGACAACGGAAGATAAGCCGTTCTTTTTACAGATGCACTGCTATATTTTGGCGGTATTTTTATTGCTGGAACTGCCGTTTAGTTTGATGATCAAGATGCAGTCACGGCGGATGGATTATGCGTATGTTAAAAAGCTTGGAATATAGCACAGTGCTGCCTGCGGTCAGATCAGATGCATGAATTCTGTTGAAAATCGAATCAGGTCTGTTCTTCCGCACCGCTTAGTCCCATTTTGTGCGGGCTTGGTTACTGGGTTTTTTTCCTTTACCCCGCTATGCTCGGGGCGTTATGAAATACTTCGTTGAAGTTGCTTTCATACGATAGAACAATGATATCATGTCCCATGAAACTTTGTCGAATTTTTTTACACATTGCTTAAATTTAACGATAGGTGCAAATTGCCAACCACTGATGATCTTGAGTATACGTACAGTTTTAACAATCGCTCATCCACATTATGCGAAGTGCAACGGAAACACTCACAATCAGTCAAATATTAAAAGGCCGCACCGCTGCATGTGCTAGCGCACGTTCCCGGTGCCACCTTTCAAACCGTGTCATTCTGCTTCCGCCCACATACAAAATCGTTACTTTAATAATATTGTAGCGTGTGGCTACGGTCTGTGTGTGAATGCGTACGCTAAGCAAACCGGCAAACTGTACGTTTTGTAACTTTATTCATCAACTGGCAGAAAGGAAAAAGGAAAAGTGAAGTGTTGAGGAATGACCATCGGTCAGCATGCGATGAGATGGCTGTATGTAAATGCCTAGAGGCAAGTAGGAGGAACAGATACATGTATAACGAATGGGCGAACAGGAGTGACCGTTAGGCATACATACAGTACACGCAAATACAGGTAACGGGCGTTACATTGCCCCATGCAAGTCTGAAGATGTCCTCATCGAAGCCACAAGAGAGATAACATTAATACGCACTGGAAGCGTGTACATTGTACAATGGCTAAAGATGAAAAGAGTAATTAACGATCCGTCCATAAACGGCCAGTGAGGTGGTATTAAGGAATCCACTAACGGGATCCGATAAGGTGCCATAATAGTTGAGCCATTAGGCGGCGAGTACGATATCCATTAGGAACGGCATATATAGCCATCAGCCGGTCCAATGAGGACAATGTCCGGTCGCCTGCGCGGTTTTAATGCGGATATCGCAGAACAACCCGGCGGGGCTGCGGTTGTTTTGGTGGCGGAGTAGGCAGAGGGATGATGACATCGTCCGGCTCGGTTGCATAGGTTACCGCCGGGACGCGTTGGTAAATGCGGAGGTGCGTTCTGAAGTCTGGCAGAGGTACTGAAAACTTGAAACAACATGATGATACACACGCCCGCAGGCAGGCGAAAAACACTGCAAGCAGCCTGTACGGATTCCAAGATACAGGAATCCGGCCAGAAGGCCAAAGACGAGTAATAGTACAGACACTGTCTTTATGCGCTCAATAAATGACATATGTACAGTACTTGTTTCTATCTGATTAGTATTTAGCATTAAATCATTAAAACCGTAGATTTAGAATTTTGCAGTAAGGCAGACAATTCAGCAATCATATTAAGTGGAAGATTCTTTATTAGTAATATCAGACAGAGAGTGAAAAATATGGTCTACCGGTGTAACGAAAAAGGAGCGGAAGTGGATTTTCTTCGAGAATTTGGTAAAGTTCAGAGGTACCCAGGAAATGTTATTATAAATATACGAGTATCCATTAAAGTTGGTAATGCCGTTTGACCAGAAACATGTGGAAAATGGATGCAGAGTGAAACCATCTTTACCAATTGTGAAATTAGAATTATGTATAGATGTAATAGGTTCAGGACCGCACTTAGTGAATACAGCATGAAAAGTGGTATTTAAGGAAGTACAAGTACGGAGAATGGCAGTATTACCATGTACATCAAGGTGGTTACAGAGAGGAAGATTAAAAGCGTGTGCTGCACGAACTGGAGAGAGTTTCGAAAGGAGGAAAAGATCGTGCTTTTATTTTGACGGAGTTTACAAAAAATATTGTTACTATCGGCAATTAGATTATTAATCTGGTCGGACATGGTATCTAGTAACCACTGGTTATGTTGATGGATAGCCGACGTATAAAAGACTTGTAAACGCACAGTAAGCTTAGAAATATCTACATGTTGAGAAATTGTGGTGTGGGAGGTTAAATTAAGCGGTAATTGTGTTGAACGATTAAAATTTGTAGCAGAAGGGATTGGTCGTCAAAGAGGGATAATTTGTCGCATTTGCCATGGGGCAGTCGGAGACGACAGTTAAGTTAAAATACAAATCAGTTTGACGAAGTTTATCGCGGACGTAAATGGTACTATCAGTCTTAATCAAAACACCTAAACCGGAATGAAGCTCGTGAAATTTAGAACAATGTTGTGTTTCGGTGAATCGATTATTTGCCATACGTAAGCTGTATACCGTCATACGTAAGCTGTATGACCGTGAACTGCATAACCCGAAGGGTACTGTCCAGTTAGGTTACCCTGAACGGAGACCACGGCACAATTGTCGCAGTCTCGCTCCAGGTAACTTCCTCGAAGACGCAGTTAGTAGTACGAAACTGATTACTATGCAGCCAGCTGGCCGAGCCTGTAGGATCGGCTTCATAACGAAATGCGTGACCGTCGTGTACCATAACATTGCCTGAACAATCTAACGTTTGGACCATATGCCAACAATCTACGGCACTTACTACAACAGGATACGATTTTTGGTAAGTGTCCGTCGAACCCCAGAAAAATTCACTAATGTACAGTACGTTTACCCAGCTTCTACAGGCATAGCCTTTAAAGTTGAACGACGTACTTACAGCGGAGAAAAGTTTATAAAAAACCGGTACCTGTAAGTCGGAGGCGCGGTTAGGCTGATGGCAGGAGTCGTAGTCGGAGAGGTCCAGTGCGCCGACAAAGCGTGGGTGCTGACAGTCGCACACCTGGACAATGTGTCCGGATGTGCCGGTAGCGCCGGCATGGCGGAGGAGGAGTGCGGCCATGAGGAAAAAGGCCAAATGTGTGGCCACGGCCGGCACACGTGGTGTTAAGCGAATAGTGTACTCTGCAGCCGGTGGTGGTGACGGTGGGGTCGGCGGCGACTGCGGTCGCGGATGCGAGGAGTGGTAGCGGGGCACCGTGGCACTTTGGGCGCCCAAAGAAAGGAACAGCCCAATCCCCGCTGTAAAAGCAGGTGTGATATGGCGTGACCGTCAGTTCGAACGAATTGACGGTCTGGAGGATGGTGGTCTCAGTGGCGTGGTAAAGCGGGCGGTAGTTATCAAGAAGCGATACAACGGCGGCGCGTGCCTGGCGGTGAGTGTCGCGGTCACCGACTGGTAACAAGAAAATCCGTAGCCGATCGCGGTCCGAAATATCGGAATCGGAGGTAAACGCAGCGCGATCGTGAAACGGACGAAGACGAGAAATATGAGCAACCTCGGTCTTTTGGTTACCACGCAAATTGGTGAGTAAGTATGTAACTGGACCGAGCTGTTTAGTAATCGTGTAGGGACCACGAAACATATGGGTAAGCTTTTTTGACGTCCTGAGTTTAAACGTAGGTTTATGAAGAAGGACCAGGTCGCCGATAGCAAACTGAGCGTCCTTTAAGAACTGGTTATGATAGCTGAGATTAGTGTTTTGAGAAGCTTCCACGTTCGCAACAACGATTTCTGAAATTTCGGAGAAGCGGTCGATTAGATTGCGAGACAACTGCGTAGGCTCGGTGGGCAACACAAGATCCACCGGCATTGTAGCCTCTCTACCAAACATGAGGAAAAGGGAGAAAACTTCGTCGTAGTATGAACGGAAGTGTTGTAGGCGTATACCGCATATGGTAAGACTAGTGACCAGTCTTTGTGATAAAGGTCAACGTATTTGGAAATTATTTCGAGTAAAGAGCGATTTACGCGTTCGACGGGCGCATTTCCTTGGCTATGGTAAGGCGATGAGTGCAAATGCTTAATATTCAAAATATTTAACACCTGATCGAAAACTTGATTACAAAATTCTAAGCCGTTGTCTGATACAATTTTTTGCGGAAGAGAAAGTTAGCAAAACACAGTTGACAAGAAAGTTGGCTATCTCAATGGCTTCTTTAGTTTTTAATGCGCCAGCAACGGCAAACTTACTAAAGTGATCGACTACTACAACAATGTACTTCGTATCTGAGTAAGAAACCGGGCGGCCCCATAAGGTCGATGGATATGACGGCGAACGGATACTTTGCCACAGAGTAATTTTGAAGTAAGCCTAACTGAGTACTGTTATTCGGATTCCGCGTCTGGCAGGTTAAACAGGACTGCACGTAAAGGCGAACTGAGGTTACGATATTTGTCCAGTAGAAGCGGGTTTTAACGCGCTCCACGTCTTGGCAAAGCCCAAGTGGCCGGTGAGCTGGTTATCATGCGAAAACTGTAAACCTGCCGGCGCAATGCGCGAGGAACATACAGTAAGTTGTACGACTGACCTTCACGAATAAAGTGCTTATATAAAATATTGTCTTTAAGCATAAAGGTTCGAACAATCTTGCGGGCGTCACTGAAAGTTCGTTGATCGGAGTTTCTAACATATTAATGATTCGGCTGATAGACTTGTCCTTGCGCTGAAGCGCAGCCACGTCCAGTGACCCGAATGTAAACAAAGGATGCAACGACGTTTCAATGGCGTCCTCGGGAAGGGCAACGACTTAAACAGTCGACGTCGCCGTGAGTTTTACCGCTTTTGTAAACTATAGTTAAATTATATTCAGATAAGAATAAAGCCCATTTAGTTAGTTTATTATTATTAAAAGATTTAGATAAAAGATAACACAGCGCGTGGTGGTCCGTGACAACCGTAACATGTCCCGGAATAAGGTAAGGCCGAAACTTGCAAAAGGCCCAGTAGAGGCAAAACATTCGCGCTCGGTGGCGCACCAGCGCTGTTCTGTGGAGGAAAGAGTACGGCTCGCGTATGCAATCGGATGTAAAAGGTCATCAGCGCCGTGGGGCTGGAGAAGCACAATGCCAATACCATAACCGGATGCGTCGGTATGGACCGTAACTGGAAGAGCTGGGTTATAATGACGAAGTATCGGGGACGATACTAAAGAAGCCTTGAAATAATCTAAAG